ATGGGGGACAATTGATCTTGATAACATATCGTGATGGAGATAATGTTCCTGACAACACATCGTGATGGGGGATAATTAATCTTGATAACATATCGTGATGGGGAAAATGGTTCTTGACAGCACATCGTGATGGGGAAATGATTTTGATACATGTAACATATTGTGATGGGAATAATGGTTCTTGATAACATATTGTGATGGAGATAATGGTTCTTGACAGCATAATGTGATGGGGATAATGATTCTTGACAGCACATCGTGATGGGGAAAATGATCTTGATATCATATTGTGATGGAGATGATGGTTCTTGATAACATATTGTGATGGGGAAAATGATCTTGATAACATATTGTGATGGGGATAATGGTTCTTGATAACATATTGTGATGGGGATAATGGTTCTTGACAGCATATCGTGATGGGAATAATGATCTTGATAACATATTGTGATGGGTATAATGGTTCTTGATAACATATTGTGATGGGGATAATGGTTCTTGACAGCATATCGTGATGGGGATAATGGTAATTGATAACATATCAAAATGGGGATAATGGATCTTGACAGCACATCGTGATGGAGAAAATGATCTTGATAATATGTTGTGATGGGGATAATGGTTCTTGACAACATATCGTGATGGGAATAATGGTTTTTGATAACATATTGTGATTGGTATAATGGTTCTTGACAACATATCGTGATGGGGATAATGGTTCTTGATAACATATTGTGATGGGGATAATGGTTCTTGATAACATATCGTGATGGGGATAATGGTTCTTGATACATATTGTGATGGGGATAACGGTTCTTGATAACATATTGTGGTGGTGATAATGGTTCTTGATAACATATTGTGATGGGAATAATGGTTCTTGACAGCATATTGTGATGGGGGTAATGGATCTTGACAGTACATCGTGATAGAGAAAATGATCTTGATAATATGTTGTGATGGGGATAATTGTTCTTGATAACATATTGTGGTGGGGATAATGGCTCTGGACAACATATCGTGATGGGGATAATGGTTCTTGACAGCACATCGTGATGGGGGAAATGATCTTGATATCATATTGTGATGGGGAAAATGGTTGTTGATAACATATTGTGATGGGGAAAATGATCTTGATAACATGTTGTGATGTGGATTTTGGTTGTTAACATATTGTGATGGGGATAATGGTTTTTGACAACATATCGTGATGGGGATAATGGTTGTTAACATAGTGTGATGGGGGTAATGGTTCTTGACAGCACATTGTGATGGGGAAAATGATCTTGAAATCATATTGTGATGGGGATAATGGTTCTTGATATCATATTGTGATGGAGATGATGGTTCTTGATAACATATTGTGATGGGGAAAATGATGCTTGATAACATATTGTGATGGGGATAATGGTTCTTGATATCATATTGTGATGGGGATAATGGTTCTTGATAACATATTGTGATGTGGATTATGGTTGTTAACATATCGTGATGGGGATAATGGTTCTTGACAACATATTGTGATGGGGATAATGGATCTTGACAGTACATCGTGATGGAGAAAATGATCTTGATATCCTATTGTGATGGGATAATGGCTGATGATAACATATTGTGATGGGGATAATGGTTGTTGATAACATTTTGTGATAGCGATAATGGTTCTTGATAACATATTGTGATGTGGATTATGGTTGTTAACATATCGTGATGGGGATAATGGTTCTTGACAACATATTGTGATGGGGATAATGGATCTTGACAGTACATCGTGATGGAGAAAATGATCTTGATATCCTATTGTAATGGGATAATGGCTGATGATAACATATTGTGATGGGGATAATGGCTGTTGATAACATATTGTGATGGGGATAACGGTTCTTGATAACATATTGTGATGGGGATAATGGTTCTTGATAACATATTGTGATGGGGATAATGGCTGTTGATAACATATTGTGATTGGGATAATGGTTGTTGATAACATATTGTGATGGGGATAATGGTTGATAACATATTGTGATGGGGATAATGGCTGTTAATAACATATTGTGATTGGGATAATGGATGTTGATAACATATTGTGATGGGGATAATGGCTGTTGATAACATATTGTGATGGGGATAATGGTTGATAACATATTGTGATGGGGATAATGGCTGTTGATAACATATTGTGATGGGGATAACGGTTCTTGATAACATATTGTGATGGGGATAATGGTTCTTGATAACATATTGTGATGGGGATAATGGCTGTTGATAACATATTGTGATTGGGATAATGGTTGTTGATAACATATTGTGATGGGGATAATGGTTGATAACATATTGTGATGGGGATAATGGCTGTTAATAACATATTGTGATTGGGATAATGGATGTTGATAACATATTGTGATGGGGATAATGGCTGTTGATAACATATTGTGATGGGGATAATGGTTGATAACATATTGTGATGGGGATAATGGCTGTTGATAACATATTGTGATGGGGATAATGGTTGATAACATATTGTGATGGGGATAATGGCTGTTGATAACATATTGTGATGGGGATAATGGCTGTTGATAACATATTGTGATGGGGATAATGGTTGTTGATAACATATTGTGATGGGGATAATGGCTGTTGATAACATATTGTGATTTGGATAATGGTTGTTGATAACATATTGTGATGGGGATAATGGTTGATAACATATTGTGATGGGGATAATGGCTGTTAATAACATATTGTGATTGGGATAATGGTTGTTGATAACATATTGTGATGGGGATAATGGCTGTTGATAACATATTGTGATGGGGATAATGGTTGATAACATATTGTGATGGGGATAATGGCTGTTGATAACATATTGTGATGGGGATATTGGTTGATAACATATTGTGATGGGGATAATGGCTGTTGATAACATATTGTGATGGGGATAATGGCTGTTGATAACATATTGTGATGGGGATAATGGTTCTTGATAACATATTGTGATGGGGATAATGGCTGTTGATAACATATTGTGATTGGGATAATGGTTGTTGATAACATATTGTGATGGGGATAATGGTTGATAACATATTGTGATGGGGATAATGGCTGTTGATAACATATTGTGATGGGGATAATGGCTGTTGATAACATATTGTGATTGGGATAATGGTTGATAACATATTGTGATGGAGATAATGGTTGATAACATATTGTGATGGGGATAATGGTTCTTGATAACATATTGTGATGGGGATAATGGCTGTTGATAACATATTGTGATTTGGATAATGGTTGTTGATAACATATTGTGATGGGGATAATGGTTGATAACATATTGTGATGGGGATAATGGCTGTTGATAACATATTGTGATGGGGATAATGGCTGTTGATAACATATTGTGATGGGGATAATGGTTGTTGATAACATATTGTGATGGGGATAATGGTTGATAACATATTGTGATGGGGATAATGGATCTTGACAGCATATTATGCTAGCGGATTAATGCCTCTTGACAACATATCGTGATAGGGATAATGATCTTGATCTTGACAAAAAAAATTGCGATCGGAGACAATGGTTCTTCACGGCACGTTCTTATGGGGGGTAATGGTTCTTTATTGACAGAATAATGTGATGGGGATAGTGGTCCTTGACAGTAAATCGTGATGGAGGCAAAAGACAATTTAAACACGTGTATGAAAAATGTTTTCAAGATGTTTTCCCCCATTTATTGATATTACATAATGGAATGTTTAAACTATTACTCCACAGAAGCGTTATGTCAATCTTCTCTCAACAACGAGTGAAATATGCTTCTTGATAAGCATGTGGTTCGCATTGTATCCGTGATATTTGAGAATTGCACAGGCCTCACACATTTGCGTTTAATTATTTGACACGTCATTCGCGCATAAACAGAATTTTCATGTGGTTGACCTCTGAAAGTGCTGATGCAAAATTCTTGAAGCCGATTCCAATTAATTCCCACACAACGAGCACGCCATACAATCTGGCCGTGAAAGGGGCATCATGGAGCCCGCGATGACAGCGGCGATGAAACAACTTCCGGTGTTATGGAGCCAGGATGTACAGTGACTAGTTTTCACATAGGGACGCGATTTAAGATTTGCGCTGATTCTGAAATGTGTAGACAGGACCTGGTTCAGGAAGTGGCGTGCTATATATTCTTTGTGTGACTCAATATTATGGTTGGTGAAGGAACACGAATTTTGAAAAGAATAAACATGTTTAACGGTTTAGGTAACTGCAACAGATGAACTGGCCACGCACTGCATATTTCTCACTATATGGCAGCAATATCACCGATGCACATTTAAATTACAACTCCCTAAATTTAAAATACTTCGTAACTCTTTTGGACGAATATTTTATTTAATCAGGAATGCAACTGTTGTTCCATGTGCACAATATCCCTTCTATAATTGGTATGCATGTAACATAATACTACGAGCTTAAAACGACCAGTACAACGTCGTGCGGAAAATAAAACAAAAAGGATTTTTTTAAACAATAAAGAATACAAATATTCTCCTTTTCCTTCGCAAGAATTTACGTTTTGAAAAGAAGGTAATATTCATCATTAAAATCCTAAGATAAATATTCGTATTTATGATTTATGATCTTGTTTCATAAGAATGCATACACAATATCTGAATACATATTTTCACGGGTCTTAAACACTGTTTACACTCCCCACATCCTTGAGTTGACATACCCTAGTGATTCCATCCACCATATACTACTGCCCAATCACAGCATGAACACATAGACGTCCGACAAACACCACAACCATACATGTTGTGACCACTCTGGCAGCGTCTTGAAAGTGGGACAGATGTCTTGGTATGTGTGCCGCGTGTGTGAAATCCGAGTGGAGGTGTAGGGATCAGATTGAGCCTGCAGATCCCGTTACAAGTATTTGGCCACACGAAACACATGTCCTGTTAATTACATATCCAAACACCTTCCCCGAGGAGAGGGAAATCGCACCGTGGACACACGGAAAATCAGTGCCTTGTGTACCATCTTCGCCGTACCGGTTCCTCTGTTATTCAACCCGCAGCGGCTTATCGGAACTGTTTATATCAGCGTTTTTCTTGGAACCTCTTTCATTCTGGAAGACGAACCCCCACCGTCAGCTGTTGGTCATTGCTTGGTAAAAGCCGTGCAGCTTGCCTGTGGATGAGTGGATGTTCTCAATATGTGTTAAACAGTCGTATTACAATGATACGGGATATTCGATTCGGGCCGACGTTGCTACAGCTATTAACTCTAGGATATCTCCTTCACACGAGCTCTGCGGCATTTTATGGAGGAGATTATTACAACTCGTTGTTCCGACCCCTCAGTGCGGATTTTAAAACTAAAGTGGAGACATTAGGCGCTGTGTTGAAGCGCCATGTCCAGCGTCTCCGGGCAACAGAGAACGGTCAAGTGGAACTTGTTTTTTTAGTGGATAGTTCATCAAGTGTAGGGGCAGATAACTTCTTCGAGGAACTCCGGTTCGTCCGCAAACTGCTGGCTGATTTTACAGTGGATGTGAACAAGACCAGAGTGTCAGTCATTACGTTTTCGTCTCGAGGGAAGGTCATCAGACATGTCGACCATCTAACACAGCCCAATGCTGACAAGCATAAGTGTCGCTTACTTGGAGAAGAGCTGCCAAGGGTTAATTACATTGGAGGGGGTACATATACCCTTGGGGCCTTCCTTGAAGCAAAGGTAAACATTATGTAACGGACGGTTAACCCCTTCGATGTTGACACATGTTAGTTATTATGCTGAGTAAATGCCCCCCTTGTTTAATCAAATAGAGTTATGCAACAGATATGGTAAATTTAATGAGGTAAGGTATTAATCAGACATCTTGTATCAAAGATCATACTGTTTTTACATGACGTTGACAGTATTATTTTAACTGAAATTTGTAAACGCATCTTGTTTGTCTCCTTTAATGCAATTCCTAGAACGAAATGTGTTTAAATGGCTAACGCGACTTTAAATGACGTGTGGATATGATCCATTGTCTAACATTCATTTTTATCACTTTGCATTGGTGAATGTAAACGCATCTTAATCACACTTCTATATGATAACAAACAGAAATTAAGATTTCAAAAAATAATATGATGTAATTGAAAGTAACATACACTGTTATATTTATTTCGGTCGGTTTACATATGATAACGTTGAGGAAGATATTTGAAGAATTAAACAACAATGTTAGTTGAGCTCTTGTGTCGCGTCGCAGTCGTTATTGTAATACATGCCCGGAATGCAGTTTCTGTTGTTACAGAGGACGACGACAATGCGACAGAAAACTAGGTCACACTCTCTTGTTTTCAGTACCTCGCGAGGCGGAGAAATAGGAGGCAGAAACAACATTTCATGTACACCAAAAGCCCCGATAGCACTTGACCTAATAAAGGGTTTACTTAGAACTGAGATTTTTTTCAAATTACCTTTTATTAGATGGTTATATCGAAAAGAGTTTGTTCTGGTTCGGTACGAATGTGACATTTTTTCAGGACATTATGTACATCTAGGTATATTATCTTATTCGTACACAGAGACGTATACGTATGCTTCAGAGACGCATGCTGCTGTAACAGTTGTATCTGGCTGTAACAGAGATGTGTACTTATGTAACAGAGACGTGAATTTATGTAACAGAGACGTGTACTTATGCAACATAGACGTGTGCTTATGTAACAGAGACGTGTACTTATGTAACCGGGACTTGTACCAATGTAACAGAGACGTGTACCAATGTAACAGAGACGTGAACTTATGTAACAGAGACGTGATCTTATGTATTAGAGACGTGTACTTATGTAACATAGACGTGTGCTTATGTAACAGAGATGTGTGCTTATGTAACTGAGAAGTGTGCTTATGTAACAGAGACGTGAACGTATGTAACAGAGATGTATACCTATGTAACAGAGACGTGTACTTATGTAATAGAGATGTGTGCTTATGTAACAGAGATGTACATATGTAACAGAGATGTGTGCTTATGTAACAGGGACGTGTACATATGTAACAGAGATGTGTGCTTATGTAACAGAGACGTGAACTTATGTAACATAGATGTATACCTATGTAACAGAGACGTGAACTTATGTAACAGAGATGTGTACCAATGTAACAGAGACGTGAACTTATGTAATCGAGACGTGTATCAATGTAACAAAGACGTGAACTTATGTAACAGAGATGTGAACTTATGTAACAGAGACGTGAAGTTTTGTGACAGAGATGTGTGCTTATGTAACTGAGACATGTACCTATGTAACAGAGACGTGAACCTATGTAACAGAGACGTGAACTTATGTAACAGAGACGTGAACTTATGTGACAGAGATGTGTGCTTATGTAACAGAGACGTGAATTTATGTAACAGAGACGTGTACTTATGCAACATAGACGTGTGCTAATGTAACAGAGACGTGTACTTATGTAACAGGGACGTGTACCAATGTAACAGAGACGTGTACCAATGTAACAGAGACGTGAACTTATGTAACAGAGACGTGATCTTATGTATTAGAGACGTGTACTTATGTAACATAGACGTGTGCTTATGTAACAGAGATGTGTGCTTATGTAACTGAGAAGTGTGCTTATGTAACAGAGACGTGAACGTATGTAACAGAGATGTATACCTATGTAACAGAGACGTGTACTTATGTAATAGAGATGTGTGCTTATGTAACAGAGATGTACATATGTAACAGAGATGTGTGCTTATGTAACAGGGACATGTACATATGTAACAGAGATGTGTGCTTATGTAACAGAGACGTGAACTTATGTAACATAGATGTATACCTATGTAACAGAGACGTGAACTTATGTAACAGAGATGTGTACCAATGTAACAGAGACGTGAACTTATGTAATCGAGACGTGTATCAATGTAACAAAGACGTGAACTTATGTAACAGAGATGTGAACTTATGTAACAGAGACGTGAAGTTTTGTGACAGAGATGTGTGCTTATGTAACTGAGACATGTACCTATGTAACAGAGACGTGAACCTATGTAACAGAGACGTGAACTTATGTAACAGAGACGTGAACTTATGTGACAGAGATGTGTGCTTATGTAACAGAGACGTGAACTTATGTAACAGAGACGTGAACGTATGTAACAGAGACCAGTACTTATGTAACAGAGACGTGAACTTATGTAACATACACATGCACCTATGTAACAGAGGCGTGTACTTATGTAACAGAGACGTGTACTTATGTAACAGAGACGTGTACTTATGTAACAGAGACGTGAACTTATGTAACAGAGACGTGAACTTATGTAACAGAGACGTGAATGTATGTGACAGAGATGTTTGCTTATGTATCTGAGACATGTACCTATGTAACAGAGACGTGAACTTATGTAACAGAGACGTGAACGTATGTAACAGAGACCAGTACTTATGTAACAGAGACGTGTACTTATGTAACATACACATGCACCTATGTAACAGAGACGTGTACGTATGTAACAGACGTGTACTTATGTAACAGATACGTGTACGTATGTAACAGAGGCGTGTACTTATGTAACAGAGATGTACTCATGTAACAGAGATGTATGTATGTAACAGCGACGTATACCTATGTAACAGAGACGTATACTTATGTAACTGAGACGTATTCTTATGTAATGCTGCTGTAACATGGACGTAAACGTGTGTAACAGAGACGTACACGTATGGAAGAGAGACATATTTCTATAACAGAGACGTATGCAGCTGTAACAGACGAATATTACTGTAACATGGACGTATACTCACGTAACAAAGCCGAATACTTCTGCAACTGAGACTTATAATTTTATAACAGAGTCTATGCTGCTGTAACAGACGAATATTGCTGTAACACGGACTGTACTCACGTAACAGAGCCGAATACTTGTGCAACTGATAAGGATATTTCTATAACAGAGACGTGTGCTGCTGTAACATTGACGTATACTCATGTGACAGAGTCAAATACTTCTGCAACTGAGACGTATATTTATATAACAGAGACGTATACTTATGTCACAGACGTATACTTATGTAACAGACGTATACTTATGGAGCAGACGTATACTTATGTAACAGAGACGGTATAATGTTCAAGAAATGAAACACTTCCAGTGTCCTAATATTTAATATCCGTTTTCTTGTGTCTAAAATCTGTCCCTAGATATATTCTCTTGTTTCGTTGATCTTCCTCAAAATGATATGTAAGCCAGAATACTATTATTTTCTCTAATAATACATTAATAAAACAACAAACAATTAAAGTTCCATATGATTATGTTTTTGTTTTCTAACATATGAGACGTAATAGATCTGTAAATAAAACCAAATAAACATGCTAACGTTGAGGGGGGCCTATCTAAAAGACATTACTACCATACTGCTGCGACACATACATTACTAAACACATGCCAGAGATATTCATAGTTTTAATAGGATTGTACCGTGGCACGTTAATAATTATGTCTAATAGTCAACATAAGGGAAACTACACTTCAGCATGGATGCATGGCTTATGTTTGGTAAAGCTTTTTTTCAGGGATCGCAATGGAAATAATAAAGTAAACGTTGTTTGGGAGCACCACAAGCGATGATTTAGAGTTATAGAGTTATCAGCAAGAGTTGCGATAACATGGCGTTATCTGTGAGGCAAAGGTTAAGTTTTCTCACATGGCGCTTCTAATTGCGCGCTGCGGGAGTTATGGCGTAAGAAGTCACAACCATCCCATGTGCTGATATGTTTACATTTCCACTCCTTCATTGAATATGCGTTAGTGAACCCTGCCTTCAGGTCTGAAGATTTATTTACTGACAAACAGACGAAGAAGATTAAAGATATATATGAATCCTTAACGAATCTTAGATAAAGTCCATGCCTTGAAAAATATTTACGCTAAATTGTTATAAACAGAAATCTGGGTTGAATGATCTGGCCTGCTTTAAATATATAAAAAAATAAGTACATATGTAGTTATTTTCCTACACAAAGTTATTTACATGCACGCAGCTGTTCAAATGCTCGTACATGTGTTTATTCATAATACTGCGAGGCCATAGGTCTATAGTAACGGTACGTGTAACATAGTAATGGGTGTATTTACATTTATAAGGTAACGCATTTGGAGCTTCTTAGCTTCATAGCATGCAAAATGTACATTGACAGCTTTTTCTTTATTACTACATTAATTCTTACTTGACATTAATTTAACAAATTTCTGTAAACTTGGATAACGGATATAATATTTATCAATGACCTATTTTCTGAGTTCAGCATACAACGGACAAAGTAGTAAGATATGGTATTCACTTTCTACAGTGTTTAAATCACAAAACTGACAAATTCTTTCACGATCCCCATATATCTTCCCGTCTCGATAAATAGTTCGTGTGAACCACATCTGAATCTTGCAAGTGCAATGTGAAATGCTTTTAGTGTCACATCTAATAAGTGAGTGAGTGAGTGAGTATGGTTTTACGCCGCTTTTAGCAATATTCCAGCAATATCACGGCGGGGGACACCAGAAATGGGCTTCACACATTGTACCCATGTCGGGAATCGAACCCGGGTCTTCGGCGTGACGAGCGAACGCTTTAACCACTAGGCTACCCGACCGCCCCACATCTAATAAGGATTGCTCGCCACAGAAGGTGTTTTTAAAGAGGGAATAACATGATAGTTTCTTTGATACTGTTTAAATGCAAGTAGCTGTTAATATTCTTGTAACTATTTACATATATGAAATAGCTACGCGATAAATCGCAAAGCACAATGAAGAACGAAGCGTGGTTTATTTCACGATAAAACATTGTTCTATCATGGCGTCATTTCTGGAGATTCGAACATGCGCTCGTTACTTGATGACCTTGTAAATTGGACGACGTTATTTTTGAGAGGGGAGTGTCTAGTTAGTTGTTCCCCATAGATGTAGCTGGGCAACGTAGATAAACGCGAACGATCCCATTCCAAAGCGGGGGAGATATGGCAATCGGTTTTGGGCGGAGAAAAGATACCGGTAATCGACGTGAGGATTGTGAGAACATGCGGGAAATACCCACCTGTGCATTAAATAGACTTGTCCGACATTGCCAAGGTCGGATTCTATTGAGGGAGTCATCATTATTTAAATACGGGTACATATTTTTAAAGCTTGTGCATTTTATCGTCATCATTAAATAGGATGTACATAATGTTGATATCTCATATAAAAAAATAAACGACGAATGGTCGTTGTTTATCGTACGCCTCCCATGGTTTATTCTCCCTGCAGTGTTTTATTGTACGATAAACAACTCACACTTGTCGTTTATTTCTTAAATATGACTGTTAACCTGCAAGTAGTTGTAAATCGACGTGTAGCTGAATATTTACATACAAGTAGCTGTTTATTTAGGAGTAATTATTTTATATACGTGGGGCACGGGTCGCCCAGTCGTCTAAGGCGCCGTGATTCGCGGTGCAGAGTTGCGTCCCTTGGGCACGTCAGAAACCTATGATTGTGGGTTCGAATCCCGGTTCGCCCCGATCATGTTTCTAGGTTTGTCAGCACCATACCCGTGCTCGTGGGTTTCACCGAAGTGGTAAACGTCTGAGACCTGCATCATTTCGGGCTTTCCTCCCACACGAAGCTGACACGCCGTGATATAAATGGAATACTGTTAAAAGCGGCGTTAAACCCAACTCACTCACTACTTTATATACAATAACCTGTTTAATGACTAGCTGTTTATTCACATACACGTATCTGGTTATTTACGAGTTCCTGTTTACATACAAACAGTTGTTTACATACAAGACTGTTTACATACAAGTTAGGGGATAAACATACTGTGATTCTAATGTAGAGCAAGGTTACCTGTAGATCTAAACGCGCTGAAATGAATTTGGAACGCCATGATTGACTATATGAAACGCGAACTCTTTGGTGATATATTGAATGACGCAGCGGTTGAGTCCAAAGTTTTGAATGGGTAGTCGATCTGAATAACGGAATCAACATCCTTGAAACAAAATATGGCGCTGTATATGCTCAAGCAGATATACTTCACTCGAACATATGACAGACATTGAAGATCCGGGTTAGAATAGGTCTTCAGCAATTCATGCTTGCCGTAAAAGGCGACTAACGGGATCGGGTCGCTGACTTGGTTGATGCATGTCATCGTATCCAAATTGCATGGATCGATGCTCATGTCTGGATTGTCTGGTCCAGACTCGATAATTTACAGACCGCCGTCATATAGCTGGAATATTGCTGAGTGCGGCGTTAAACAACAAACAAATAAACAGGCTTGTAAGCATGTAGCACACCAACTTTTTAAGTTAGTATGAAGTAGGAAAACTAAGCATGCCTTGCAAGGTGTTGTTCTGGACACCACGTCACGAGTATGATGTCAGATTATTGCTGATTGACGCAAAATAATGCAGAAAAGTCGCGGAAGTGCGTTTCAGCCTCATGAAAGTCTTTTAGTGCGCTTAACAGTTTCTTTTGTATAGTTATAAAGATATCTTAATAAACAGTGAGGAGCATGACGATATACCTTTATTCATCAAAGTGGCCGTATTGCTAGCTCTCAATAGAAATTAGATGACAGCACGTACGGGAAAGCACGCAAATAGAAACATGATAACATATGATTAGATAAATGTGTAGACTTTTCACAAATTGAAATGGATTAAAAAATATGTTATCTGTTAAATGGACTGTTCGAGATGTTGCAGAGGCACTAGGCTGGCCGCAAGGAACTCTGGGTAGGAGAGTGTAGCAAAATGCCATATTTCAAGCTCTCTGTTGAAATACATCTCTTTGTCGATTCATATCGTGTTTCAGCACAAAATGTATTGCTACACATGCTTTGAATATTGCAGAGCCACGCCTCTGCATTTTGTAACCTATAATTGTACATATTATTATTTAAAAATGCTCAGCGACAATGACTGAAAAATGAAGTACTTTTCTATAAAAATGCTTCCGTGGTAATACGGTCGTCAAATAGGCTGTTCCAATCAGAGGTGATTATGGTGATTTGATACTTTATTTTTACCAATCAGAATCGGGTAATTTTCCAATTTCATAGTAAAATTATATTTTGCCTTAAATGCAGCAGCTATGCGAGAAGAATCTTACATTTTTAGTAGTTATTTTCACATTTCACTTGATATAGGCACATGAACGAATAACACCTAGTGTATCTTATATACTTATTGCTGTTGTAGTCATCAAGGCCCCTCATAGTTTAGGTTGGTATAGTACTTTAAGGTTAGGATGTTCCACTGTGATAAGTCGACAAGCATATTATGAATATTAATGAATGTAATAACGCGCTGTTCACATCCTACATGCAGGTGGTTCTGAAGGGGGCCAGGAAGAATGCTACTAAAGCCATATTCCTGATAACGGACGGGTTCTCTAATGGCGGAGACCCCAGACCGGAAGCTAAATCTCTCAGGGACAATGGAGTGAAGATATTCACGTTCGGCATCCGAAATGGCAACTTTAGGGAGCTGTACGACATGGCGTCTGTGCCCAAGAACGAAACTTGTTACATTCTCGACAGCTTTGAAGAATTTGAGGCTCTGGCAAGACGGGCTCTCCATGAAGGTCAGAGGTCAAGGTCATATATTTGATGTTAAGATCAAGACTCACTTAGTTCCGTATTGAGGTCACGAAGCCAATGGTCGCAATGTCAAGATTGGGACCCAGTTTTACATGTGCTACCAGTTAAACAGCACAATAGCCACATGGTCTGGAGTCAAGAATTGTGTCAGTAGTAACTATTGATCTCGCGTGCGATATGTTTTTTTAAGAATAGGTCTACTCGTAAAAAAGGTTCATAATTGCGCGTTACAGTTGCATTATGTTTGGCGTGGTCAGCATGAAAGAAGTCTTTTACCATTTATTATCATATTGAGGTTAAATAAATAAAACTATCCCCAAATATATTTCTTAGTATACATGCAATATGGATATGCCTGAATACAATGGTCGCGATGGAAATAATGTTAAACATGGCGTGTTGTCTCACCTTTCGAACGGGTAGCCTAGTGGTTAAAGCGTTCGCTCGTCACGCCGAAGGCCCGGGTTCGATTCCCAACATGGGTACAATGTGTGAAGCCCATTTCTGGTGTCCCCCGCCGTGATATTGCTGGAATATAGCTAAAAGCGACGTAAAACCATACTCACTCACTCACTCACTCACCTTTCGCTAAAAAAAATCAAATGGCAAATGAAATTGAAACGTTTCATAAAACAAATACGCTATTCATGTTTGTATCCATGATAGAACCTAAACATATTTCGACGCTAATGGGCGCATTTTGATGGTGGTCGACGTCTTTTGACCTTCAAACTTTGAACACTTAAATCTTGATATTATTTAATCAGTAGCCGCAACATGTATTAAGTTGAAACGTTAATGATCCCAATATGTGTCCGATCTGATTTCCAATATGAGCACGTCCGACATTTTGTTTGTTTGTTGTTTAACGCCGCACTCAGCAATATTCCAGCTTTATGCCCGCGTCTGTGAATAATCCAGTCTGGACCAGACAATCCAGTGATTGACATCATGAGCATCGATCCATCCAATTGGGATACGATGACATGCATCAAGCAAGTCAGCGAGACTGACCACCCGATCCCGTTAGTCGCCTCTTACGACAAGCATAGTCGCCTCTTACGACAAGCATGGATTGCTGAAGACCTATTCTACCCCGGATCTTCACGGGTCTTCGGCATATTGAATATATGTGATTGTGTTGTAAGCCAAGATGGAATAGTATGAACATGTCATCAAATTTCCAGATCAATTATTGATTACTTCTATTATTAGATCTCCACACCGGATCTTACGTGTACCAGCCCAGGAGCAGATGTAACATTTTGTGTAAAAATGGAGGTAACTGTTGCCATGCCAACGCGACATGCGCGTGCGGGACACATACAGGAAAATACGAATGCCAGTGCAAACCAGGATTTTACGGACAAGGAATCGGAAAATATGGATGTAAAGGTAATTAATCATACTCTCATCATTGTGGAACTTTCTAAAATACCCAAAGCACGGTTTATAAGAAGACATGGTCAAACATATTGTGAAAAGTGTTTGACATCAGTGTCTTCGAAAGCATACAGTAATTGTTGGATATATGCAAGGAACTGGTGTACAGGGTCAGTTGAAATTCGAAACGTTACAAAATGCCAGTCATTCTATTTAAAACGGTTTCTTTGGTGATATCCCACTCCTTTATAGTGAAACCTCGTTAGTTCGGAACCTGTTAATCCGGACAACTGCTGTTGGGAATCTCTGTATGTGATATGACAATTTACACATGAATGGTTAATCCGGAAATTTGATAATCCGGGCGGTACGTTATAATGTAAAATCGTCCGGATTAACATATGGCAGTATAAACCAATCAGGGGCTTTGACTGCACATGTGAATACAGCGACGTGATCAGTTTAATTAAGTGTTCTTCTGCAGCTAGAATCAAATGAGAGGCGATGTCGGACACTTAATTACCACTAAGTCTTATTCCCCATGAAAAAGACCATTAATGAACACTTTCTCCTCATTTTGTCCCATTGTTTCAGCGCATTACCCATGATGTGATAGGGTAGCCTAGTGATTGATGCAGTGCCTCATCACATCCAAAACATTCGATTCCCAACATGGGTAAAATGTCTGAAGCCTATTTCTTTAAGATAATGTTTGTTTTTTTGTTGTTAAACGCCGCGCTCAGCAATATTCCAGCTATATAACGGCGCTCTGTATATATAACCGAGTCGGGACCAGACAATCCAGTAATTGACAACATGAGCATCGATTCACGCAATAGGGATACGATGACATGCATAAACCAAGCCAGCAAGTCTGACCACCCGATCCCGTAAGTCGCCTCTTACAGCAGACATGGGTTGGTGAAGACCTATTCTACCCGGTATCTTCATGGGTCTTTAAGATAATGATATATAGCTAATAGACTGAACTTGTTGTGGACAAAAATATTTTTTCCTTCGTATTTCAATACATACCTACACAATACGCTTATAGATTATTAAGGGGCACAGGTGGCCCAGTCGTCTAAGGCGCCACGATTCGCTGTGCAGAGTTGCGTCCCTTGGCCACGCCAGGAACCTATGATTGTGGGTTCGAATCCCGGTTCGCCCCGATTATGTTTCTAGGTTTGTCAGCACCATACCCGTGCTCGTGGGTTTCACCGAAGTGGTAAACGTCTGAGACCTGCATCACTTCGGGCTTTCCTCCCATATTAAGCTGACACGCCGCGATATAACTGTAATACTGTTAAAAGCGGCGTTAAACCCATCTCACTCACTTATAGATTATTAGATACTCGCATTGATACAACGTGGTCGTTCATTTCAAGGTCGCGAGAAGCTGATGTGTAGAGGTACTTACACAGTGCAACTATAACCGATTCTTTAATTTTACCATACTTCATTTTTCATGCATGACTATACTAGTAAAATGAAGAACCGGGTGGTCCTTTAACTTCTTTTGCGTAGTATGCCTTCCATATAAACACGTTGCAACGGCGCGATGCATGGGATTGGCAAGGGCCATCTGTCGCTGATATCGCTGTGAAGGGAATTAAGAATGTTTACGGGCTATGATAAGAGTTGAGTTTTTATCAAGATATTTTTGTTTAAAGCTCAAGCGCTCAGTTCCAAATTATAATAAGAGGTATCTAATCTAATGGGACAACATCAAATTTCAAAAGCCAGAAGGTTTATCTCTTAAGTACCTTGATATCTGGTTACTCAATATGTATTGAACTCGGATAAACTCTAAACTTATCCCTTTGACGAAATAACAGTGAAATAAACACTGAAAATACTCTTGTTAAACTTTAAAAAATGAAAAGATCTGCCGGTCTCTTAAAGCAGGCCGTGTGAACGATTTTTTCATGGGCTTCAAGTTCAGTTAAATAGAAGAAAAGCCTATCCATTCCTAAATTATGCAACTCAAAAAAGGTTAAGGACCATCCAATTCAGGGCATGACATTGATTATAGTAATATGGAAGAATCGGGTAGTCCTTAACTTCTTCTGAGTAGTATATGTCGCCAAATATGTAGTTGACGACTTTGATTTTTTGGGTGACGAATAACAATTCCCATGTATGATTCATCTGATGTATAATTGTTTTGTCTGTAATTATTTTGTCAGCCTGTCCCCCCGGCACGTACAAAAACATAAGCGGTCCCGGCGACGTCAGCATGTGCATGCCGTGCCCGGATGAGAATCAGACGACAGGTTCGGGGACGGCGGCCATAACCGACTGCAGCTGCAAAAAGGGATACGTCAACATGAACACGTCGGAGTGCGCAGGTTAGAACGTAAATGAGTTTTCAAGAAGCGTAAAATGAGTTCCAAGGCTGCCACATATCGTCCAATTGTCCACAAATAAGTTGTAAATTATTGATATCCATATAATATTGTATCCAGCTTCAACTACACAGCGGCAAAAGAAATTACACACTTGAAAAAAATTGGTTTTGACAAAAGGTTACAAATGTTATCATGACGTTACTAAGCTGAAAATGTCACCGAAAATCTGCAAACGTTAGGCCCGTATCAAATGCATCACCATCGTATAACCATTTCTTGTTGGCTTCATTTTTAGCCACAATCAAACATGGGTGTATATTGCTTAGCCTGGCAGTTTATAATGGATTGGGTAGTCAGGCTAATTGCTAGTTTTATCGTACTGCATCGGGTATTTCTCAAAATTTCACACGCTGGTTTGTCTGGTCCAGATTCGATCATAACAGGTCGCCATGATACAGCTGTAGTATCGCTGACGGCGACTTTAACAAACACACAAGCGGGACATAGCAATCCTCTCCACTCCGTGCTTGTCGCAAGAGCCGCCTGTTCGTGACATCTGACTGTGTCATTGATTCCCGGCGGTTTGGAGCGTTGTTCCTGCTGTCAACCTAGAGTCCATTATATTGAGAAGTCGCTGTGCGATAGCTTGTCTATTGCTGACTGTGGAGTAAAACAACATTCACTCATTCACCGTTCTTACCCACAACACGCATACCCACCATACCACCCGTGCATGTTGTCAAGAGCTAAACACCAAAAAACATATCTTTGTTTCAGCTTTCACCTGTCCAGCTCTCGACCCTCCGGAAAACGGCTACTTCGTCAACAACAAATGCAACAACGTGTTTAACGCAGCATGTGGACTACGGTGCAAGCCAGGTTACGAGCTGCAGGGGAGCAGTCTGAGGATCTGTCAGGAGAATGGAACCTGGTCAGGTGTAGACGCCAGCTGTGTCAGTGAGTAGCCCAGAGTATGACCACGTTTTATTAGTAGCCGAGAGTATGACCACGTTATATTAGTAGCCGAGAGTATGACCAACGTTAGTAGACGAGAGTATGACCAACGTTAGTAGACGAGAGTATGGCCTACGTTAGTAGACGAGAGTATGACCTAAGTTACTAGACGAGAGTATGACAACGCTATATTAGTAGCCGAGAGTATGGCCTACGTTAGTAGACGAGAGTATGACCTAAGTTAGTAGACGAGAGTATGACCTACGTTACTAGACGAGGGTATGGCCTACGTTAGTAGACGAGAGTATGACCAACGTTAGTAGACGAGAGTATGACCTACGTTAGTAGACGAGAGTATGACCTAAGTTAGTAGACGAGAGTATAGCCTACGTTAGTAGCCGAGAGTATAACCGACGTTAGTAGCCCAGAGTATGACCGACTTTAGTATCCGAAAGTATGACCTAAGTTAGAAGCCAAGAATATGAGCTACTTTAGTTGTCTAAAGTATAACCTACTTTAGTAGCCGAGAATATGACTAACGTCAGTAGCCGAGAGTATGATCTACGCCAGTAGCCGAGAGTATGATCTACAGAAGTAGCCGAGAGTATGACCTACAGAACTAGCTGAGAGTATGACCTACAGAAGTAGCCGAGAGTATGACCTACAGAAGTAGCTGAGAGTATGACCTACAGAAGTAGCCGAGAGTATGATCTACGCCAGTAGCCGAGAGTATGATCTACAGAAGTAGCCGAGAGTTTGACCAACAGAACTAGCTGAGAGTATGACCTACAGAAGTAGCCGAGAGTATGACCTACAGAAGTAGCTGAGAGTATGACCTACAGAAGTAGCCGAGAGTATGACCTACAGAACTAGCTGAGAGTATGACCTACAGAAATAGCCGAGAGTATGACCTACAGAACTAGCTGAGAGTATGACCTACAGAAGTAGCCGAGAGTATGACCTACAGAAGTAGCTGAGAGTATGACCTACAGAAGTAGCCGAGAGTATGATCTACGCCAGTAGCCGAGAGTATGATCTACAGAAGTAGCCGAGAGTATGACCAACAGAACTAGCTGAGAGTATGACCTACAGAAGTAGCCGAGAGTATGACCTACAGAAGTAGCTGAGAGTATGACCTACAGAAGTAGCCGAGAGTATGACCTACAGAACTAGCTGAGAGTATGACCTACAGAAGTAGCCGAGAGTATGACCTACAGAACTAGCTGAGAGTATGACCTACAGAAGTAGCCGAGAGTATGACCTACAGAACTAGCTGAGAGTATGACCTACAGAACTAGCTGAGAGTATGACCTACAGAAGTAGCCGAGAGTATGACCTACAGAACTAGCCGAGAGTATGACCTTCAGAAGTAGCTGAGAGTATGACCTACAGAACTAGCTGAGAGTATGACCTACAGAAGTAGCTGAGAGTATGACCTACAGAACTAGCTGAGAGTATGACCTACAGAAGTAGCTGAGAGTATGACCTACCGAACTAGCCGAGAGTATGACCTACAGAACTAGCCAAGAGTATGACCTACAGAACTAGCCAAGAGTATGACCTACAGAAGTAGCTGAGAGTATGACCTACAGAAGTAGCCGAGAGTATGACCTACAGAACTAGCCGAGAGTGTGACCTACAGAACTAGCCGAGAGTATGACCTACAGAACTAGCCGAGAGTATGACCTACAGAACTAGCCGAGAGTATGACCTACAGTACTAGCCGAGAGTATGACCTACAGAACTAGCTGAGAGTATGACCTACAGAAGTAGCCGAGAGTATGACCTACAGAACTAGCCGAGAGTATGACCTACAAAACTAGCCGAGAGTATGACCTACAGAAGTAGCCGAGAGTATGATCTACATAGGAAGCCGAGAGTATGACCTACAGAAGTAGCCCAGAGAATGACCTACAGAAGTAGCCGAGAGTATGACCTACAGAAGTAGCCGAGAGTATGACCTACAGAACTAGCCGAGAGTATGATCTACAGAAGTAGCCGAGAGTATGACCTACAGAACTAGCCGAGAGTGTGACCTACAGAAGTAGCCGAGAGTATGACCTACAGAAATAGCCGAAAGTATGACCTACAGAAATAGCCGAAAGTATGACCTACAGAACTAGCCGAGAGTATGACCTACAGAAGTAGCCGAGAGTATGACCTACAGAAGTAGCCGAGAGTATGACCTACAGAAGTAGCCGAGAGTATGACCTACAGAAATAGCCGAGAGTATGACCTACAGAAGTAGCCGAGAGTATGGCCTGCGTAGGAAACCGCGAGTATTTGTACCTCTGCCGTATGCCGGACTTGCCTCAGCATTTGTTTGTGACGGGAGGCACTGGTGGGGTATGCTCACCTGCCGCGAACATCTCGTATCATCACTATTTAATATTAATTCATTAACACGTGCTTATGACTAAGTCCGAATCGTACAATGAAGTGCCTTCAGCAGAGGTTGCTCCTGATTATTGAAATAGTTTTGTCGCTTGGATTAAGGTTAAAAACGTAAAAGGCCATCACCAACTCGGGCTTTCTTCCAACATCAAGCTGGCACACCGTGACATAACTGAAATACCATTCAAAGCGACGTTAACACCAACTCACTCTTTCAGCGAAGACGTGTCCAACGCTCCCGGTACCGAAGGACGGACAGATGATCTGCAGCCGCGACGACTTCACCTTCTCCACCGTGTGCAGGTTCACCTGCGACAACGGCTACCAGCTAGTCGGCTCCAGGAAGAGGACATGTGTTGCCATTGCAGTCTGGACTGGACTTCCCACCAGATGCAGGGGTAGGCATGGGCTTCGATGTCGTTGGATAGTTTAATACACGTGGCTTAACGATTGTTGAAAATTTGTATCACGAAAATCACTTCAATAAGCTACATTCCTTTTTCGTTTCACACAAAGACTGTAAATGCATACTTGTCTTCTGGAGGAAGGTAGAATTTCATTGTTTAGGTGTGGACCCGGGATAGAATTGGTCCCTAACTCTCTATTGCTTTTTGTTTGCTTGTTTGTTGTTTAACGCCACACTTGGTCATATTTCAGCTATATGACGGCGGTCTGTAAATAATCAAGTCTGGACCATACAATCCAGTGATTGACATCATGCGCATCGATTTACGCATTTGGGATACAATGACATGCATCCAGCAAGTCAGCGAGTCCCGATCCCGTTAGTCGCCTCTTACGGCAAGCATAGTCGCCGCTTACGACATACGCAATATGGATGATGACATGCTTCAACCAAGTCCAACCTAACCACTTGATCCCGTTAGTCGCCTCTTACGGCAAGCATGGTTGGCTGAAGACCAGTTCTAACCCGGAATCGTCTCGGGACCGATCTATTGCATTCTGTAGGGGCGACTAAACTGGATCGGATGGTCGGGCTCGTTGACTTGCACGTCATCGTAACCCGATGGTGTTGGATGGTGTTCATAACATCAACCACTGGTTTTATCTTGCCCAGATTTGATTACTTTTAGCCATTGTCATAGAAATGGAATATTGCTGATTGCGGCGCTAAACGACAAACAAAGAAACAGACACTGTGTTTGACCAGAGACCATAAAATATCTTTTATGGTCTCTGATTTGACTGGCTGTTTGAGCTCGGGGTAATTCCTAACAGGCTTCTTAAAAATAAATTCGACCTTGATCACATGGGTATACACAACAACAACTTTGACGATCAATGCTGCACCTCAATCAACCGAAAAGTTACAAACATATTAATACATGGAATCGTTCACATGTTTCTTCAGAGATCACGTGTCAGCCCCTGACGCCCTTGAAGGACGGGAGCGTCCACCCTGCCGTGTGCACAGCCGGGGAGGTATCATTTGGCACAACTTGTCAAATGACGTGTCTGCGAGGCTACACAATGTACGGTCCCCACACCATGCAGTGTACTCCTGACGGTAACTGGGCGCCTACAGTAGACAAGTACAACGAGTGTTTAGGTGAGATGTAACATTGTCACACAAAAGGTCAGAGACCTACTTACTTTTTCGTTTTCGTTCAAATTTCGTTTATACAATATTTTTTCGCAATGTTTGCAACGCGGGCATGTTTTTTTTACCAATTATGACAAGATTAACTTTGCTTCCATAATATGGTTCCAGATAGGTTATTTTGAAAATTTGGGCTAATTTTTTGGTTTGGGTTTTGCAACAATTCGACATACCTTATATCGAGTGATGAATGATCTGAATTATTCAAAATTTAGCAGCTTCGATTCAAATTTGAATAATTAATAATTAAAAGTCATATAAAATGTCGATTTTGAGTCAGTGTTACATCAGGTATAAAGGATTAATGATGCAAATGTATACAACTTAATGTATAGTGCTGATGTATGAATGTTCAACTTGATCAAATGACGTGCTGGTAATCCTTGAGCCACCAGGCACCCAGATGTTCTCGCTCTGTAGGGGTTAAGTTGACAGGTGTTTTGCCTGACTGTCATGACTGTCATGACATCTGATACTTAGAGGGTCCATTTTTAGGGATTTCTGCAATATCCTCAATATAGATTTGATCTATTTCATCCAAAGCAGCAAAAATCTATTTCAGCTTTTGCCCGTGTCGAATCATTATTGTTTTCGAAATCTAAGACATCCAGAGATTCAAAAACGTGTCAGTTTTATCCTAATTACTTACACACAGGTTCGAGATATCAAGTGTTTATGTCTAGGTCGGACATTTCTACACAGAAATACAGTGAGATGTTACTATACCCAATCCCAATGAACGTTACTTTTAGAGGTGTTGAGGTAGCCCAGTAGTTGAAGTGTTCACCTGTCACGCGGAAGATCCGGGTTCGATTCACGTGAAGCGCATCCCGACTGCCCCCCGTCGTGGTATGCGAGACTATTGCTACACGCAGCCTAAACTCCGACTCACTCACTCACTCATTCCACTCGATTTAGACAATATCTTCATGGCAAAGTTCAACTGGTACTTGCCATTTCTGTATACAATTCCAATAAACCTTAGTTGATTTCTACCTTTTCTTGATTTGACATTGGAATATTTTTCCTCGGAATTTTAATTTTAAACCTAACATATATTCTCTAACATACATTCTCTCATCTCCTCAGACACGAGATATATGTTTATGCTAAAGCAGTTGAATACTGAACAAATTAAGTTGGGTATATATTTGGTAGTGAAGACGTTAAGAAGCGCAAAATTTAATAAAACATATCCCCAAAATTATTCATGATCCCTGTTTTTGTTTGTTCAGTATATTACACATTATATGTAAGACCACATTCAAGACGTGTTTTATGTTGTTTATAGCAAGCTAAGATATCGGTTGACATATGTTAGAGAAGTATTTGGTTCAGGAAATGTTATTCAGGTGTACATGTGGGTCCAATTTCCTCACTGGCATTCCTTAAACACCTACAAATTGAAATTTACGAACAGCACCGGCCAATCTCCGCTCCATAACGTGTGTGCATAGATTGACATATGAAGTTGATATATGAAGTGAATGAGATATTTGACAGTGAAACAGTGAACTGTTTCATCATCCTCGAGTGTCCAGTGTATAGTATCTCCATTCTCCCCATTCGTCACCACATTCGACACCACATTCGTCACCACATTATTACGTTGGCAAGGAATCAGTAAGCATTCGAGGGTCATTATCAGCTCCCTGGGGAGTATATAACCCAAGCTGCTTGTTTGCCCCTATGTTTTGATTTCGGAAAAAGGTGAACTTATGATGTATATGGTATATCTGTCTCGCTCGGCAATGGGGTGGCACGGTGGGAACAAGTGATTTATTGCTACACTTAGTAACGGTTCAGTTTTACACTGGTTTCCGTTTTGTGCACCAATAATTAATGTTATCGTTTTTTCTTCTACATTAAGGTGACATGCCGTGATATAACTGAAATACTGTTCAAAGTTGCGTCAACAGTAACTCACTCAGTCCCCTAATATTTCAACAAGCCTTCTCCCAGATGAGGGGGCACGGGAGGCCAAGCCGTCTAAGGCGACGCAATTCTCTGTGCATAGTTGCGCCCCTTGGGCAAGCAAGTAACCCATATCGGGTTCGAATCCCGGTTCGCCCCGATTATGATTTTAGGTTTGTCAGCATCATATCGTGCCCTGCGGTTTCACCGAAGTGGTAACATTTAGTCTCTGAAATCTTATATTACACAATATCCTTCTTGACTCTAAAAATTAAAAAAATCCCTATGCTGACGTGGAATAGAGCTAGCTAGAGCTGGCTAGACTTGCTTTTGTATGCGTTTCTAGATTTATTTATTTTTCATAAAATAAATATATTCCACGGTCATGGTGCAGGACTTGTCCAAGACCTGCATCACTTCGGGCTTTCCTCCCACATCAAACTGACATGTCGTGATTTAACTGGAATACTTTTCAAAACGCTCACTCTCTCTTCCAGATGAGAAGCCACCATTTGTTGAGTGTCCCAGCAGCATCGAGACTGAGACGGGCGTTGATGACAGCACAGCGGAGGTGATATGGCAGGTGCCGGTGTCTGTCGACAACTCAGGCTTCCTGCCGACCATGACAGCCGAGCCGGCGGTGTCGCCTTCATCACGCTTCCCCATCGGCATCAATGTCGTCACCTACATCGTGGAGGACTTCAGCAAAAACAAGGCTAACTGCTCGTTCACCATCAAGGTCAAAGGTAAGTGGTGCAATCTCATATCGTATCGGAGTAAATGAACTGATGATAAGATTTAGGAATGGCAGTTTCCACACCGTTTTCTTCATCAGTTATCAGTGTTAAGTAACTATAGATAAATTGCATTAGAGCGGGTTAAGTCAATGTGGGGTATTGTCGGACATGCTGTAGTAGTACCCGTGAAGATCCGGGGTAGAATAGATCTTCAACAACCCATGCTTGCCGTAAAAGGCGACTATGCTTGTCGTAAGAGGCGACTAACGGGATCGGGTGGTCAGGCTCGCTGACTTGGTTGATGCATGTCATCGTATCCAAATTGCGTGGATCGATGTTCAAGATGTCGATCACTGGATTGTCTGGTCCAGACTCGATTATTTACAAACCGCCGTCATATAGCTGGAATATTGCTGAGTGCGGCGTTAAACAACAAACCAACCCACCAACTTTACCTCTAAAAGGTTTTTTTTTTCTTTCGTTACTAGACAATTTGTTGCTTCATTACACAATACAAGCCAAAAGTGTCACCATTACAACTGTACGGATTCATGTCTTTGGACCTAACATAAATGTTCGTTATAAGACATCAATAATTCCTTATTTCAGACACAATCCCTCCGACTGTCGACAAATGTTTCTCGCCACCATCGGTTGTCTCCCCTGATAAGTACGGCAACGTGACGTGGGAGGAGCCACAGTTCAGCGACAACTCTGAGGAGGGCCTGAATATCTCTAGGTCACATGACCAGGGCTGGTTTCCGATTGGTGTAACCCAGGTGACGTACACGGCCACAGACGGGAGCGGCAACAACAACACGTGCATCCTGGATATCAGCGTCATACGTAGGTGAATTGTGTTATCTAAATAAACTTGTTCTGGGTGTCGTTGTACTAAACAACCTCAGCGTTACGCCTGTCGTAAGTCTATGTTACGGTATGGGAGTTATGATCACCTTAGCGCTAAGATCGCTTTGTACAACGGCACCTAGGTCTACACTTTACTGGACTTAAAAATCCCTGACATGAACATTTTGTTACGATTTTCTTTATTAAATTGTCTTTTAATGTATAACAGAAAGCAACCAAGAGAATATTTAAACAAGAAGGTCAAGTGTTAATATTGCAAAACAAACTATCCGAAAAATACCTACCAAGTCCACAGTCATCTTCCCGAGGCAAGGAAGTTAACTGACTGTAAAAGTCCATTTACCACCGTTGCCGAACTAGGCAAAACTAACACTTTACCTTCAGCTCGTGATAAAAAAACCTAAAATTTTCACATGTGTGTGTGTTTTTACCGGGAAAACCCTAAATGAATTTATGGTAAGACCGAAATCCGTTAATCCGGAAATCCCTCCTTCCGGGGATCGCTTTTTGAAACGCCTGTATATAATTAAAAATGTAATTCTACGTACTTCTTTTATCCGGAATTATGTGCGTCCGGGCGAATCTACTGGCAACGGTTCTGTCCGGATGATCGGGGTTTCGCCTTTTTTTTCATCAAATTAAAAAAAATATCGAATTTATATTTTGCCGAAAAATACCTTTTCTTATCACACATCATAAAGTAATATGATTATCTACGATAGTGCATTGCTTAACTTTGGTAGTGGCAAAAGAAGCCATTTTCTATTGTCTTAATGAATCCAAAGGAAATATATAATTAATATGAACATGACAGCCCATCCATGTGAGTTCCCGCCACCGCCTGTCAATGGTAACCGCACGTGTCACGAGACTGATGAGGCTGTGCACTGTTCCATCTCGTGTCACCCTGGTTACGCCTTCGCCATACCCCCTGCAGAGGACTACAGGTGCGCCTATGACAATGTTTGGGAACCCCAAGGGAAGGTACCCTTCCCCGACTGTTCAGGTGAGATTGGTGTATTGGGATGTATTTTAGGTGAGGTGAAATGGGGTTTAACGTCGCGTCCAGGATTATTGCACTTATATAGCGACGTGCATGCACCTGTGTCCTTGTGTGGCTGCTTGTACTAGTCCGGACTGATGCCGGTTTATAGTGCTAGCACACTGAGATACCATGCCGCAGTTTAACATGAATATCCCACTCAGACACAGTATACTGACTCCGAGCGGACCAGTCCTTGTTTTAGCCCCTTAATGCCGTGTGCCAGACAGGGTAACAACAAGTACCATCTTTTAACGTCTTTTGGTATGACGCAGCCGGGGATCGAACCCCGGACCTTCCGCTCTCCGGGCGGACGCTCTACTACTAGACCACGGAGACGGTCTGAGATGTATTTGAACTGAGATCAGACATGAACAGTTTTCAGCTGCAGATGTTGTTTTCAAAAATACGAACTATGCGTCTAAATATACAGTGCCTTGGATTAAAAACATCTTCCAACAATGCATTTTTTGTTTTGTGCCAGGCAATTTGTTTTCAACACTCTGAAGCAAATAATCAGTACCCCTCCTCCTCCAACACACACTCACACAAATTCATTGCGTCAAGGATAAAATATTCCTTCATAATCTGCGTAAGAACCGACTTGTCTCATATTTTAACGTCACCGTTTTCTCTACAGCGAAGCAAATCTCTAATGATGTCGTACAGCCGGCATCGGTGAAGTTCACGGGAAAGGTTCCGTGCAGGGAGAAGAAGATCCTGCACAAAATAGAGGAGAACTTCAAGAAGAATGTTTCCCTGCGGGTATGTGTTCCTAGTCTGCGGGGGCGGTCGGGTAGCCTAGTGGTTAAAGCGTTAGCCCGTCACGCCGAGGACCCGGGTTCGATTCCTGACATGGGTTAAATGTGTGAAGCCTATTTCTGGTGTCCCCCGTCGTGATATTGCTGGAATATTGCTAAAAGCGGCTTAAAACCATACTCACTCACTCACTCCTAGTCTACGGGAAGTAGTGAATGAGTTTAGCTTGACAATGATTTGAACAGCGCTGCAGTTAGTTATGTCAAAGCGTGTCAGTCTGATGTGGAAGCGTTCGACACGCCGAAGACCCTGGTTCGATTCCCGACATGTGTACAGCCCATTTCTGGTGTCCCCCGCCGTGATATTTCGGGAATATTGCTAAAAGCGGCGTAAAACCATACTCACCCACTCACTCACTCAGTCTGATGTGGAAGGAAAGCCCGATGTGATGCAAGTCTTGAACGTTTACCATTTTGATGAAATGAGTACGGGTGTTGAAACCTGGGAGCATAATCAAGACGAATCTGGGATTCGAACCAACAATTATAGGTTTAGGGCACGCATATGGGATGCAACAGGCAGACGCCACTACGCCACGGAGGCGGTAATCTTGTTTGGTGTTTTACGACAATACGCATTTCCTCTGAATTCAGCAGGAGACTACTAAAACCATGCAGGATGCCTAGATATGAGTCACTCCTTCCGCATCATGATCTCAGCTAATATTAAGTCATCGCCACTTAAAATATCGCAATATCCCGATGATTAATTCATGAAGATAGTTGGGTATGGATCAGGTGACTGCGAGCGGCACAGCGAGTGCAGCGACCGTGTTTTGTTTAAGTTAGGTTTCACGCCGCTTTTAACAGTATTCCAGCATAATCTTGGAGGAAAGCCCGAAGTGATGTAGGTCCCAGACGTTTACCACTTCGGTGAAACCCACGAGCACGGGTATGGTGCTGACAAACCTAGAAACATAATCGGGGCGAATCGGGATCCGAACCCACAATCATAGGTTCCTGGTGTGCCCAAGGAACGCAACTCTGCACAGCGAATCGCGGGGCCTCAGACGACCGGCCCCGCTTAAAGCGGCGTAAAACCATACTCACTCACTCGATGTTTTTTGTGTCAGCTGGTGATTTTGAAATGTTGTGTTCAAGGTATCCGACCTCTGTGAAGAAAACTTCATCTGCTCAGTTGATGAGGTTGAGACCACGTGTCAGGAAGGTGAAGGTCAGTCCGAGTTTACGCGTTTGTCGAATAGTAACGAAAGTTGTAATTTGTAAGAGAAATGCCCACATTATTTATATTTATCCACAGCTCATGACATAGTCCCGTATATATTCTACAACCATTAAAGCGCAAAGCGTGTTGATGCATGTTGTAGTGGAAAGACAATTATTAGAATAGGGAGCATCCATTTGATTATATATGGTGGAGTTGTGTTTTTGAAATCGATCCATTTTTCCCCAGCTGTATCCAGCAAACTATTTATGTACTAAACACCATCAAACAATCTATTCATTGTCACTATCAACACGTACACATTTACCATTGGGTATTTTCTACAAAACAAACTATTCATTTTGTTCACCACTACCAACAAGCTATTCATCAATGTCATTTTCTCAACAAGCTATTCATCAATGTCATTTTCTCAACAAACTATTCATCAATGTCATTTTCTTAACAAACTATTCATCAATGTCATTTTCTCAACAAACTATTCATCAATGTCATTTTCTTAACAAACTATTCATCAATGTCATTTTCTCAACAAACAATTCATCAATGTCATTTTCTTAACAAACTATTCATCAATGTCATTTTCTTAACAAACTATTCATCAATGTCATTTTCTCAACAAACTATTCATCAATGTCATTTTCTTAACAAACTATTCACCAATGTCATTTTCTTAACAAACTATTCATCAATGTCATTTTCTTAACAAACTATTCATCAATGTCATTTTCTCAACAAACTATTCATCAATGTCATTTTCTTAACAAACTATTCATCAATGTCATTTTCTTAACAAACTATTCATTCAAAACGTTTTCCTATCGCCCCATAGAAATCCAATCCCTAATTGGTTAAACCATGAAACATACGGTTACCGTAAACGTCATTTGATCAGGTAAGTTTGTCAGACAACCAGTAAGAAAGAATAATATGAAAACACTGCCCGGTGCATTCCTAAGACCTGGGTTCGATCCCCACGTTGATACAAGATGTGAGGCCCCCTTCTTTTTTAATTATGTTTTTGTTGTTGTCGCACATACGGTAATAAATATGTAAATAGCAAAGTTCTATAAAAGATAAAAATATTGTAAAATATATTCCTATGTCCTCCAAATGTTCCGGTATCATTGTTATAATGTTTGTACTGAGCAAGCTGAGTAGAATTAGTGAAGTTTTCATTCCTTCTTTCAAAGTCTCTTCGTCACACAATACAATGAAGAACACAGAATTAATCATATCCATCTAACGTCTTGGCGTTACCGGCCGTGGTGGGGCAGGAATATTGTTGAAAGCAGCGTGAAACACAACGCACTGTTTTAAAGAACTCCACTGCCAACAAACATGTTCATTCTCAGCTTACAAAACGTTTATATTACCTAGACTACAACAAGATCCACATTGGTCTTGGAAAACGCCGACGCAGGAAGCGCAGTATCAGCAAATACCAGAAACAACTCGCCAGAAGTAGAGGCCATGGTCGCAGTCTGCTCATCTTTGACTTCAAGCTGGAAGGTAGGATCCCAACACTGATTATATCTAATGATAGTACGTATGTCAGCTCAGGCACGGGTGGCCTAGTCGCCTCAGACGGGGTAATAAGCCTGTAGAGTTACGCCCCTTAGGCTTGCCAGGAACCTATAATCATGGGTTCCAATCCCAGATTCGCTCTGATCAAGTTGGTCTCTCCTCCTACTTAAGTGGCGTTAAACTTAACTCTCCCACATGCACAAAAGCCGTAGCACTAGTGTGGTTATACTATTTAAGTAATGAGTTAGGAGTGGGCGATGTTTATCATACAATAAAACTCTGCAGGGAGAATAAACCATGAGGACTCCCTTAATAGAATCCAAATTCGGCAATGTCTGACAAGTCCATTTTATGCACAGGTGCACAGTCCTCAGGTCGATCATCTGTACCTTTTCTCCCAATACCGATTGTCATTTCTCTCCCCCTTTTGGATGCGATCGTTCAGCAATCGCGTTTTTCGGCGTTGCCCAGCTACATATATGTGGAACAACTCACTGGACACTTCACTCTTAAAAATAACGTCGTCCAATAAACGACGTCATCGAGAAAGGGCGTCATGACAGAACAATGTTTTATCGTGAAATAAACCAGACTTCGTTCTTCATTGTTCTTTGCGATTTATCGCGTAGCTATCGTATATGTATATGTATACATGCAGGCTGGATATCAGTGGGTCTCATTCTTCACTAGGTACAGTAACAGCGACTGGCAACGAGACAGAAGATGACAGACGCCAACTCGCCATTACCAAAAACCTGAAGACGATTCTTCAGACATTGCAGCAAGACGCCAAGGCAGGACATTTCAACTTCCGGTTTGGTGGAAGAGAGATGAACTTTAAGAACATGACCTTCAACCCCAACCAACCCAAGTTCATGTGCCCTGAGGGCATGGTCCAGATTCGAAGCACGTGTGGTAGGCATGAACACAAATAGTATTTCTACGAGGGCATGTAATGGTTTATAGTGAGTGAGTATGGTTTTACGCTGCTGTTAGCAATATTCCAGCAATTTCACGGCGGGGCTTCACACATTGTACCCATGTCGGGAATCGAACCCGGCTCTTCGGCGTGACGAGCGAACGCTTTAACCACTAGGCTACCCGACCGCCCCAATGGTTTATAGGAATGGATAGGCTGAAAAGCATCGGGGAATGGGTGTCAACACACCACGGGATCGAGCCCCTAAAAATATACAAATCATGACAAAAACTGGGCATTTATTTTGTATAATATATTGCCTTTTATGTGATTATGATCATGACAAACTACATTTGGTAATGTTGCGCGCTTGAGGAGGGTTAGCCTACTGGTTAAAAGCATTCACTCGTCATACTGAAGAACCGTGTTCCATTCCCAACATGGTTACAACGCGTGAAGCCCATTTCTGGAGTTCCCCGTCTTGGTGTTGCTGGAATATTGCTAAAAGTGGTGTAAAACCCAAGTCACTCACTCACTCACTGAGGGGGGGTTATGAAGAAAACGGACTGGCACTTTGGTGTATCATAACAGAAATGAAAATTCTTATGTACTCGTGGTTGACATAGCCATGGTTCTCGGCACCAGATCCGTCCAGATTTCACCAGAAGTAGTGGTTGTCTACGACCTTCTTTTTGACTTACTTGAGGTCGAAGTTATAAGGTCAAAAACAACAACTCAGTGTGTCTTTGCCTCCCACGTTAACCCTCACTCTCCTGCAGTGGTGAGGTGAGGTGATATGGGGTTTAACGTCGCGTCCAAGATTATTGCACTTATATAGCGACGTGCATGTATGTGTGTGTGTGTGTGGCTGCTTGTACTAGTCCGGACTGATGCCGATTTATAGTGCTAGCACACTGAGATACCATGCCGCAGTTTAACATGAATACCCCACTCAGACACAGTATACTGACTCCCAGCCGACCAGTCCTTTGTTTATCCCCTTGATGCCGAGCGCCAGACAGGGTAACAACAAGAACCATCTTTTAACGTCTTTTGGTATGACGCGGCTGGGGATCGAACCCCGGACCTTCCGCTCTCCGGGTGGAGGCGGTCTCATTGTGTAGTAGCTCCGGGTTATGTTCTGCTGATAGCAATAAAGGGATGTCTTGAAATACACTACTAAAAAGGGATAAGGAAAAGACATATTAACTATTGTAATATGAAAGAGTCGGATGGCCCTCAACTTGTTTCATATTTTCAGTCAAATGTCCCGTCGGGATGTACTTCAACGTGATCAGAAAGACCTGTGAAAGCTGCTCTGTGGGGACCTACCAGCCAGTGGAGGGGTCCGTGGCCTGCCTCGTGTGCCCGGGGAACCAGTCCACAATCGAGACAAACACAAGGACGTCAAAAGAGTGCAAAGGTAAGGCTTGTTAAAATAAATGTCTCTCATGATCCACCGCCCCTTTCAAAACGTATCTAACGGTCGATAAGCCATACAACGCCATATTTTGTTTGTTAAATTTTGTTCGCACTCGGCAATATTCCAGCTATATGACGGCGGTCTGTATAATCGAGAGTCCGGACAAGATAATCCAGTGATTGACATCATGATCACTTTAGTCGCCTTTTACGGCAAGCATGGGTTGCAATTCTAACCCGGATCTTCATGGGTCTTTGGCAATGTAAGTGTGCTGTGAAAACATTGTTATAAACGTGCAGGTCAGAATATATAAGAATTTAGTGCTGAATACATGATTAGAAACATATTTGTGGGTGTGTCCTATTCACGTTCTATACCAATTAAAGGACATCGGACATCTTGCTTTAAAACATAAATAGGTACGAATCGTTCACATTTGGGTACGAGTCAGCCTTATACAGTTCGAATGCTCCAAAACAGGTACAAATCTGACGAGAATGTCAGACATTGTCGTTGAGTACGATTCTACGTGGATCTAGTATCCTTCGTACATTTTCCTCACTGTGGCGTCCAGCAACATTAAATCATCCAGTCCAGTTTCCACCCTTGCCGAACTAGACTGGAGTTCTTGGCTCGATCGTAGCGCCACCAGTGGCTATTACCAGTTATACCCCTTCTATGCCTCTCCTATGGACCAATCTGATTCCACCTCTCGTATCACCTGCGTTTGTTTCACACAAAATGGTGGCGCCCAGTCAGGACGATCTGATCGATAATCAAGATCTATATTGTGATAAAACGGGTCTTACATCGCGAAATGCATCAAATCACGTGAGCACCTTGATTAAAAACATGAAAAGATTTGAAAAATATCAGCTGACAACAAGTTGGCGGTGCACATGCTTTGCAAATCCTGCTATCGACCGAAATCTGCACGACAGTTCACGAACCGGATTTCGATTTCGGTGCGCGATTTTGATTGGACTATGCATAGACTCGTTAGTCCAGCCAAAATGTTAACTACATAATACCAGCCTAATTCGGCAAGGGTGGAAACTGGACTTTTATAGTCAGTTAACTCTCTTGCTCTCTCTATCGTCTATAGCGCACCTTGGGATCAGTTCTTCTCTGTTGTATCCATGATATAATTTGTAACAGTTTGTTTTTTGTTGATTTGTTTATATGCCAGCTATATGATGGCGGTCTGAAAATAATCGCGTCCAGACATTCCAGTGATCGATGTTGTGAACATGACACCAAGTCACCGAACCTGACGTATTACGACCAGCATAGGTTGCTGGTGCTCTAGTCTAACATGGAATCACCACGTACCATGGTATACGTTGCAGACATATTTAATTGCTGTGGTTACCTTTCAGCTCAGTGTCTTCCGGGAAGTTTTTCCTTCAACGGTCTGGAGCGGTGCGAGACCTGTGACGTAGGCTTCTACCGGTCGGAGTATGCGCAGACAGAGTGTCTTCCCTGCCCTACCAACAGAACCACCAGAAAACGGGGCAGCCGGACGGTTGACAACTGCCAAGGTAGACTTACGTTACACCTTTCAGATTCGCAGATAATGCAGAACTACATAGGTTTGTTTTGTCCACGTTTGTATATACTCTTCAACCTAATAAATGAACTTCCACTCAGACTATCAATGAAACAGTTTTTTCTTTATATTGTCTTCAGATATATAGCATAAAGGAGCCGAGTGGATCTCTTCGTTTTCAGAATTGAAGAAATCTAGACATGTTGTTTGTTTGTTTGTTGTTTAACGCTGCACTCAGCAATATTCCCGCTATATGACGGTCCTCTGTAAAAAATATAGTCTGGATCAGGAAATCCAGTGATTGACATCATGAGCACCGATCTACGCAATTGGGATACAATGACATGCATCCAGCAAGTCAGCGAGTCCCGATCCTGTTAGTCGCCTCTTACGACAAGCATAGTCGCCGCCTACGACAAAGCCGGCATTGTTTGTTGAAGGCCCATTTTAACCCAGGTCTTCACGGGTATTTAGACATGTAGACTTTGCCTGGGGCTTTGCTGATGTCTTCATTTCAGGGTCTGTTTGAAAGACTACTTGTACAAAATGTAGTCATGGGATATGGTTGGGATCACTTTTTTTCACCTCGGGGAATAACATGACCTTCCGTTAAAGGGATATATGTTTACTTAGACAACTCGGTTAGTGCTATTCGGGCCTTTCAAAAACCACATTGTCAAATAACACTTTCTTTTGGTGCTATTCCAGAGCGCTGTCCGGCTGGCTATGTGTCCAAGAGCGGCCTCAGGCCATGTCTTCCATGTCCAAAGGGGACGTTCCAACAGGAGGAGGGCCAGTCTGCCTGCTTCCAGTGTCCACACCGAGCGTTGACCACTCACTCCGCGGCGTCATCAGTCACAGACTGCGAAGGTATTGTCACCTGTCCTGTATGGAGGTCACAATCGTTTCTTGTCAACACGTTTAGTGATGTTGCTGCTAATTCTTAAACAACTATCGCTGCTTCTATTATAAGAACTGGGACGACCGCTGTATTGTGAGAGCGTGTCCTGGATGAGAGATAGTCTGGCTAGTATCTTTATTACTGGGATGATCGTTGTCACGTGAGAGCGTGTCTGAGATGAGAGATAGTCCGGCTAGTATCTTTATTACTGGGATGATCGTTGTCACGTGAGAGCGTGTCCGGGATGAGAGATAGTCCGTCTAGTATCTTTATTACTGGGATGATCGTTGTCATGTGAGAGCGTGTCTGAGATGAGAGATAGTCCGGCTAGTATCTTTATTACTGGGATGATCGTTGTAGCGTGAGAGCGTGTCCGGGATGAGTGATAGTCCGGCTAGTACCTTTATTACTGGGATGATCGTTGTCATGTGAGAGCGTGTCCAGTGTGAAACATAGTCCGGGTACAGACCTCCCTTCCAGCATGTCAGATCGTCCAACCCATAAAAGTGTCTGTTACCCCTTGCTACAAATTGTCCTTCCGGACGTGAGATGAAAACGGTGCTGCATGTTCTTATTGTGCCAATGCACCTGAAGTAAATACTGATCTTTACTGAAACCAGCACCCGACTAAATGCCATTGCTACAATGAATACTTTGTTGTTTGTTTGTTGTTTGCAATATTCCAGCTGTATGTCGGCGGTATATATAAAAATCGAGTCTGGACCAGACAATCTAGTGATTGACATCATGAGCATCGATCCACACGATTGGAATACGATGACACGCATCAACCAAATCAGCGAGCCTGATCACCCGATCCCGTTAGTCGCCTCTTACGCAGGCATAGTCGCACTTTACGGCAAGCATAGTCGCACTTTACGGCAAGCATGAAGATCTATTCTAACCCGGATCTTCATGGGTCTACAATGTATGCAACTATTGTGGAACGTTTGGTGATTTACAGACAGATTCACAACAGTCAGTATGGATGAACTGACACACGTCCATAACCTACAATAACGTTCATTAATGCTTCTATTACAACAGTAACAACACTTTTACCCTTTACCACCGCATCCTCTTCTGCCTCAGCAGCACCTGCTACTACTAATTCTTTTGTAGTGTGCAAAGCCTTTGTTTCCAATTTTTTCTTAACACATGTTTCTGTATATCAGGTGACTGGGACCTCCAAAGTGACGCCTCTCTTCCCCAAAATGAGCAGACACAGATCCTGGTTAATCTTTGTTTTGAAGAACCCTGCGAGAATGGCGGTACCTGTAAAGTAAAAGGAGGATTCGGTTTCAAATGCATATGCATGCCTGGATTTACTGGTAAGACCAGAATTTGGTATTTTGTAAGTAAGTCAAGATTATGGAGACCTATTCTGACCCTGAATCTACACGGGCCCAGAGTGAATGAGTGAGTGCGTGAGTATGGTTTTACGCCGCTTTTAGCAATATTCCAGCAATATCAGGGCGGGGGACACCAGAAATGGGCTTCACACATTGTACCCATGTCGGGAATCGAACCCGGGTCTTTTGCGTGACGAGCGAGCGCTTTAACCACTAGTCTACCCGACCCCCCCTCACGGGCCCAGATATTTCAAAGGATACTGTGTTTTGATAAAACCATAAATGTAATAATTTTCTATAATCAAGATTATCTACACAACCATGATGTCTGTCATTTTAAATTGTCAACTAATCGAATTAAAATATCACCCTGTCACATCTTATATAACTGGATCGGAATCGGGTTAATGTGGGAATCCAATATTTTGATGTAATACACATGATAGTTATCTGCTTTATACAAGGTGTGGCCACTGGGCAAATGGGTCCCTAATCCATGGCAGGATCCACTGGTCCTGGTTTCGAATCCAATGTTCGCCTCTATTATGATCCATGGCCTGTTGGCACCTCTACGTGTGAGTGAGTTGGGTTTAACGCCGCTTTTAACAGTAGTCCAGTTATATCACGGCGTGTCAGCTTAATGTGGAAGGAAAGCCCGAAGTGATGCAGGTCTCAGACGTTTACCACTCCGGTGAAACCCACGAGCACGGGTATGGTGCTGACAAACCGAGAAACATAATCGGGGTGAACCGGGATTCGAACCCTCAATCATAGGTTTCTGGCGTGCCCAAGGGACGCAACTCTGCACAGCGAATCGCGGCGCCTTAGACGACTGGGCAACCCGTGCCCCCGGCACCTCTACGATTTGTCACCCCTCCCCCTTTGTTCAGCTACGCTCAGGGATATAACTGAGTATTGACCAGAGCCATATTTCGTGAATTAATTCTCCCTTTCTCCTCCACCCAGGGACCGTGTGCCAGACACAAGTCGACCAGTGCAAAGGCCTACCTTGCCTCCACAACGGCACGTGCGTGAACCTACAAGTAGACTATGTATGCACGTGCCCGGACGGTTTTTCAGGTAAACATCATCATCACCTTTACAAGATCATTTTGTTATATGTGATTTCCAAAACTGAAACTCAAAGGTTAACCCAGAAAACGGTAAAAATAAAATGTTAATGCAAGAAAAATCTTGATTATCCGCTGAAACAGATTCCGTTTGGCACAAAGGGCTGTGAAAATTATATGAATCGGCCACTGAAAATCAGTGATGACACCAGGTGTTCGCGAATGTACAGAACTAAATTAGTATATGACCACACAAATCTTTCGGTTCACAATCAAAGAGGCAATGCAGTGGGTCAAATAAATGGTGTCAGCAACAAGTAACATGCCCTGGATTTAATGTAAGTGCACTCACGAATGCTCCGAATTTTGTCACTTCCGAATGTCCTAAAAACCAGGCTTGTCCAGAATACTTAAATCTTGAAGCCAGAGTAGCAAGAAATAAGTGCAATTGGCAAGTTTATAAGACATAAGTCAGGTCGAAAAGGCTTCGAATCGCGCTCTTGCTGCTCTTTACAGGTAAAGCCAACCTTCCAGATGATGTTCCATCCCGAAAGTTCTCCCATGATTAAGCTTTTGGTGTTTGTAAACAAGGGCGGATCCAACATTTTTAAAAGGAAGGGATCCAAAATATCAAAATCCTCTCTCAGTCAATTTTACAGGCTACAACATCTTCATTTGGTTTTCAAAAGGGGGACCACTTGGACCTCCATCTGGATTCCGCCTGTGCACTCGCGGATAAAATCTGGTCACGACTTGCGCTTGATGTTTTAGTAGCGTTTCAATATTCTGCTGTTGCCGACATTCATTACAAATAGATTTACAAAATTTTCTACTGCTACATGCCACATCCTCGGGCTTGACCCCACCCAATTTTGAAAAGCACATGTGGTCCCTAATGAAATTTACCCCCAATGAATCGTTTGATTCACTGAAACACAGACAGTAAATCATCCGTATCCCCGCAATCAGATATATCATCCAATGTATGATTTGACCACACCCCTCCTCACTGAAGAATGAAAGCAATGTTCTACCTCTGCTCATACATATCTTGCTGAGGAAAAATACCAAGTCCACGAAACGGTGTCTTTGTTACTGGAGCCGGGTTCCAGTCAACTCGCTATATGTAAATATCGCTTCAGCTCTCACATGTTTGAAACATATTCGTACTCTTGAGCGATGTATAGATTGGATAGTTATCGGAAAACTTGGGCCAACAGGATGATGCAAAAGAAACGAATATATTTTAGTATTCCTCGAGTATTGATAAGCACATCTTCCCGTGGCAAGGCTGTTAACTGACTATAATAAAGTCCGGGTTTCACTTTTATAGTCGGATAACTCCCTTGCCTCAGGAAGATGTGATAAACAATATTCAACACGAAAATTGTATGTTAGATTTATCACAAAACTATGCATGAAATAATCGTTTTACTGGGTCTACAAATTGTGTTTCTTTGTTGTTTTGGGGGATGGTTCAGAAAGTTGTGTTTAATGTTCTTTTAAGGTTGTTTAGACTAATCAAAGTCTAATTAAAAAACTTTCTGATAACCCCCAAAATAATATAAAATAAGCATACAGTTTTTATTCTTTGGGGATGAGCTTTAACATGAAACTGTTACATTAACATAATTATGTAAATAGAAGGAATGTGAAAATTCTTTTGTTACTGACTTTTGGAAACATCAACCAGGTAAAAAGTGCGAGGTGAACAGGGACGAGTGTGCATCCAACCCGTGCCAACATGGCGGTACTTGCATAGACGGCGCCAACAGGTTCCTGTGTCACTGTGACTCGGCCTATCAAGGTGAGAGTATGCCTTGCATGAGATACACCTGGAAATAGTAACCTGATCACTTCATGTAATAAACAGACCGCCTCCGTGGTCTAGTGGTAGAGCGTCCGCCCGGAGAGCGGAAGGTCCGGGGTTCGATCCCCGGCTGCGTCATACCAAAAGACGTTAAAAGATGGTACTTGTTGTTACCCTGTCTGGCGCTCGGCATAAAGGGGCTAAAACAAGGACTGGTCGGCTGGGAGTCAGTATACTGTGTCTGAGTGGGGTATTCATGTTAAACTGCGGCATGGTATCTCAGTGAGCTAGCACTATAAATCGGCATCAGTCCGGACTAGTACAAGCAGCCACACAAACACACACACGTACATGCACGTCGCTATATAAGTGCAATAATCTTGGACGCGACGTTACACCCCATTTCACCTCACCTCATGTAATAAACAATACATGCTGGGATTTCAATGATGGAAAGACAATTCGTCATCTTTGCTGGAGGTTATGTGGAATATAGTATATATACCACTCAAAAGAAGTTAAGGGCGACTCGATTCCTTCAGATGGCATGACAGATTATAGTAATGTGAAAGAACCGGGTGGTCCTTAACTTCTTTAGACTCGTATACACTGGTTCGAAGAAATAAGGAAACACGTGGAAAGATATTTTTTTTATATGTCTTTTTATGTTCCGGATAATTTTTAGCAACGTAGCGCCAAATTTCACCCTGTGCCCGTGTATTGTTTGGTTCATGTAGAGCATCTCCCCCGACAGCACCAGAATATCGCTGTGAAATATCGAAACTCTTTTCTGGTTGTTTTTTTTCTGATCCGGAAACTATCCTTCACAGAATAATTTTTTATGGAATGCGATGCTGGTTTTGCATTGTCCTTCACAAGCGCCGTTCCAAGTATGTTTCGTTATTTCTTACCATCAGTTTATGACCACTATTAATAATTATATTAATAGAGTGAGTGAGTGATTATTTTTTAACGCCGCATCGGCAATATTACAGCTAGATAGTCATTGATCCCAATGAGTAATCTTGATAAAAGTATAGTATACAAGCATAAGATCAGATACGTAATTTATGGAAATTAGCTTTGGCATCCGAAATACGACCAAAATAGTATTCAATATGTGATATAAATGTAGTTTATGCATTTTTGGTTCAAATATTTTTTCCGGCTCAAAACGGTTTCAAAATAAATTCATGAGTCATGAAAATGTAGACGATCAAGTACCTCAAAATACATTTTATTGAACTGTTTAAGCTTTCCAAAAGTTTTATGTTCGACATGTGGAGGACATTTCCTAACCTGACGCATCAGCAACAAAAATGATGTCCGTTGCAATTCCCTATTTTGACTTGAACCATATGTTCCCATATTTTTTCGGGTAAACAATTGACTTGCCTTTGCATGTGTTTGTGACGGATGCCACTGGTGGGGAAGGATACGCTCTCCTTTTCGCAAACACCTGGTATCATTACTATTTGATAGTGATTCATAAACACATGCTCATGATATAGTCGGAATTGTACAATCGACTCTGCTTTATGCAGAGATTTCTATTGGATATGGAAAGGGTTTTGTCGCTTTACTTATGATTATGATTATGATGATTATTATGTATGTGTGCTTGTTAGTAATGATGCACTAATCACGAAGTCAGGTGCGACCTGCGAGGAAAATATCAACGACTGTTCTGACACTCGCTGTCATAATGGTGGCACGTGCATCGATGACGTCAGCGGATACACCTGCACGTGTCGAGGTGGCTTTACAGGCGAGACATGCGAGATTGAAATTGACGAGTGTTTGGAGAACCCGTGCAGGCACGGGATTTGTCACGATGAGGAGAACGGATTTAGGTGATTATTGTGCTCAAATTATGTTACCAACGTTTTGCCTTCAATTCTCTTTAAAATGACATGATCTATCAAAGGATGACTTGACAAGTGTGTTTTAGTAATGCGTTAATAGCATTTAAATGCCTGTTTCAGTTATCAATACATTTATGTGATAAGATACTTTCGCCTTTGAGGAAAAGACTGATACCTCTTATCCAATGGTTGTAGATAGGCCTACTTCTGTTTGCCTCATCTTGTCCAATGGTGGTAGATCAGCCTACTTCTGTATGCCTCATCTTGTCCAATGGTGGTAGATCAGCCTACTTCTGTATGCCTCATCTTGTCCAATGGTGGTAGATCAGCCTACTTCTGTATGTCTCATCTTGTCCAATGGTGGTAGATCAGCCTACTTCTGTATGCCTCATCTTGTCCAATGGTGGTAGATCAGCCTACTTCTGTATGCCTCATCTTGTCCAATGGTGGTAGATCAGCCTACTTCTGTATGTCTCATCTTGTCCAATGGTGGTAGATCAGCCTACTTCTGTTTGCCTCATCTTGTCCAATGGTGGTAGATCAGCCTACTTCTGTATGCCTCATCTTGTCCAATGGTGGTAGATCGGCCTACTTCTGTATGCCTCATCTTGTCCAATGGTGGTAGATCAGCCTGCTTCTGTTGAACCCGTGTTTGATGCCTGTTTACAATAGCAAGAAGCACATCCTTGCATTTTCTTAAACTAGCATACAGAAGTGATAAGCTGGATCCCGTCTCTTGATATCGCAAGTTGATGATATTTCATATTTGGCAATGTTAGTAATGTCGACGAGGTCAACGAACAGGTGGCACACAGGTGCACATATGACAGCAACATTTATATTGTCTGTCGTTGTTTTTTACAGTTCCATGCATCAATAAGATCGAGACAACGTTTTTTTCATTTAACATTTTGATGGTAAAAACGCAATGCCATAATAAGGGGCTTTAATGAGTCGCTTAATGTACATACCTCCCAACCCACATACTACCCCTGACAGAAATTGTACAAGGGATTGTTGGTTGGAACTCCCACAATGTTGGACGCCCATTCTTGGTGTCCACTGCCAAGGTGTTATTGCAGTTTTTCGCGATCACACACGTACTGTGACAGAACAAGACAATATCAATTCGCTGGTTTTTATTTTCTTTATTTCAATTTGTGCTTGAAGCTGTGAGTGCGAGGCGGGCTACAAAGGGAGGCTGTGCGGGCGAAACATTAACGAGTGTGCCTCCACACCATGCCAAAACGGCGGCACATGCGAGGACGGGATCAACGCCTACACCTGCAACTGCCCCGCCAACTATACCGGCGTCAACTGTGACGCAGGTGAGTGTCTGCATTGATATGTATATTGAAACCTCATTAGTCCAGACGCCGTTAATCCGGAAACCACTCTTCTGGACATTTAGTGCCCGTAATGCATGCATAAATTCACAGAAACATTATTTTGTACCCATTTGTTTATCCGGACATTTGTTAACACAACAGTTTCTCTGGGAAATGCACCGTCTGGATTAGCGGGGTTTCACAGTTATTCGTTTGTTTTGTTAAAACAATGCTAGTTTTGCCGACTTATTTCAAATCCTTGGGAGTTTTTGTTCTTGAATGTCTGTCACATGATCAGAAGTAACATTGCAAAATACAACATATTTTTACGAATTATTGGAATGTTCCAATAATAACACTGGGTGTTCGCAAACAGCGCGTGAATATGTCGTAAACTATACATCGTTAACGCCGTTGAACATGGGTTAAATTAGGTTCCCAGTGACCCTGAGCTTGTCGTAAGAGTTAGTTAAATGGGATCAAAGAACAGCCTGGTGACATGGTGTTCATTGTGTGTCATAATACCCTGATGTCAGGAGACGTTGTTAATAATATCAACCACTGGTTTGTCTAGCCCAGATTCGATTATTTACTGTCCGCGATGTAGCTGGAATATAATTGATTTGGCGTTAAACAACATTCAATCTCTGCCATAAGTCAAGCTCAATGTAACTCGTGAAAATCCGGGGTAGAATAGGTCTCCAGCAACCCATGCTTGCCGTGAAAGGCGACTATGCTTGTCGTTAGAGGCGACTAACGGGATCTGGTGGTCAGGCTCGCTGACTTGGTTGATGCATATCATCGTATTCCAATTCGTGGATCAATGCTCATGATGTCAATCACTGGATTATTTACAGACCGTCGTCATATAGCTGGAATATTGCTGATTGCGGAGTTAAACAACAAACAAACAATGTAACTGTTGTCACCACTCAATAACATTTAATGCATTAACAAATGTGTAGTTAAATGATTCATTGTTACAGATTAATATCTTAAAGTAGACGTTCCTAAAACAATCGCCCAGTTTAATGAGGTTTCACTATATGCAGTTTGCACAAGAACCAACTGACATTAAAACCATCACATGGATTGCTCTTTGATGACATATTCACATTATACAAAGTTTAACTCATTTTGGAATTCATCTTGTAATTCCACCGGATTCAGCAGAACGCCTGTTTGGGCCTGATCACTCAATTTTCTCGGGGCTCTGATAATACTTGAAAAATTTGCCTTGGGTTTAATAGAACAATACAATAGAAAATAGAAAATTTACAAGAATGTAAAACTTTGTCCACAGTGTTAGACAAGAACTACCAGCTGGACTTCCCGTCGGCCGGAACTGACCATGTCCAGGTGCCCATCAAGCAGGACATGTCTGTGGTCACGGTCTCCTTCTGGATGAAGACCAATGACAACATCAACCAAGGAACGCCCTTTTCGTACGCCATACCAGGCTCTGACAATGCTCTGACACTGACAGATTATGACGGGTAGGTACTGTGTGTATTGACGCAAACCATAGAGAGTCCATAAATAGTAGCATCAAGCTATCTAAAAACACAAAGAATGGTAAATTCAAAAAATTAAATGGGACATACATGTCAAATTATAATACGTATAATACTGTTAATCGCTGAACTTTTTAGGGGGCACGGGTGGCCAAGTCGCTGTGCAGAGTTCGTAGCTTGGGCACGCCAGAAACCTATGATTGTGGGTTAGAATCCCGGTTCGCCCTGATTATGTTTCTCGGGAATGTCAGCAACATACCCGTGCTCGTGGGTTTCACCGAAGTGGTAAACGTCTGAGACCTGCATCACTTCAGGCTTTCCTCCCACATTAAGCTGACACGCCGCGATATAACTGGAACACTGTTAAAAGCGGCGTTAAACCCAACTCACTCACTCTGAACTTTTTGATTTTTTTTTATAATCTTGGAACCTCTCCTCAGATTCGCTTTCATGGTAAATGAGGAGAAGGTCATGACGGATGAACCAACCAATGACGGCATCTGGCATCACATCGTGATCACGTGGTCAGCCAACAGGGGTTCCTGGAAACTATATATCGACGGCCTCTTGAGTGACAGCGGGTTCAATCTCTCCACTGGAAAACCAATTGCAGGTAATTGATGGTGTTCACTTGGGTGACCTGGCCAGGTCGTGTAGCAAGTTAACAATTGTGCAGCAGTAGCGTTGTGACATTACATTATTTCACTGAAAAGAAAGATTTGTGTTCTCAACAGAAACTGGGTAAACGATTTGATTCAGAGAGTTTAAAAAACATGATACACCTTTTTACAGTAGCATAAACGTGGTGCGTATAGTGCCATAAGGTAGTTGCGTTGGTGGAACTAGTTCCGAAACAAATGCGTGAGAGAGTTATGCAATATTCCAGCTATATATTACGACAGCTTGTACAAAATCGAATCTGGCTCAGACACACTAGTGGTTGATAGCATGAGGAATAATCAACGTCATCAGGGTACAATGACATACTATCAACCAGTGTACTTATACATCCCTACAACAATCATCGAGTGATGGGGACCTGTTCTATCCCGGAAAGGACGACACGATATTACAGTCTGAAGATATTGGTTATGAATGTGTAATTTTGTCTCGTCACGATATGGGTGAAATATTGCCGGTGTGACGTTAAACTTCAACTCACTCACTCACTATCCTGCAAAGTCCGCTGTGTGAGGTGACGGGAGGACGCCAAGGGGAGAAGGGTGGGACCATGGGTTAAAGTTTAATATTACCTATATACATGTGTAATATCTTTCCCATATTTGCACGTGCATTTAAGCGGTTATCAATGCTGATTAGTCATTTGAAGCAGTAATACGTCACGGTTTTTTTATTGTTGAGAAAAATATGACATGACGTTTTCCATTGTTCATGACATCACAATTGAATAGGCTCCTTTAGTGAAGTCTTTCTGTAGAGCTGACATTGCTTTTCATAATGTTTTTCATATGTGTTTCTTCATTTTCTCTCCTGAAGTGTCAATGAGTAATTTACAGAATAACCTTCTTGAATCTCGGCCTTAAGATTATCAGTCCCTCGGGAATGAAAGCTGTATGTTCCTCGACAAAGGCTCGGGAATTGCGCCATTTATTCAAACATGACAGATAATCCATAAGTCCTCTTAGCTCGTTGATCCAGGTTAGAATAGGTCTTCAGCAACCCATGCTTGCCGTAAGAGGCGACTAATGGGATGGGGTGGCCGGGCTCGCAGACTTGGTTGATACATGTCTTCGTATCCCAATTGAGTGGATCGATGGTCATGATATCAATCAGTGGATTGTCTGATCCAGACTCGATTATTTACAGACCGCCGCCATGCAGCTAGAATATTGCTGATGGCGGCGTTAAACAACAAACTATTATTATCTAATACATCCAACGACAAACAAAACACCAAAACCATACACTGTTAACCCCTGAGACGTGAATGCTATTTTGTATTACCAGGTGGCGGCATGTTTGTGATCGGCCAGGAACAAGACTCGGTGGGCGGTGGGTTCGATCCACGCGAGGCTTTCGTTGGGAGTATCGCTCACCTGAACGTGTGGGACAGGGAACTCCCACTCGACAGCATCGATTCCATGAGGACAGAGTGTACCGAGTTCTACGGAAACATCGTCGCTTGGCCCGACGTCAGGAATGGAATCAGGGGGGCACTGAAGGACGCCACGTCTACGTTCTGTGGAGGTAAATGATGACGACTGTGACTAGAAGGCTGTCCAATCTGTAGTCCACCTTTGTGATATGCCTGCGTCGAATGCTCTGTAACCGAATGGCAATATACTGACCCACGAAAAAACCGCAACAGCTTGTGTACAATATATATATATATATATATATATATATATATATATATATATATATATATATATATATATCATATATATGGGGGTTTTTTTTAAATAAGATATTTAATGAAATCTGATTTATGAACCGTTTACCAAAAAGAAATCATTCACCTAGAACGTATGTTGCTTTGTCGCATATAACCTTTCCCCCTCAAAATCTGCTAATGCAGATCAATCAAACCAGAAGCACCTGATAAGGAGGATAGCATTGTCAGTACATGAAACGGTCTACTAATGAATGAAGCTGTTGACATACATGTCTACGATGGTATGCATGCTTTTAACTTTCGGAATATATTTTTTATCTGGTCAACCAACAAACAACATTTTGTTTCAATCTTGGGGAAATTTTATAAGCCATGATTTCAAGTGAGGCTTTTATTTCGTTGGTCAGTATGAATGAAGCATGGTCGTGCTATGTGATTGTATTTAATGCATCATTTGTAAATGAAGTGATTTGAGCTTTGTCGCCGAAATGAACAGCCATATATATATGTTATCAGCTTGATTGTCAGTTTGAGGGACAAATAAGGAAAGCCTCGAAGAATTATTGAACACAGAACATGCACCGTAGAGTTGGTCTCAGAGATAGAAGAGTGAGATGGAGAGTTTCTTCGTACATTGTGCAGAGATTTCTTGAAAAATGAAAAAGATACGTCAGCATAGAGTTGCTGGGGCTCAATTGAAGCTCCCCCCTGTGTGTGCCTGTCAGCGAGGTTGTACCCCTCTTTTGGACTTAACTAGGGGCTGGGGAATTGGTCTTAAACTATCAAATTAACCATAACACCCCACCCCCACCCCCCACCCCCCCCCCCCCCCCCCACCCCAACAACACACACACACACACACACACACACACACACACACACCCAATATAGTAACACTTTGTCATCACCTGAAAAAATAATACCCTTTCTCTCCTCCCCACCCCCTGCGACATCTGTACCTGATGGGTTGAGGTGTGAACCAACTGACATTCGTATCACAACATGTGACTTCTCCACCGTACATCTTCAGCATCTGAGCTCACAGCAGAAAACAATGTTTCCTATACTACTCAAAACAGTTAAAGACCACCCAATTCTTTCATATTACAGAAGTAAATATGTCATGGCATATGAATGAATCGTGTGGTCCTTAACTTTTTAGTGGTATATTTTTGCTATTAGTGCCTGTGTCAATGTTATATTTTCTATGTTGGTGTAATTGCATTTCTATTAATCAGTTTGCAGATTAACACCTACAAGGGTAGTGACATGTATCAAGTCTGTTCTGCATGTGAATGTGCTTGTTTGATGACCATTACTGTGTATGACCATGCTGACGAACAGTGCATATGTCATACTGAAAAAGACCATAAAACATATCTTCTTTGACATGATTAATAGATAGATATGAAAGATTTTATTTACTACTCAAAGAAGTCAAAGGACACCCTATTTTTCATAAAGTTAATCTGTCATGGTTAGTGGGTATTGCAACACACAGCATTCTAATTGTAGTTTTTTAACATATTTTGAGTAGTATACATTGAGAAAAAAAATTAATAAATAAATGTTATTATAAATAAAGAACGTTTAGGGAACATTGTTAATCCAGTTTTTTTGTATTCTGCCACAACTTTCTGTGCAATACTTTTTAATGCAGCGCAAAACCTGCTCACTCTCTTTTTTTAATTTTAGACATGCGCCAGTCTTGTAGGTCTTATGTCTGTTTTCCGTGTGTACGATGTGTCGCGTACGGAAACCTTTTAGGGCCATTTGTTTCTTTATTCTTTTCTTGAAATTTCAAGAAACTCAGCTGAAATTTTAAGATACATACTAAGCCGAAACTTCAAGATAATAAGTTGAAATTTTAAGAAAATAACTTGAAATTTTAAGATAAATTCTTGAAATTTCAACTAAGTATCTTGAAATTTCACGAAAAAAAAGAGAGAAAAAACAAGTTGCCCCAAAAGGCTTCTGTAGTCGAACCCATTTCTGGTTTTCCCAAGCCGTGCGTTGTGCTGGAAAGTGGCTCAAAACTGTACTCACTCGCTGCCATACTTTTAGCTGCGGCGTAAAACCTGCTCACTCTATCTTTATGGAATTCTAGAAGTGTGCCGGTCTCGTCGGTCTTACGTCTGTTATATAACCCTGGTTGACGTCAGGTCCATAGCCTCCAGTTCCTTTGGGACATGCAGTATTTCGAATTTGGCTGAATACAACGAACGACAACAACATAACTCCAAAATACAACTTCGCAATACATTGCACATGGTTGGTTCCTTACGAATATTTGGGACGGCAATTAGAACATGTTTGTTAAGATATTGCTTTTTGAACACAGTACATGATATCGTACGTCCATGGTCATATACGTCAGTTGTTGAGATTGAGCATTTTGGTCAAATACTATCTCCCTTAAAACAAAACATAGGTAGTGTTAGTTTGTTTGTATCCATCGGTGCTCTTCTGGTTGTTCAAATTCTTCTGTGTAAATTCGGGATATTGTATAAAGTCATTTTGTATTATGCCAGCGCCAGACCGTGTTTTGTCCAAAACTGATTCCAGCTGCAATAAATTTATTTGACATACGTTTCATGTTTTTGGGTTGTTTTTGATCCTAGTGTTAAGTTTTAAATCAATTTTGTCCAAACAAATACAAGTAACAAGCGTTGAACCTCTGCTTTGACATCAACATCATTGCAGCCTCCTGTTCCAGAATGCTCAAACAGTGCTTGTGCTTGCATGACACGGTTGAACGTAGCATGCCATTTCATATCTTGACGTTTGACATATCTTGTTTAAATGGCGACCTCATTCGAGTTGTATGGTAACACTGACGATTTTACCTGTAAATATGTCGGCAAAAGTTTGACTGTGGCCATTAAAAGAGGCAGGCCGAAGAACACGGGGATGGGGATGGTCGTGAGTGACATGTACACCGAAACCTCATTAGACCGGACACCGTTAATCCGGACACCCCGCATTCAGAACGATTACTGCTGGGAACACATGCATGATTGGTGAGGCACTGACCATTAACTAGTGTCCGTGCGTGCGTGTGTGCGTTGTGTATTAACTTAGTTTCACTGTTTATTAATTGGCCATTCTCACAACCTGAACGTGGGGCTCAAATAACCAAAGCTTTGTGAGAATGGTAAACGTAATACAGACTTATTCTCGTTTAGTCAGTGTAAGCGTCTCTCCTCTCCGTTATAAACAAGTTAAAAAAACTTGTGAACATCACAGATCGTTTTGTTAAATATCTCATCTGATTTCTGTCAAGTGAAAAACACACCCTAACCTGACATATGGGCTTTAACAATAGATCAACCATCTGGTTTAAGGAAATAGTCATTAGATGAGATATCAATAGGAAACCCTCCACACTTATCAACGTGACGCATCTCATACACGACAGCGTTCGCTCGTCACGCCTTAGTCCCGGGTTCGATTCCAAACATGGGTACATTGTGTCAAGCCCATTTCTGGTTTTTCCCTGCCGTGCGTTTTGCTGGAATGTTGCCAAAAGCGGCTTGAAACCATATTCACATACACAAGAAGAAAGAATGCTTTTCACTGACCGTGTTGCACTCATTGGGAGCGATATGTTGCTGTGCAGAGCTTGCGGTACGGATGTCTCCGGTTTTTATTTGGGGTGAATATTTAAAGTCATATCGGCGATATTTCAGCCACACAGAGAGCCAATGTCAGAACATTAGAAAATATACCGAACAATTCTCCACCAGAACACACACACACACACACACACACACACACACACACACACACACACACACACACACACACACACACACACACACACAAACACACACACACACGAGAGAGAGAGAGAGAGAGAGAAAAGATTTGATGATGGAAATTAGCGTCAGACCGATCCAGTGACTGACATAAAACGATCAGTCTTTTCAACCTATGTCATTATATATAATTCATGCTCGACTCCGACAATGAAATCGCTTCGATTGTTTTTAAAAAATCAATGTGCATGCCTGTGTCGTCAAAACCGCAACAGCAGGGTAAGTAAGCATGGGTGGAAACAACAAAATGTCTGTTATTCAATCTTGTGCAAAACTGTTATTTAAACACCTGAACGACACCACATTTACCTCTTTGGAATGACTCCATACACGATTTCCTAACAGCATGTCCATTTTCCATCTAACCACACGGCGGGGTTCTGTATGGACGCATCGCTCACGGTGCAGTGACCTCTACGGGGATACCGATGAATGGTTTGTTTGTTGTTTAACGCCGCCACCAGCAATATTCCAGGTATATGACGGCGGTCTGTAAATAATCGAGACTGGACCAGACAATCCAGTGATTAACATCATGAGCATCGATCCACGCAATTCGGATACGATTACATGCATCAACCAAGTCAGCGAGCCTGACCACCCAATCCCGTTAGTTTCCTGTTACGATCAGCATAGTCGCCTTTTACGGCAAGCATGGGTTGCTGGAGACCGATTGTAACCCGGATCTTCACGGGTACCCATGTATTGGTACTGTGTGTCTGAAAACTACAGGTAAGTACAATGTAGAATACATGATGGTACTATGTAAGGCACACATTATACCAGTCGGTCATTCGTTGCATTGAATTGAATTGTCTTCCGAGCTCTTACATCTCTTTATATTTTCTACATATCCGTATATTGGTCATAAATATATTTATTTCAACCGAACTAGAAAGTAACTTTGTTTACCTTTCACACACCCTGTGGGGATTCCGGGTATGCTGGTCGTTAAAGGCGACATAAGAAAACGATTGGTCAGAACATGACTTAATTGATTGGGTCATCGCAACCTGCCGGCGTGAGTCGTGGTTCAAAACGTCAATCTCTGGTTTGACTTATCGAGACCTGAATATGTACAGGCAGGCGTCATACTGCTGGAATATGCTGAGTGCTGCGTAAAAACAACAAGCAAACTTTTCATACGATACACATTTTCGATATAATTATATGACTTTTTAAATTATGATGGAACATCCAAATCCTTGTCCGTATTGACCAAAGTAAATCTTTTTACCTGACCAAGTGAACAATTTCAAAATAATCTGTTCTCGAAAAAGCTTGACACTATGATTTGTTGACAGGTTGTACCCAGAAAAGTAAATCGTCCTCTGGACACGGATGTTCTGAAACATGTGTTGTGAGTAACATGGAAATTGTTTGGCTCAGCCTTCGAGAGAAGAACGTGTATGTTTTGAAGTGCTGACCGGGAAGCTGGGTGGAAATGGGGTAAAGATGTAACCCTACTGTTTCAGACTGCCCGACGCCAATGAAGCCAGACTACGGCCAGGTGTCGTTCACTAGCATCAGTCCAGGGTCAACAGCGGAGTATTCGTGCATCCGGGGCTTCCAGCTGGCGGGCTACGACAGGCTTCAGTGTCTTGTCACTGGGGAGTGGGAGACAGAATCGCCGGCTTGTCAGAGTAAGGGTTTAATTCATGTTTACACTGGCTATATCGTGGTAAAAGTAGAACAGGTATCTATGTCACTTTCTGTAATACTGCAGCCTTCTCATGATCAGTAGTGGGGGCACGGGTGGCCCAGTCGTCTAAGGCGCCGCGATTCGCTGTGCACAGTTGCGTCCCTTGTGCACGCCAGTAACCTATGATTGTGGGTTCGAATCCCGGTTCGCCCCAATTATGTTTCTAGGTTTGTCAGCACCATACCCGTGCTCGTGGGTTTCACCGAAGTGGTAAACGTCTGAGACCTGCATCACTTGGGCTTTCCTCCCACATTAAGCTGACACGCCGCGGTATAACTGGAATACTGTTAAAAGCGGCGTTAAACCCAACTCACTCACTCACTCACTCATGATCAGTAGTAACCTTTACGGGCATGACACATTGAACAAGGAGTTATAAGCTTAGTAGTATTCCACAGACTAAGAAAACAATAGATGGCCGAATTGAGCCAGACATCACTGGTTGTCCAGGGTAGGATATCTTTTTTCTGTTATGATATGTATATAATATATTCAAATAATAATGAATGATATCCCCAGTGCCCAATGTTTTATTGTTTATCCATATATCCGACTAATGAGAATCGATTGGTTACAGTGTGTCACCCTTTGGTCAAGTTTCTGTGGTGTTAATTGTTGCTCCTGAACTCAATCCCTTGTCTGATGCTACATCCCCCTGTTTGATGCTACATCCCCTTGTGTGACGCTACATCCCCTTGTGTGACCATACATCCCCTTTTTGGACGCTACATCCCCTTGTGTGAAGCTACATCCCTTTTTTGATGCTACATCCCCTTGTTTGACGCTACATCCCCTTGTTTGATGCTACATCCCCTTGTTTGACGCTACATCCCCTTGTTTGATGCTACATCCCCTTGTTTCATGCTACATCCCTTTTGACGCTACATCCCCTTGTGTGACGCTACATCCCCTTGTGTGACGCTACATCCCCTTGTTTGACGCTACATCCCATTTTTTGACGCTACATCCCCTTGTGTGACCATACATCCCCTTTTTGGACGCTACATCCCCTTGTGTGAAGCTACATCCCTTTTTTGATGTTACATCCCCTTGTTTGACGCTACATCCCCTTGTATGATGCTACATCCCCTTGTTTCATGCTACATCCCTTTTGACGCTACATCCCCTTGTGTGACGCTACATCCCCTTGTGTGACGCTACATCCCCTTTTTTGATGCTACATCCCCTTGTTTGATGCTACATTACCTTGTTTGAAGCTACATCCCCTTGTTTGAAGCTACATCCCCTTGTTTGAAGCTACATCCCCTTGTGTGAAGCTACATCCCTTTTTTGATGCTACATCCCCTTGTTTGACGCTACATCCCCTTGTTTGAAGCTACATCCCCTTGTTTGAAGCTACATCCCCTTTTGTGAAGCTACATCCCTTTTTTGATGCTACATCCCCTTGTTTGAAGCTACATCCCCTTGTTTGAAGCTACATCCCCTTGTTTGATGCTACATCCCCTTCTTTGACGCTACATCCCCTTCTTTGACGCTACATCCCCTTGTTTAATGCTACATCCCCTTTGACGCTACATCCCCTTGTGTGACGCTACATCCCCTTGTGTGACGCTACATCCCCTTGTTTGATGCTACATCCCCTTGTTTAATGCTACATCCCCTTGTTTGATGCTACATCCCCTTGTGTGACGCTACATCCCCTTGTGTGACGCTACATCCCCTTCTTTGACGCTACATCCCCTTGTTTAATGCTACATCCCCTTTGACGCTACATCCCCTTGTGTGACGCTACATCCCCTTGTGTGACGCTACATCCCCTTGTTTGATGCTACATCCCCTTGTTTGTCACTACATCCCCTTGTTTGAAGCTACATCCCCTTGTTTCATGCTACATCCCCTTTGATGCTACATCCCCTTGTGTGACGCTACATCTCCTTGTGTGACGCTACATCTCCTTGTGTGACGCTACATCCCCTTTTTTGATGCTACATACCCTTGTTTGTCACTACATCCCCCTGTTTGATGCTACATCTCTTTGTTTGACGCTACATCCCCTTGTTTGATGCTACATCCTCTGTGTGATACTGCATCCCTTTGTTTGACGCAACATCCCTTGTTTGATGCTACATCCCCCTGTTTGATGCTACATCCCTTTGTTGGATGCTACATCCCCTTGTTTGACACTACATCACCTTGTTTGACGCTACATCCACCTGTTTGATGCTACATCCCCCTGTTTGATGCTACATCCCCCTGTTTGATGCTACATCTCCTTGTTGGATGCTACATCCCCCTGTTTGATGCTACATCCCCTTGTTTGAAGCTACATCCCCTGTTTGATGCTATATCTCCTTGTTGGATGCTACATCCGCCTGTTTGATGCTACATCCCCCTGTTTGATGCTACATCCCCTTGTTTGATGCTACATCCCCTTGTTGGATGCTACATCCCCCTGTTTGAAGCTACATCCCCCTGTTTGATGCTACATCCCCCTGTTTGATGCTACATCCCCCTGTTTGATGCTACATCCCCCTGTTTGATGCTACATCTCCTTGTTTGATGCTACATCCCCCTGTTTGATGCTACATCTCCTTGTTGGATGCTACATCCCCTTGTTTGAAGCTACATCCCCCTGTTTGAAGCTACATCCCCCTGTTTGATGCTACATCCCCTTGTTTGAAGCTACATCCCCCTGTTTGATGCTACATCCCCCTGTTTGATGCTACATCCCCTTGTTTGATGCTACATCCCCCTGTTTGATGCTACATCCCCCTGTTTGATGCTACATCCCCCTGTTTGATGCTACATCCCCTTGTTTGAAGCTACATCCCCCTGTTTGATGCTACATCCCCCTGTTTGATGCTACATCCCCCTGTTTGATGCTACATCCCCTTGTTTGATGCTACATCCCCCTGTTTGATGCTACATCCCCCTGTTTGATGCTACATCCCCCTGTTTGATGCTACATCTCCTTGTTGGATGCTACATCCCCTTGTTTGAAGCTACATCCCCTTGTTTGATGCTACATCTCCTTGTTGGATGCTACATCCCCCTGTTTGAAGCTACATCCCCCTGTTTGATGCTACATCTCCTTGTTTGACGCTACATCCCCTTGTTTGAAGCTACATCCCCTGTTTGATGCTACATCCCCCTGTTTGATGCTACATCTCCTTGTTGGATGCTACATCCCCTTGTTTGAAGCTACATCCCCTGTTTGATGCTACATCCCCCTGTTTGATGCTACATCTCCTTGTTGGATGCTACATCCCCCTGTTTGATGCTACATCCCCCTGTTTGATGCTACATCCCCCTGTTTGATGCTACATCCCCTTTTTTGATGCTACATCCCCTTGTTTGATGCTACATCCCCCTGTTTGATGCTACATCCCCCTGTTTGATGCTACATCCCCCTGTTTGAAGCTACATCCCCCTGTTTGATGCTACATCCCCTTTTTTGATGCTACATCCCCTTGTTTGATGCTACATCCCCTTGTTTGATCCTTCATACCCTTGTTTGTCACTACATCCCCTTGTTTGGCGCAACATCCCCTTGTTTGATGCTACAACCCCTTGTTTGATGCTACATCCCCTTGTTTGATGCTACATCCCCCTGTTTGATGCTACATCCCCCTGTTTGATGCTACATCCCCCTGTTTGATGCTACATCCCCCTGTTTGATGCTACATCTCCTTGTTTGATGCTACATCCCCTTGTTTGATGCTACATCTCCTTGTTGGATGCTACATCCCCCTGTTTGAAGCTACATCCCCCTGTTTGATGCTACATCTCCTTGTTTGACGCTACATCCCCTTGTTTGAAGCTACATCCCCTGTTTGATGCTACATCCCCCTGTTTGATGCTACATCTCCTTGTTGGATGCTACATCCCCTTGTTTGAAGCTACATCCCCCTGTTTGATGCTACATCTCCTTGTTGGATGCTACATCCCCTTGTTTGATGCTACATCCCCTTGTTTGATGGTACATCCCCCTGTTTGATGCTACATCCCCCTGTTTGATGCTACAACCCCTTGTTTGATGCTACATCCCCCTGTTTGATGCTACATCCCCCTGTTTGATGCTACATCCCCTTGTTTGATGCTACATCCCCCTGTTTGATGCTACATCCCCCTGTTTGATGCTACATCCCCCTGTTTGATGCTACATCTCCTTGTTTGATGCTACATCCCCTTGTTTGATGCTACATCTCCTTGTTGGATGCTACATCCCCCTGTTTGAAGCTACATCCCCCTGTTTGATGCTACATCTCCTTGTTTGACGCTACATCCCCTTGTTTGAAGCTACATCCCCTGTTTGATGCTACATCCCCCTGTTTGATGCTACATCTCCTTGTTGGATGCTACATCCCCTTGTTTGAAGCTACATCCCCCTGTTTGATGCTACATCTCCTTGTTGGATGCTACATCCCCTTGTTTGATGCTACATCCCCTTGTTTGATGCTACATCCCCCTGTTTGATGCTACATCCCCCTGTTTGATGCTACATCCCCCTGTTTGATGCTACATCCCCTTTTTTGATGCTACATCCCCTTGTTTGATGCTACATCCCCTTGTTTGATCCTTCATACCCTTGTTTGTCACTACATCCCCTTGTTTGGCGCTACATCCCCTTGTTTGATGCTACAACCCCTTGTTTGACACTACATCCCCTTGTTTGATGCTACATCCCCGTGTATGACACCCCATGTCCTTGTTTGATGCTAACATCCCCGTGTTTCACACTACACCCCCTTGTTTGACACTACATCCCCTTTTTTGATGCTACATCCCCGTGTTTGACACTACACCCCCTTGTTTGACACTACACCCCTTGTTTGACACCCCATCTCCTTGTTTGATGCTACATCCCCGTGTTTCACACCACACCCCCTTGTTTGACACTACACCCCCTTGTTTGACACTACATCCCCTTGTTTGATGCTACATCCCTGTGTTTCACACTACATTTACTTGTTTGATCTACAATCGCTTGTTTGATCTACATTCACTTGTTTGATGACAACCCCTTGTTTGATCTACAACCCCTTGTTTGAAGCTACATCTCCGTGTTTCACACTACATTCACATATGACAACCCCTTGTTTGATGTGACAACCCCTTGTTTGACACCGCAACCCCTTGTTTGAAACGACATTCCCTTGTTTGATGCTACATCCCCGTTTGATGCCACAACCACTTGTTTCACGCTACATTCACTTGTTTGATCTACAATCACTTGTTTGATCTACAATCACTTGTTTGACAGCGCTGTACTCGGTTATGCACATGATGCTATAATGAAAGTGGAATATTGCCAAATAGGTCTGACTAATCTCTGGATAAACTGGGTGCATATTAGATGAATGAAGGAAGTTAATAGTTACTACAGTAGTGCTGTGAAGATTTCAGGTTAGAATTGGTGATCAGATGGGTGATCTGTCTCAACTTTGTTGATTGCGATGGCATGGGACATTGCACATAGTATCCATGGCTGGTTAGTTTAGTGGGAGTATTTACAGGCTGCTGTACTATAGTTGGAATGTTGCTGAGTGAGACATTAAACTGCATGAGTGAGTGAGTTGGGTTTTTGATGCCGCTTTTGACATTATTCCAGTTATATCACAGCGTGACAGCTTAATGTGGGAGGAAAGCCTGAAGTGATGCAGGTCTCAGACGTTTACCACTTCGGTGAAACCCATGAGCATGGGCATAATGCTGACAAACCTAGAAACATAATCGGGGCAAACCAGGATTCGAACCCACAATCATAGTTTCTGGCGTGCCCAAGGGACGCAACTCTGCACAGCGAATTGCGGCGCCTTAGACGACTGGGCCACCCATGCCCGAAAAACACTACATGAACATAAAACAAAACAGTGTCATTTCATGCATGTGTGATTGTATTCTAGAGGTGCAATGTGGCTACCCTGGTAACATAGCAAATGGCTACGTGGAAGGCTTCAACTACAACTATGACAACCGAATACGCTACCAGTGTCAGAGAGGTTTCAAGCTTGAGGGCTCTAAGACACGATACTGCAACGAGTACGGAGAATGGGAGAATGATGCCCCAACATGTACAGGTACGTCACAGAAGATGGAGGGTGGGGAATGATGCCCCGTCATAGACCTGGGGGTGGGGAATGATGCCCCGTCATAGACCTCGGGATGGGGAATGATGCCCTGTCATAAACATAGGGTTGGGAATGATGCCCTGTCATAAGCCTAGGGTGGGGAATGATGCCCTGTCAAAGGCCTCCGGTGGGGAATGATGCCCTGTCAAAGACCTCCGGTGGGGAATGATGCCCTGTCAAAGACCTAGGGTGTGGAATGATGCCCTGTCATAGGCCTCCGGTGGGGAATGATGCCCCGTCATAGGCCTAGGGTGGGGAATGATGCCCTGCCATAGACCTCGGGGATGGGGAATGATGCCCCGTCATAGACCTGGGTGTGTGGAATGATGCCCCGTCATAGACCTCGGGGCTGGAGAGTGATGCTCTGTCATAGACCTAGGGGTGAGGAATGATGCTCTGTCATAGACCTTGGGGTGTGGAATGATGCCCTGTCATAGACCTAGGGATGGGGAATGATGCTCTGTCATAGACCTAGGGGTGAGGAATGATGCTCTGTCATAGACCTAGGGGTGAGGAATGATGTTCTGTCATAGACCTCGGGGTGGGGAATGATGCTCTGTCATAGACCTCGGGGTGGGGAATGATGCCCTGTCATAGACCTATGGGTGGGGAATGATGCCCTGTCATAGACCTCGGGGTGGGGAATGATGCTCTGTCATAGACCTCGGGATGGGGAATGATGCCCTGTCATAGACCTCGGGGTGGGGAATGATGCCCTGTCATAGACCTCGGGGTGGGGAATGATGCTCTGTCATAGACCTAGGGGTGGGGAATGATGCCCTGTCATAGACCTAGGGATGGGGAATGATGCTATGTCATAGTCCTCGGGGTGGGGAATGATGCCCTGTCATAGACCTCGGGGTGGGGAATGATGCTCTGTCATAGACCTAGGGGTGAGGAATGATGCTCTGTCATAGACCTTGGGGTAGGGAATGATGCTCTGTCATAAACCTAGGGGTGGGGAATGATGCTCTGTAATAGACCTTGGGGTGTGGAATGATGCTCTGTCATAGACCTTGGGGTGTGGAATGATGCTCTGTCATAGACCTATGGGTGGGGAATGATGCTCTGTCATAAACCTAGGGGTGGGGAATGATGCCCTGTCATAGACCTCGGGATGGGGAATGATGCTCTGTCATAGACCTTGGGGTGGGGAATGATGCCCTGTCATAGACCTAGGGGCGTAGAATGATGCTCTGTCATAAACCTAGGGGTGGGGAATGATGCTCTGTCATAGACCTAGGGGTGAGGAATGATGCTCTGTAATTGACCTGGGTGTGTGGAATGATGCTCTGTCATAGACCTAGGGATGGGGAATGATGCTCTGTCATAAACCTAGGGGTGGGGAATGATGCCCTGTCATAGACCTATGGGTGGAGAATGATGCTCTGTCATAAACTTAGGGGTGGGGAATGATGCCCTGTCATAGACCTGGGTGTGTGGAATGATGCCCTGTCATAGACCTGGGTGTGTGGAATGATGCCCTGTCATAGACATGGGTGTGTGGAATGATGCCCTATCATAGACCTGGGTGTGTGGAATGATGCCCCATCATAGACCTCGGGGATGGGGAATGATGCCCTGTCATAGACATAGATGTCCCATATTCTTACTAACGGGCAGGTATTTAAAATGTAAACTCCCATGCTATTTTTCTACTACTAGCTACTTTTATTAGGACAATTTATAATATGGTGCTGTTCAGATGCAGTGAATCTACAGCAAATGTGATGATAAATATTGTTGAATAAAACATATATTATGATTCATGTATGAGCTATTATTCCATAATTTTGTACTTCAGAAATCAGCTGCGAGCTACCACCGATCTCTGAGAACACCCGCATCTCCAACCCATTAGATACATACCGACCTAAAACTGTGGTTGAATTTGAATGTACTCCAGGCAACCGCCTCCTAACGCCACACAATGCCGTCAGATGTCAGTCAGACGGTACCTGGGACAAGAGCGTCCCTTCATGCGACCCAGTGTACTGCGGCAGTCCGCCTAATATAGACAATGGTGGACCATCGTCATCACCAGATCAGTCATTTGTTGGAGCTCTTATCAACTACGAGTGCGACTATGGAAATGACTTTGCCGCAGATTCAAAACAGAGAATCAGCTGTCAGCCATCTGGAGACTGGGGTGTCAGTTTGCCAGTGTGTGAGATCATCGTCTGTCCGGATCCACCTGTTGTGGCGCATGCGCAGCATTTTGGCGACACTTTTGAGTTTCTGTCACTGATAGAGTATATTTGTGATGACGGGTACCAGCACAGTGAAGACGATACTATTGAATGTCTCGAGGGCGGACAGTGGAGTGGTGAGGTGAATTGCGAGCCTGTCAATTGTGGAGAGCCGAATGAAATTCGAAATGGCGAAATCGTTGGTGATGACTTCTATTTAAACAGCGCTGTTAACTATGAATGTGACAGTGGATTTAAACTTAAAGGAAACAAAAGACGTATTTGTTTGACCAACTCCTCTTGGAGCGGAGCAGCCCCTGTCTGTAAGCCTCTTGTGTGCGGGAAACCTGCCAAGCTTGAAAACGGCCGAGTCCTAGCTGTGGCTATCACATATGGAAGTGTCGCTACGTTTCAATGTGATGAAGGGTATATTATAAATGGCGCCACTGAGATGACATGCCAGGAAGACGGCACTTGGTCCAATACACTTCCAGTGTGCGATCCTCAAGAATGTCCTCCTCCTGTAGACATTGACTATGGTTACTTCCGACTGGTTGGAAGGAGCACTTATGGACAAACGGTCACTTATTTTTGCAATGATGGGTTTGATTTGTTAGGGGAGGCAGCCTTGACCTGTACCAGTAATGGACGCTGGTCAGCAGAGGCTCCTACTTGTCAGACTGTTGAGTGTCCTCAGCCAGAGGCAGTTGAAGATGGAAGCGTGAACATCCTCGGCTTGACATACACGAGTAAAGTGGAATACACCTGTGACGAAGGGTATGAATTGTTGGGGGAAACTGTGCGGACATGTCAAGCGGACAAAACATGGACAGATCAAGCACCCGTCTGCAGCCCTCTTAAATGTAGGCCTCCTCAGAATGTGGCCAATGGGGCTCTCCATTACAAAGATCTGAAACTGTGGTCAATAGTAAGATATACGTGTGACTCTGGGTACCAACTCGTTGGCTTAGAAGTCCGAAGATGTCAGGCCGATCTTTCATGGGAAGGGGCTGAGCCGACATGCAATCCTATTCACTGTGCAGGTCTGACAGTAATCGCGTATGGAGTTCTGAACACCACTGAGACTGTATATCAGACAGTCGTGTCCTACTCATGCAACGAAGGCTATACCTTAAGGGGGGAAGTTCTCAGAACTTGTTCTGCATCCAAAGTATGGACTGGCGAAGAACCAGTTTGCACACCTGTTGAATGTAACGAGCCGGGAGCTGTTACATCTAACGGTCGCATGCTGGGGAATAACTTCACGTACGGGGCCTTGATATCCTACGTGTGTGATGAGGGTTATAACCTTGTAGGGTCACAGAACAGGTCATGTGAGGCCAATGGGGAATGGGATGCATCTATTCCTATTTGTGAAATTGTTGAATGCCCGAGGCCAAAGCTAGCACACGGGCGTGCATCAAGCTTTCAACGTGAATTCAACACTGTCATTGATTTTTCATGCAAGCGAGGATTCCGTCTTGAAGGACCCTCCCAAAGAACGTGTCTCTCCAGTGGTCAGTGGAGCGGGGATGACCCGATTTGTATTAAGATTGTCTGTCCGACACCAGCACAGCTGACTTCAGGAAGAGTGACTGTGTCACCTAATGGCCTTAAAGCAACGTATGAATGCTTTGAAGGATATGTTCTTAATGGGGCCACAGAACGTTCATGTCAGGAGAGCGGTACCTGGAGCTTGACCGAACCTGTGTGTGATAGAATTACATGTGATGACCTTTCAGCATACGCTTTCGAACATGGGCGCGTCATTATGGCGGGGTTGGAATATGGTTCATATGCTTCTTTTGAGTGTGACGTAGGGTATGTCCTTGACGGAGAAAGGAAAATTCAGTGTAGCTTACAAGGAAGATGGTCGTCAGAAGTTCCAATATGTAGAATAGTATCATGTGGGCCACCAGGTGCTTTTGTCAATGGAGAAATAACCGGCTCTGTGTATACGTATGGGTCAACCACATCCTACATCTGTATCAGAGGGTTTGAACTAAAAGGAACAGCTGAGAGAACGTGCGGGGCAGATGGACTTTGGGAACCATCAACTCCAAGGTGTCATTCTATTGTCTGTCCAGACTTACCAGATATTGACTATGGAAGGACTATCATGCAGTCAAACACGCTTGATGGTTTAGTGAGATACAGTTGCCAACCGAGCTTCGTCCTTCGTGGAGAATCATCACGAACATGCTTAGATACAGGTGAATGGTCAGGCTCAGATCCTTCGTGCGTCATGCTAGAGTGTCCAAGTCCACCTGAATTGGAAAATGGTCGTGTGGTTGGTGATAGCTATGCTTTAGGAAGGATCCTTCAGTATATATGCAATGAAGGTTATGAGCTGGACGGGGTAGGGATGAATCAGTGCCTACCAACTCTATCATGGCTGAGTCTGCACCCAACTTGCAACAAGGTCCAGTGCCCACCACCAGAAGCTCCTGTGCATGGACAGATGTCAGGGGATAGCTTTACATACGGTGATACAGTGCTATTTTCCTGTCACACTGGATATATACTGACTGGAGAATCATCTGCCTCTTGCCAACCGGATGCTACCTGGACAATAGAAATACCAACCTGCGAGCCAGTTCCTTGTGGAGAACCTCCTCAGGTTCCCAATGCTGTGGTAAATCTGGAAAATGGAACAGTGTTTGGGTCTGCAGTGTCACTTGAATGTGTAATTGGCTACAATCCTATAGGAGATGCTCAGGTACAATGTCAGAGTGATGGTTCGTGGACGTCACCTTCCTTCCGATGTGAGATTGTATCCTGCCCAGCTCCACCACAAACTGAGCATCTAACGGTGGAGGGCACTTACACATTTGGAAGTCAATTGAATTTTAGATGTGAGGTTGGATATGAACTTATTGGAATTGCTTCAACCTGTCGCTGCAGACCAGACGGGTCATGGGATTCACCTTTCCCAACATGCCAGATAATTTCTTGTCCAGAGCCTGGAACATTTGATCATGGAACTATATCCGAGTCGGACAACACGTATCAGAGCCAGCTTGTGTACACATGTGATCAAGGTTTTGAAATAATTGGAGAAGAAACAAGAGAATGCCAGGGAGACAGAACATGGTCGGGACAAACACCGATGTGTATTCTCATCCGATGCCAAAATCCACAAACCACTATTCCAAACGGAAGGCTGATATACCCTAAAGTAAGCTACAGTTACAACGACGAAGCATCCTACGTTTGCAACGATGGCTATGAAATGATTGGAAATGAGAGGATCAGATGTTTAGCCACTAAAGCCTGGAGCAGCAACCCACCATCGTGTACCAAGATCGTCTGTCCAAGACCAGGAAATGTTGAACACGGTAATGTTGTAGCCACGGATGAAGTCTTAACTTACACGTGTGATGATGGATATGACCTGATGGGATCACGGTCGCGAAGATGTCTCAACACAGGATTGTGGGACACTGATGCTCCAGCTTGTCTTCCTGTTCATTGTCCTTCTCCCGTGCCTATCAACCATGGACAGATTGAAGGCGGGGAGTTTATATACGGACAGAGCATCACATACACTTGTGATGAAGGATTCCTGTTGGTTGGAAGTAGGGTCAGACGTTGCTTGGCGACAGGGTTTTGGGAGACAGAGAGTCCATTCTGTGACAGAGCAACGTGTGGGATGCCAAGGCCACCCCAGCACGGAATGGTATCAGGAGCATCCTACCTCTTTGAGGATGTTGTGGAGTACTCATGTGATTTCGGCTATCTGTTGGTGGGGGAGAATAGACACGTGTGTGAAGCAAACGGAAAATGGAGTGCGGAAGTACCCTTCTGTGAAATAATTGTTTGTGAATCACCACCCGAGGTATTAAACAGTCAATTTACATTGAGCTCGGACATTGGTCAGTATTCCGTGGGGGTCACCATCACCTACACATGCAACGTTGGGTATGAGATCGACGGCGCCTCCACGCTGCGGTGCCTGGAGAGCAGAAGCTGGTCTGACAGTCCTCCTCAGTGCAGTTTAGTATCCTGTCCTTCCATAGACTACATTGAGAATGGCCTGGTTGTTGGGACTGAGTATACATACGAGTCAACATTGAGATTCCAGTGTAGTCGTGGATATGAGGTCGTTGGTGATGATCTGCTCGTGTGCCAGGAACATGGCAGTTGGAGCAGTAACACACCAACATGTGAACCCGTCTCTTGTGAAGCCCCAGACTCTATCCAATATGGTGGCTTCAGGACACATAACGGAGGTACCTCAGAGGGACCGTTTCGATTTAATGACCAAGTGACATACTTCTGTGAAGCTGGATACAATGTCGTAGGAAACGTGCTTAGACAATGTAACGGAGAAGGTGGGTGGACCAACCAGGCCCCAATCTGTTACCCAGTCAACTGCCATGAACCACCCCCTGTACAATTCTCCACAATCATTGGTGACAATTTTGACTTTGGACAAGCAGTAGCCTACGAGTGTTATCCAGGATACAGACGAGATGGCAACTATGTTTTAGAATGTGGAGCCTCGGGTTCCTGGATAGGAGATGTTCCACTGTGTGAAAAGATCGAGTGTGGCCCTCCCGTTGTCTTTGATCACTCATCAGTCACTGTGGAGACTGTGGGCGTAGTTCAAGTAGCAAAATATGTTTGCAATTCGGGATATATCCTGCAAGGAGATCCCCGAGCTGTTTGTGACATGGGAACATGGGTGGGTGATGCCAGGCTGGATTGTGTTCCTGTGGACTGTGGGCCTCCTGCACTAGCTGATTATACCTCCATCAGTTACACCTCGACTATCTTACACTCCGTGGCTGATTATGGTTGTGTAACTGGCTACAGCTTGTCTTCTGGAGCACTCAGGCACACCTGTCAAGAAGATGGGACATGGAGCGAACAGGTTCCGGTTTGTAGCAAAGTCTTCTGTGGAATGCCATCAACTGAAACTGATTATACAGGAACGGATTACTACTTTGGGGGAACAATCTCTTTCGTTTGTGCTCCTGGTTATGAACTTGTCGGTCAGGCAGAGTCAACTTGCATGGAGGAAGGATCATGGAGTGGGTCATTTCCTTTCTGTCAGAAAGTCAACTGTGGTGAACCACCTCGAGGTGTAGCCTTCTCTGGATCGGATTTCACGTTTGAAGGAAGGGTTGTGTATGAATGTCCTCTTGGGTATAATATGGAAGGTGAAGCAGAGATTACATGTCAAGCTGACGGAACATGGAGTAGCAGGTCACCGAACTGTTCCAGGGTCACCTGTGGTCAACCACCATCAGGAACACTGTACTCCGGATCGGACTTTACATATGAGGGATCAGTGACATACACCTGTCCTGAAGGATATTATATGGTAGGCAATGCTGTATTAACCTGCCTCATCAGTGGGGTGTGGAGTGGTCTTGCTCCTCGTTGTGAGCGGGTCAGTTGTGGAGAGCCTCCAAGAACTGCTGATTTCAGTGGGTCAGATTTCTTGTTTGGGGGCCGAATAGTGTACACATGCCCAGAAGGGTACAATATTGATGGAGATGCTGATCTGACTTGTGAAGCAAATGGAGAGTGGTCAGGGACAGCGCCATCTTGTCATATTGTTCACTGTGGAAGACCCGAGACAGAGGTGCTGTATGATGAAAGCGAGTTCACGTATGGAGAAACGTTGAGGTTTTATTGTCAGACTGGGTTCACTCTGATTGGGGAAGCAGAGGGTGTCTGTCAGGCGGATGGTAGTTGGAGCACCTCGGGACAGATATGCATCAAGGTGAACTGTGGGATCCCGCCAACTGACGCACTGTTTGTGGGGTCCGACTTCAGCTATGGTGGATCCGTGCGGTACTATTGTGAAGAGGGACAGATTCTGATTGGTGAAGAAGAGATGACATGTCAGGAGGATGGAACCTGGAGTGGCGAAGGGCAGACTTGTTCACGTAAGTGCTATATTCGACTTATACGCATGTGTGTGCCCTGAACATGCGTTTTACTCTTTGTCATTATTTTTAACATTTTAAAGCCTGATTATGAACGAAAATTTTAAGATTATAAAATTATATTTGAAAATTTTAAGCATTATATAAAATGGTTACTCAAATGACGAATTTGTTTACGCAAAATAATCTGAGAGAAATATTTTAATAAAAACAGCATTGATGACTCTAATAATGTATCCTCATACTGAAAGTGTGCAAAAATTATTTCTATTAGCAATAAGACGTGATTAGATTTAGTCATGATGATTTTCGTAGCAGTGTTTGTAAGAACAGACAAATTGATTTCATCTTGCAGTATATTCATTGAATATTCATTAAAAGCAAGAGGAGAGCAAGAATATATTTTGTTCCTTGACTAGCCACATGAGGATACTTCATCCCTAAGGGTGACGGTCATTGTTATGTTCTCAGTGGTGGACTGTGGTCCGATCTCGGTGCCGACCAATGTCGTGGTCGTGTCCGGAGACCCGGTCAGCGGCACCCACTACAATGACACAATTCAGTTCTCCTGCGGAGATGGGTTCTCCCTCAGCGGGGAGTCTACAATGATCTGTCTCATCTCGGGGCGATGGAGCGGTGAACTACCTGCCTGCAGTATAGGTCAGATAATGTAACTTTTATTTGCTTAACACTGTAAGATACAGATTGTATATACTTTTGTCTATATCTGTTAGTTCAAGTAAGAGATGGCTTTGAAAAATAGATGTTTAGTTCCATTATAGTCTGTCCTACAAACCCTGAAACAAATATATCCAATGGAGCCCATGCAAGTCTATAATATTTGGCAAGTCTAGATTACTGCAGTTTCAGGAATCTCTATAACTATAAGTTAACAACTGTTCATTTTCTGTAAAATATGTTCATTTCAGAGACCAGGTGTTACTTTATATCGGCATCAGTAATAAATCGGCATCAGTCCGGACAAGGACAAGCAGCCATACACACACACGTGCATGCACGTCGCTATATAAGTGCAATAATCTTGGACGCGACGTTAAACCCAATTTCACCTCACCTCACCTCATGCAATGTTACATGTAGTTATACATGTTATATTTGGGATAACACTTTCTTAGTAAAGTACAGATTCTATTACTTTTTCGGGATTCGAACACACACTGCCAGAGTGAGGCACTTAATCGCCAGCACACAAAGTCAGCGATCTAACCCACTCAGCCATCAAGACTTCCACAAAAATCAAAGTCCGACAACTGGTAGTCTAGATAACATACTTCGTGTACCCCTCTGACAATGTAAATTGACACACCTCCCATGGCCAAAAGCTATGAACACACAATGCCATTTAGAAAGTGGTCAAATGTTACAAATGTTATATTTGGAATAACACTGTCTTAGTAAAGATTCAACCCAGAGTACTAGAATCTGTACTTTACCAAGAAGTGTTATCCCAAATATAACGTGTTACATTTGACCACTTTCTCAACGGCATTGTGTGTTCATAGCTATGTTACATGTGTAAACTTTCAGCATTCACCAACCTGTGTGACCTCGCTGTCGATGTGGACCACTCCCGCCCCGTCTCCTCCGGCTACGTACAGGGTGACTCCCTCACAGTGGAGTGTCTGCCGGGGTATGAAGCCGAGGGCCAGATGGAGTCGGTGTGTCAGGCAGGAGGGGCGTGGTCAGTGCCTGCCGGGGAGTGTCGCCGTGAGTACTCACAACTGACCCTTCAAGGTCATATAATGTCAGCTAGCACTATAAATCGGCATCAGTCCGGACTAGTACAAGCAGCAACAAACACACACACACACACGTGCATGCACGTCGCTATATAAGTGCAATAATCTTGGACGCGACATTAAACCAAATTTCACCTCACCTCACCTCATATAATGTCAAGACAGATAGAATCGTCCAGTTTTTAAATGTGGTAAAAATAAGACACTTCAATTTGATTTACTTCCATCCCACTTCCTGACTGAAAATAACATCATTTATAAATATTAACAATTCTCCTCTAATCTGCTATTTTGTTCTGACAACAAGATCCACAACTTCAGTTAGAAGAACGATTACATGCTACCTGTTTCATATGTAGTTTTCTTTTGATGACTTTATTTGGCCATTGAGGGGGGAGGGGGGGACTCCGGGTTAGAGTCGGTCCCCAGTAGCCTATGTTTGTCGACTAACGAGGCAAACATTGGTTGAGTGTCATTGTACCCTGACAACATAATATAAATCACTGGATTGTCCAATCTCATTAAAATCAGATCTTAGTTCTCCCTATCGCTAAACAAAGATCTGAGGACATCCCATTACGTGTCACGTCAGAAAAACCTTTCATCCAACCAATCAGGGCGTCGCTTACCAGATCATGAAAGTGACAGTGGGAATGTATTTTCTAATCATGCAACCACGATATATTTAACATGGGTTATTCCGAACAACAGTTACAGGTTTTATGATTATATCCATACAATCTAGGCCATCCATAAGCCATTCCAGAATGTTCTTTTTATCAGTTTTAAAAATTTTAATCGAGAATACGTCAAAATATGCTTCGAAGGGTAGTCGCCAGTTTGAAACTAGTGTCGTAAAGCTCGAGAAAGCTGCCTTCTGATTGGCTAATGTCGTTTCTTGTCAGTCATTTCATTGATCGGTCAAAGTTCGCGAAAAGTCGTTCTGACGTGAACCCTAATGGGATGTCCTCAGATCTTTGTTTAGCGGTAGCGAAAACTAAGATCTGATTTTTATGAGATTGTGGATTGTCTGGCCCAGATCTGTTTATTTACAGGCCGATGTCATGCAGCTTGTATTTTGCTGAGTGCGTTGTTAAGCAACAAACAAAACCTCAAAGATTCAAATGTAGAAATGGAGATCAACACAGATTGCAAATGATCATGTAGTGATAAAACAAACCATAAAATGTAGTGAGATGCTACAGCAAAAACAAATACAATACCAAAACAAATGTGATGTACGAGCTGCCTGTAGTGCTGTGACTTAACTGTCCAATCTTGCTGAGCACATGTACTTTTGTATCCATTTTAATTTTAACCTCACGAAAATATTTTCAAGAAATCAATTACAAACGTTTTTGCATATATCGTCGGATCATAGGTTTTCGGACATCATACGTTTTCGGACGGACATGTTTATTGCGATTACTCGCGCTATAACAAGGTTTTTGGTGTCACACAGACATTGTAAATACTCAGATGATGACCTGTTTTTAAGAGAAAGTTTTCCTTTATAAGTGAATGAGATATTTTTCAGTTGTTCATGTGATTAGAGAGAAAACTATCAATGTTTCTTAAACCTTCGAAAACCCATAACATGGGGATATATTTTTTAATTTTTCAACCCTCGGTTATATGGTTTTTAAACTAACTATTTTTGAACCAAGTCATAAGATTACTTATAGTAACTTTCAGCTTTTTCTTTCCTCAGGTGTTGCTGACTTCTGTCAGCCGAGAGTGGATCTTCCCAACACGGCCGAGATCCGGTCAGGGTACCTGGTGGGGGACAGCGCCACCATAGAATGTGAGGCCGGGTACCAGCCCCAGGGGGACATGATGGCCGAGTGCCTCGAGGGTGGACTGTGGTCAAGGCCAACTGGACACTGTGCCAGTGAGTACCATGGCTGAAACAATACCTGTTCCTGTATTTTTTCAGGTGAACAATTGCCTTGCATTTGCATGTGTTTGTGATGGGTGCCACTGGTAGGGCAGGATACGCTCACCTTTTCACGAACACCTGGTATCATCACTTTTTGACAGTGATTCATAAACACAAGCGCATGGTATTGTCAGAATCAAACAATTTGTTTTCAGCAGTGATTTCTATTGAAAATGAAAAGGGTTTTGTTGCGTTTTTAACTGAAATACTTTCATAGGAGCATTATCGCCAGTCGTAAAACAATCTCATTAAAATCAGATTTTAGTTCTCGCTACTGCTAAACAAAGATCTGAGGACATCCCATTAGGGGTCACGTCAGACCGACCTTGCGCGAACTTTGACCGACCAAAGGATTGACCAATCAGAAGACAGCTTTCTCGTGCTTTACGACACTAATTTCAAATTGGTGACTTCGCTTCGAAACATATTTTGAAAAATTCTCGATTACAAATTTTAAACCTTAACAAAAGAACATTCTGGAATGGCTAATAGATGGTCTTGATTGTATGGATTCAGTCGTTAAACCCGTAACTATCGTTCGGAATACCCCGTGTTAAAGTTTTCGAGGTCGCATTATCAGAATTCACATTCCGAATGTCCCTTTCAGGATCTGGTAAGCGACGCTCTGATTGGTCGGATGGAAGGTCGTTCTCACGTGACCCCTATTGGGATGTCCTCAGATCTTTGTTTAGCGGTAGCGAGAACTAAGATCTGATTTTAATGAGATTGGGCGTAAAACTATCATTTTCAGATAGTAATATATATGGTCCATGCATCGTCTCAGACCCATGTTCTTCTTAAATGAAGGGATTGCGTAAAATTAGGGTCTGACCAAAACTATTTGCTAGTTACTCCATTATCGACGACTAGACCTATGTGTTATTGATACACACATTATTAACATACACACATGACATTAAGGAGCAATCACTCATTAACAATGCGCAATGTAAGTAAGGGGGCCCGACCTGGCCAACTGAACTTTTCTTGGCCCTGCTTTCATGCAATCTCTTCAAGGCGTTTGACTGTTATTGTCATCTGTCACAGAAATCTACTGTGGTCGTCCCAAGATCAGAGACATGGTGAACGTGATGCTGATTGGTCGGTCCTATTTCTATGGTGACCACGTCATGTTCATGTGCCGGCCTGGCCTCACCCCAGCTAGGATACCACCCAGGTTGACGTGTGGAGAGACCGGTGATTGGGACGGCGAGATCGGGTGTTCAGGTAAACTGGTGCAGTAGTCCAAATAGAAAAACACACACCATATACCAGGAGGTGTTATAAGTTGTGGCAGGATCACTCGGGTACATGGGGTTTTATGTGTCTTGCGTCTCCCCCGGAGACGAGGGACACAAAATACAATATACCCCGAGTGATTCGTCTACAACAAGCTTATCTTAACGATATGTTTTAATATGACATTGTAAAAGAATTAACACAAATTCAAAATTGATAGAAAACAGCTCGTCGATTGAGCTGAGGTTATGTTTAGGCTGTGTCACGTGACTTTCGCTGACTCGGAAAAAGCGCGCGGCTGTTTGCTTCGAAGCGGGGTATAAAATATTTATTCTGCCTCTCAGAAAACCATGAGCAGGCTGTCTTGCTAATGGCAGGGTATAAGGGATTAATGCTCCTGCTCAGAAATTGATTTCCTTCCAAGGCGAGATACATTGTATTTTATCAAGATCACATGGACCAATCAGATCTCATCATTCTGACATGGAGGAATGATAAAGTATTTTATCAAGATCACGTGGCCCAATCAGATCTCATCATTCTGACATGGAGGTATGATAAGTGGAATTAGGGTGTGGCTATCTGGGTAGCCAGAATGCACAGTCGGGATTGAACAGTTTAGGACTTCAGTTGCGTTGCAGCAGGTTTAAAGAGGGAGAAATCCTGTTAAAAACCTCGTGGTTTCGGGGGTAGAATTGGTTCCTGGTATCCCATGAGAGTAAGAGCTAACTCAAGACAATCTGGTGATCAGGCTCCGTAACATCACGAAATATTGGCGTGGATCACTGGGTCATCTAGACCTGTTGTGAGGTTGATATTTGGCCCCAAGCCTTGAGCAAATGTCAGTAAAAATTCCCAAATTGGAATTAAATGTTACCCAATTCATGCTGTTATTGTTGTAGATAACCAAAACGGGCTCTAACATTATTTCATTGAGAAGATGTTAAGATTATGATGTTCTTTTCCAAATTTGCCTTCGAAGGGCACCAATGTTGGAGTCCTTGATAAATCCCTGACTGAACTCATATTAAGTTTAGTTTGTTAGACCCGGCCCACATTATAGTCTGGTCATTTGTTCCTTAGGTATCTGAGATTGAAAGGGGAAGCTTGGGTTTGTAAAACTAATGGTATTCAAATGGAATTATCTACTGCAGCTGACCCAGGTCTTAAGTAAGACGACGACGCCGTTGGCCCAGTCATCCAAGTTACGGAGTTGCGTTCCTTAGATGTGTCAGGATACTATGACCATGGTTCAAATCTCAGATATGCCCTGATAATGTTTCTAGGTTTGTCAGCACCATTCCTCCATATCAAACTGACAGGCTGTCACATAACTGAAATACTGTCGAAGCATTCATAAACTCCATCAACTTGCGCCTTAAGTTGGACCAGACTCGCAGGGACTACATAGTCTATCATACCAACCCTAAAACAAATATACCCAATAAAAACCCATGCAAGTCTATTACATTTGGCAAGTCTAGATTACTGCATTTAAGATATCTGAAAATGAAGAGTCTCTGGGTCCCTTTTTTTATTATATTTCATAACTATGATTTAACCACTGTTTTTATCTGTAAAATATGTTAATTCAAAGACTAGATGTTAGTCTACGGAACTACATCGCTATTGAAAGGGATTCTGAGATACAGAGGCCTCTGTAGTCTTCATCCCCATCATACTCAGTGTGCTGAATGACTGCAAAATACACATGATCTGATTAGATACTACTTTTTTGGGTGACCGCCTCCGTGGTCTTGTGGTAGAGCGTCCGCCCGGAGAGCGGAAGGTCCGGGGTTCGATCCCCGGCCGCGTCATACCAAAAGACGTTAAAAGATGGTACTTGTTGTTACCCTGTCTGGCGCTCGGCATTTAGGGGCTAAAACAAGGACTGGTGGGCTCAGAGGCAGTATAATGTGTCTGAGTGAGGTATTCATGTTAAAGTGCGGCATGGTATCTCAGTGGGCTAGCACTATAAATCGGCATCAGTCCGGACTAGTACAAGCAGCCATACACACACACGTGCATGCATGTCGCTATATAATTGCAATAATCTTGGACACGACGTTAAACCAAATTTCACCTTCACCTTCACCTTTATTTGGTTTTAGCTCAGTGCAAGTTTGAATGTCTTAATGGTGGACGATGCGTTGGCCTCAACAAGTGCAAATGCATGTCAGGATGGGGTGGCATCAGATGTCAAACAGGTACGGTCTCAAATATATGACAAGTGCAAGACCAGATTGTATTGTTCATGGTCTTTGTGTTTTTGGCATGTTCTGATACAGTTAATCTGTGTTGAGAAGTGTGTCTATTTTTAGCTCAGTATCCATTGAAGGTTATTGATGTGTGTCACCAAAACAAGGTCATGTCATAAGACCAAGGTCACATGAGGTAAAATACCCTCTTGAAATTATTTTATCCCCAACTTATCTTATAATATGCATCATCTAGTTTGGGATTTGGAAGATTGTCGGGATCAATCTAAGGTCACTGTTTAGCTAATTGAAAAACATGGTTATATCACTGTCAGTTTCAAAACACTGTTACCTCTACACACATGAGCTTTCTATTCAAGTTTATCGTAACACGTACTAGCACATCAAATTTGTGGTAGCGGTCAAAAGTGAAGTAGTTTACTGTGCAGAGTTGCCTCCCCTAGCTGTCATGATCTGCTAGTGGTGAGTTTAAATCCCGGAGTCTTGAGCTTGCAGACACTGCATTCTTTTATCATGAATCAGTGTGTACCAGACTGTGAAGTCTTGACACCATCCTTGATTGGGTTCACACGAGATCTGTGCTTCTGGGTTTCACCAAATGGTAATTGTCTCCAAAGTCATTTCTCAATCTCATTAAAATCAGATCTTTGTTCTCGCTGCAGCTAAACAAAGATCTGAGGACATCCCATTACGGGTCACGTCAGACCGACCTTTCACAAACTCCGACCGACCAATGGAATTACTGACAAGAAGTCGACATTAGCCAATCAGAAGGCAGCTTTCTCGTGCTTTACGCACTAATTTCAAATTGGCGACTACGCTTCGAAACATATTTTGACAAATTCTCGCTTAAAAATTTGAAACCTGAACAAAAGAACATTCTCGAATGGCTAATAGATGGTCTAGATTGTATAGATTCAGTCGTTAAGCCCGTAACTATCGTTCGGAATACCCCGTTTTAAAGTTTTCGAGGCTCCATGATTAGAAATCACATTCCGGCTGTCACTTTCATGATCTGGTAAGCGACGCTCTGATGAAAGATCGTTCTGACGTGACCCCTAATGGGATGTCCTCAGATCTTTGTTTAGCGGTAGCTAGACCTAAGATCTGATTTTAATGAGATTGAGTCATTTCTTCAACATTAATCCGGGTGATTTCACTCGGAACGGTACCACCCAGATTGGCGGAGTTTCATAGTATTTGATTCTGAATGAGATGAGATACGCACTGTCTGAAGACATGGTCTGGCAATGAGTACTGCTTGTCTTGGGGCGGTGGGGTAGCCTAGTGGTTACAGCGTTGGCTCATCTCCCCGAAGACCCAGGTTCGATTCCCCACATGGGTACAATTTGTGAAGCCCATTTTCCGGTGTCCCCCACCGTGATATTGCTGGAATATTGCCAAAAGCGGTGTTAAACCATACTCACTCACTCACTGCTTGTCTCCCCAGCGATCTGCATCCTGCCGTGTCTGAATGGCGGCACCTGCGCGGCTCCCTACAGGTGTGGCTGTCCACAAGGCTACGAGGGCACAAGATGTCATAGAGGTAACCATCTACACGGAGAACACCTTGTGGGGCTTCTACCCTCATGGCGCTGATCATTGCTAACAATATTAATCATTCACATTGAAATGCAGAATTATACTCTCATTTTTAAAATTCATCTCACATATTGTTATCGATGCAATAAACCAATCTGATAAGTACGCTAATGAGGTCATCTACCGGGAACTACTTTTAGGCTATCCATATCAATACTTGCCTACTTGCTCAAAAGTCTGTTGACTAGCCTTGGAATTCTGGAATTCTGTTCAGAAATTCTGTAGACAATCATGGCTGCAAATTATATTGCATTATATGATAAATTGGGTGGTTACTCAAACATTGTATTAATACAAGGTTTCTTATGCTACTTCTTTGAGTGAAATTTCATCTTTAGAAATGACATTATACAATACAGAAATGCCTACTTTGTGTTTTTGTATGGTAAATATCACATATTATGAAAAAAACATGTATTTTGCTAGCCAAATTTCGCTTAATACAATTTTTATTCCTGATATATGATATTTATGATATGAAAACCAACTGGGCTAACAATATATATTAATGCATCACTGAATCTCTTGTAACATCTAAAAGACACAAGCAGAAACAGATAAGGACATGTTGCATTACCAAATGAAATGATCAGCAGAAATGTTATGTCAACACTTTTGTTTCAGCAATCTGCTCCCAACCATGTCAGAATGGAGGCAGGTGTTTGTACCCGAATCGGTGCCAGTGCACATCAGGATTTTTACCACCATTTTGTGAGACGTAAGAGCACTATCATGACGTTACTTCATTGAAATCAAACAATCCATTGAATAGTATGACACTCCACCAATGAATGTATTGTTTTGTTACCCAGTGTTCCAGTGGGTCAGTATCTGTGGATTGTTAACTGCTTCTACCTAGATTTTAAAACTGTTTGTTCCTGCTGAGGAATTGTTTCTTGTAAGAGGCAACTAAATGGTCAGGCTTGGTGTGTTAGTTGATTTGCATACCCCGATCATATGTATTGTTGTCATAATATCAATCACTGGATTGTCTGGCCAGACAAGAATTTGTTCAGGGTGCTTTCAAATAGCAGGAATATTGTCAAGCCCAGCATTAAACAACAAACAAGTTGTATGCGGAGAACTGGTTACCGTACACCAAAATATTGTCAACTTCAGAAAAAAAATTGTAATCCTAACTCATAAGCAAGTAAAGTCGACATAGCAACCTAGCAGATTTGTCACTTTTGGGGCATACTTAATAAAATATCCTTGACCAAATTTAAATTTTAAAAACAGAAATAGCATAAAACAGATGATAAAAAAATCATAGTTGAAATTGTCCCTGAAACGAAAAGTTCCTCCATTGCGGAGATTCCCCTTCCTGGAGGTGGAGGTTAAAACGGGTTCCCTGTGTTTGATGCGCTGTTCAATTTCAATGCTCATGATACATTCGTGACCAACTCGTGTTTTTCCGGGACAAGCCGAATAGCGACTCGTGCCCCTTTTTGGCCATTTTTGCGACCGGGTTCCGTCTTAGCGCAAACGGGTATACCTAAAACAATTGTCAACTCGTTGCGTAATGGTTCATATATATTTCCAGATATATTTCTATATTTCAAAAGCACATCGGGATATGCGGAATTATACAGTATGATAGAACACATTTAACTGTGTCTTGGGTATATTTTTAGATGCAAGACATATGTAAAATCAAAACTTATTTCTGAGGGATTCTTTGACGAAGAACTTGAAATCATACGCGCATTCTGATCGTATTTTCGCACATAACATTCATCGACAGGGGGACGAGTCTTCTTGCAGGTTACGGAAAGGGGCGAGTGGTGACGAATGGCTCATGATGATCGGGCCGATACCCAGTCTGCATGCTTCTGCCTTGGGTTTTGTGATACATCGTCTTGTCTGCTCATTCATTTGATTTCCCTGTCCACCACTTATGTCACGTCAGTAACAACACTAAGATGCCTTCAGTTGTTTACTCAGGGGATTAATCCCTGACAGGCATTTATTGTGTGGAATAGGGAATAGGGCAGCTGGTGTTTTACTACCCAAAAAGGGTCTTTGTAATAAAACTCTAATTACCGATGTTTAATTGTTATCTTAATTATTCACAATGTCAAGATCAAGGGTCGTTTTACACATTCATCAAAGTATGCAATGTTTGTAGGATTAACAGAAATAGCAGGAAAAGTATATGTTATGACTAAGAATCACAAGATAGATAAATACGGCAAACGTAACAGCCAATGAAAACAGTTGTCACCACTGGGCTGGTAGCTTTTGGCCATGCCTCATGTAGGTTATTTTTTTAACCGGATTATGCAGGTTGTTATTGCATCACTTTCACTTGGACATTTAATACTTTCTATGAATATTATGAAATTTTTCTCACTGACTAAGGGGGTGGTCGGGTAGCCTAGTGGTTAAAGTGTTCGCTCGTCACGTGGAAGACCCTGGTTTGATTCCCGACCTGGGTACAATGTGTGAAGCCCATTTCTGGTGTCCCCAATATTGCTAAAAGCGGCGTAAAACGATGCTCACTCACTCTCATTGACTAAATGTATCTTGAAAAATAAAAATTTGCAAAAGAATCGCAATCAATGTTTTCACTTTACTTGACCTTTAAAGGGAAACTGCCTACAAAATGGTGAACTCAAGATGAAGATATAAATGTTCTGTAATATTTGTTGTTGTTTTTTCAGAAAAAGAATTGACAGAGTAAACAAAGGGTAATGGTCAGTGAGACTGGATATGTTGTACTGGACACAGGCGGACATGTCCAGTGAGCGATGCACTGGTCGCAGGCAGACATCTCCGTCAGGGATGTTGTAATGGACACAGGCCAGTCTATCCTAACTTTCTCCGGGAGATCTCTGAAGATTTCAACTAGCACTGTCTGTACATCATAACCCAAGACAATAAAATCCCAATAATCCCACGAGAAGTTGTTTGTTTTTCAAAATTACTACCTGTTTTCGTCTTTATAAAAAGGTTATTCATTATAATGAAGGTGTGTGAGGGGTGGGTGTCTTTTTCATAGTCCATAATTAGCTACATGTAAGAGTTGCCCCAACAATGGTATAAAATGCCTATCTCTATGAAGACCAAATATCAACTCGGGGGATAAACATTGTTAAACATTATGTGACAAACTCTTTAATGCATCAAATGGAGAAGTATTGATCTTAAAACATAAACATTACGATTATTGTCACACACAAGTATTTGGTGAGTATTTTTATCAGGTGCATGTGACCTGAAATCCAAATTGAGACCTCCCCTTGAAACTTGACTTGTGTTTGGAAAATAATGTTTAGCTTTGTAATTTCAAGTCTTTGTAAAGGCCTGAACAACTCATTATGAATTTGATCTCCACTGCAACTCCCCTAAAAACAGTTTTACATGATTTGTTAACCATTTCTCATCTATCTTTTTTCTGTGACCCACTAGTTGACCTGACCTGGAATAACACATCAGGTTTAGAAAAATATTATTTTCACGACACAAGCTCATAAAAAATGTATGATAAAAAAATTGATATCAATTCATTATAACCTTAGTCAAACGGTGCCTTGAATGCTATTGTACCCCACCATGGCTGGAGAAGTGCAAAAAGCAAAACTCCTACACTCAATGTTTACCAGTGTTGTCATGGTTGTAGTCTGGATTCATCGGTCAACACTGGTTGTCAGTATTCATATTAACTAATATTTTTAATTTTTACTTGTACTTATAAGCAATGATAATACATAATATTGGTGTTTGAACCACATTGTGTTTTCTACATAGGTGCAGGTGAAGTGTACGCCAGACTGCTTGATGTAGTAGACCCATAGGTAGATGTATCAGGGAGTGAAACTAGATTGACACAAGTGTTTCATGCAAAACATTAATTTTTTTCTCTTATTAGGCGTGTACATATACCTTGCTTACAACTTGATTTTGTGACTGAAAAATGACTCAAATGTATCTGCATGTTTCCAAATATAAATAAAAAGCCTGTACAAGTATTATGTCTTTCCTTGTGATTTGAAGAAGTTCTTGGCAAAGGACTTCCCATCCCCCCCATCACCAGTACAATGTGCTGCCTATATGTAAGGTGAGTGAGTGAGTGAGGTTTTACGCCACTTTTAGCAATATCCAGCACTATCACGGCGGGAGACACCAGAAATGGGCTTCACACATTGTACCCGTGTCGGGAATCGAACCCGGGTCTTTGGCGTGATGAGCAGACGCTTTAACCATTAGGCTACCTGACTGCTCATATGTAAGGTGAAATAGGGTTTAACATTGTGTTCAAGATCACTGCACTTACATACCGATGTGCATGCATGTGTGTGTCTGTGTACTAGTCCAGACTTTTGCCGGTTTTATGGTGCTAACCCACTGAGATACCGTGTCGCAGTTTAACATGAATACCCCACTCAGAAGCAATATAATGACTCCAAGCCGACCATCCTTGTTATAGCCCCTTAATGCTGAGGCAGGGTAACAACAAGTACCATCTTTTAACATCTTTTGGTATGATGCAGATCGAATTCCTGTCCCTCTCTTAATCCACTTGAACAGGTCGGCGGCCCATGTATGTTAGAGGGGCCCAGGGGCAGTCCTACAGCTTGTACAGAACTCAGGCTTCACTGTCAGCAGGAGCTGCATCACATCAACTGTTGAGATGTTGCTTTCCCACACTGCCTGCATCACTAAAACCTCCCAACACCATGCACACAACAACACTGTATTTATGCTGTTTTATTTGTTTTCTTTTTTTTTATTCAGTATTCTTGACATGGCGAGACATTCATTTTGTCCTCTTATGTTTGTTTGTTGTTTAATGCCAAACTCAGGTCCTTTTATGTGTGCTAATGTCATCCAGTATTCCATTCATCCAACATGCTCAAATTATCACATGCTCAACTCACCATGTGGCCCAGTCATCACTTGATCATTGTTGATAAATATCAGTGTGTGCTCAAGTCATCATGTGACCAGTCATCACTTGTTCAAGTCACCATGTGGCCTAGTCATCACTTGCTCAAGTCACCATGTGACTTTGCCATCACTTGTTCATCACTGTGTTGGCCAGTCATCATTTGTTCAAGTCACCATGTGGCCCAGTCATCACTTGTTCAAGTCACCATGTGGCCTAGTCATCATTTGTTCAAGTCACCATGTGGCCCAGTCATCACTTGTTCAAGTCACCATGTGACTTTGCCATCACTTGTTCATCACTGTGTTGGCCAGTCATCATTTGTTCAAGTCACCATGTGGCCCAGTCATCACTTGTTCAAGTCACCATGTGGCCTAGTCATCATTTGTTCAAGTCACCATGTGGCCCAGTCATCACTTGTTCAAGTCACCATGTGACCCAGTCATCACTTTCTCAAGTCACCACGTGGCCTAGCTGTGGCATATGCACAAGTCATCACCTGTTCATCACTGAGTTGGCCAGTCATCATTTGTTCAAGTCACCATGTGGCCCAGTCATCACTTGCTCAAGTCACCACATGGCCTAGCTGTGGCATATGCACAAGTCATCACATGTTCTGAGCACCATGTGTCACCACAAACCAAGCACCCCAGAAGTCCCAACCCCTTACACACAGGGAGGGGTGTGGCTGGTCTTCCTGCAGCTCCACTCCTTGGCTCCAACACATGGAGGATAAAGATAATACATGACAAGACTCAGGAGACCTGCTCACTGAGAGGGTGAGGCAGTTGCTGTTGCTGCTGTTGCTGGACTGCTTGGGCTTCCTCTACTTGGGCCCTGGTACAATAGTCCTTCAAACAAAACATGGTGGAATTTCATAAAAGTGTATCTTTCAAAAGGGCAATACTTTATCACCAATAGAACATTAGACAGGTTAAAAGGACCTCAAATGAAATCAGATCATTTTCCTAGTATTCACTGATGAACCGAGAGGATAGTACCACTAGATAACACTTGAGGTAAGGGCCAATTCGGTGTCCTTGAATGTTTTATTCAAAATTCAGCAAGCAACACTTGTTTATTTATGTAGCAAGTAATGATTACCCTGATTAATGACACAGACAAATCTCTGTATCACACATAGCATGACACAAAATGCCTAGATCAAAGCTGGCTATAGACATAAGACAATGCATAGCTCCTCAGTAATGCAGGGATTTGGGGGTACATTTACTGGACCCAGAAATATACTATCTCTGTACTGATTTTATGAAGCTTTCAGACCCATGAAGATCCAGGGTAGAATAGGTCTTCAGCAACCCATGCTTGTCATAAGAGGCGACTATGCTGGTCGTAAGTGGCGACTAACGGGATCGGGTAGTCAGGCTCACTGACTTGGTTGATGCATGTCATTGTATCCCAATTGCGTGGATCGATGCTCATGATATCAATCACTGGATTGTCTGGTCCAGACTCGATTATTTTACAGACCGCCGTCATATAGCTGGAATATTGCTGAGTGCGGCGTTAAACAACAAACTAACAAACAAACTAAACATGGATACCCCACTCAGAGACAATGTACTGACTTTGAGATGACCAGTCCTTGTTTCATCCCCTTAATGCCGAGCGCCAGGCAGGTAACCACAAGTACCATCTCTTACTGTCTTTTGGTATGACGCTGCTGGGGACTGAACCACCGACCTTCCACACTTCAACAGACACTCTATCCACAACACCACTTGACCATAAGGTTCTAGTACCTGTAGGAAGACCAGCGCCAGATTGGAGAGCTGCTTGTTAAAGGATCTGGAGAATCTCAGCATACACTCCACCACAGGCAGGGCTGTGATCTCTGGAAGAACAAGGTGGTTCCCAAGTCTATATGCAACATGAGTCTGAAGATGTTGTCTGAATGTTGGAACAGCCAGCTGTAAAACCAGTACCAAATACATACAGCTAAAAATAGAAAATGTTTCTTGGGCATCGGCACATCACTTTAAATCCTGGGCATCAGTCATTTTAATTGCAAATCAAAAATATTTTCCCAATTTCCTGTCATATGAAGCTTACTCTGGTATCCATAAACAAGATTTGTTTGTTTGTTTGTTGTTTTATGCCGCACTCAGCAATATTCCAGCTATATGATGGCGGTCTGTAAATAATCGAATCTGGACATGACAATCCAGTGATTGACGTCATGAGCATCGATCCACAAAATTGGGATCCATGACATGCTTCAACCAAGTCAGCGAGTCTGACCACCCGATCCCATTAGTCGCCTCTTAGGACAAGCAAAGTCACCTTTTACAGCAAGCATGGGTTGCTGAAGACCTATTCTAACCCGGATATTCATGGGTCCATAAGCAAGATGTACAAGCGACATTGTATGTGAGGGTCAAGTGTGCCTAGTTTTGTTTGTTGGTATCCTTGGGGGGGGGAGATACAAGTTGTTCCTCCTGCATCACTGTTGTTTTCAATAGAATATAAACATTTCCAACCGTTCTCTTCCTTGTTTAGAAAACTGAACCAGAGAAACATATAATTTGTTATGCAGCCTAAAAGGTTTTTTGTTTTGCTGTTTGTCCTGGTAGATCGCACTGGCCTGTGAACTGCCAGCAGAGCAGTGATTAAAGCCATCTTGGTGCAAAGACTGGCTATCAACTGAGAGTGATCCAACAAGTCACCTCTCACGTCAAGCATAGGTTACTCAGGACCTATTGTAACCAAGAATCACCACCAAGAATACAATATTAGAGATTCCAATGTAGGGACCACACACAAAATTTCAGCTCTGTAAATGGTCATGGAAAGCAGAGTGGTTTATGAGATGTCTCTGAAGTAAAAACAAGATGGAGTTGAATATGAGGCCAACTTGGTGATGCTGGTGAACTTCAAACCACTGGCGCTTTAAACAATGGTCCCCTGCTTGGGTCACTACAGATTGGTTTCAAATGGTGGATGGGGGAGTGATAGGTTCAAACACTGTGAACATCCTCCCTTGATCCACTGCTAGAGTGCATCTGTGGGGTGTACATAGTAGACTGCAATGTTACAGCATCGTGCAAAGTAAGCAGACCTTGCCCAGGCAAATCAGTGGTCACTAAGTGAACCAAAATCTGTGCCACTGAACACGGTTTCAGAGATAAGATCTTCCATGGTACTCCGCCACACAAGTACTCATACCAAGTGACCATCAATACCTGCTAACCTCTATCATAAGAACCCCTTATAACAATCATAGCCACGCCCCATATAGGTTATTTTTTTAACCGGATTATGCAGCTTGTTATTGCATCACTTTCACTTGGACATTTAATACTTTCTATGAATATTATGAAATTTTTCTCACTGACTAAGGGGTTGGTCGGGTAGCCTAGTGGTTAAAGCGTTTGCTCGTCACGGCGAAGACCCTGGTTCGATTCCCGACATGGGTACAATGTGTGAAGCCCATTTCTGGTGTCCCGCACTGTGATATTGCTGGAATGTTGCTAAAAGCGGCGTAAAACCATACTCACTCATAGTGCACCAGGCATACAATACTGAACAAAAAAGTAAGGGAACATGAATTTTTGGGAGGATATATTTTTTGTAATGAAGAGTCAGCACACAATTTCAAAAAAATATTGCCCAAAAAATTCATATTTCCTATATCTTTTTGCTCAGTATATACGGTGAACAGGTTCAAAGATAAACATGTAATGTTAAATAGGTGATAATCTTGTTTTACTCCAAACTTGTTATGTAAAATAGATGATAATCATGTTTTACTCCAAACTTGTAATGTTAAATAGATGATAATGATATTGGCTTCTTTGTAGATTAACCATGGTAACATAGTGAGCAGTTATTTTCCTTGGAGTGTGTAAGATGGGTAAACTGCCACTTAGAACAGTATTCCAGCTATATCACGGTGAGCCAGCTTGATCTGGGACTAGGGAGGAAAGCCTGAAGAGATGCAAAGACACCACTTGGGTGAAACCAATGAGCCTTAGCATGATGTTGAAGAAACATAATCGGGCAAACCGTCATTCGAACCACGATCATACGTTTCTTGTGTGCCCAAGGGATGCAACCCTGCACAGCAAATTGTGGCGCCTTAGACGACTGGCCCACTGTGCCACCAATTCTCCTTGGAGGAAATATCTAGATATACTCTGTAACCATGGTAACCAGAAAATAGATGAACATGACTGCACCTTGCTTCGATTCATTGGTGACAAGATACATCAGTGTTGTGATAGCTGACAGCACGGTCTCCTCTACTGGGCTGCAGAAATATGAGAACAAATAAAGTGATTCATCATCAGATATGCTTAAAATGTATCTTAACCTGAAAATAGCTGTCTGCATGAAATATTCAAAATATACATGATGTCCATACATTCTGTGCTAATTAACAGCATACCGTCCTTAAAACATAGGTACAATTGCATTTATAACAAACGTGTGAAGGAAACTATAATGACATGTTAATAGAGACATGCAATCTATATTATCATTGCCCCAACTCACCTAGACAAACAGTTGATGACAAGCGCCACCCCACCATTCTGAAGAATATATTCCTTGTTCAGCTTGTCTATGAGGAATGAAGAAAATATCACATTAGAGGACCGTTTTATTTTAAAATCTCAAGGTTAGTTGGTTGATTTGTTGTTTTACGCCGCACTCAGCGATATTCCAGCTATATGACGGTGGTCTGTAGGTAATTGAGTCTGGACCAGACAATCCAGTGATTGATATCATTAGCATTGATCCACGCAATTGGGATCGATGATATGCTTCAACCAAGTCAGTGAGCCTGATCACCCGATCCCGTTAGTCGCCTCTTACAACAAGCAAAGTCGCCTTTTACGGCAAGCATGGGTTGCTGAAGACCTATTCTAACACGGATCTTCACGGGTCGAAATCTCAAGGAACTTTCTAATGTTTATCATGTATATAACATACATTTGAACATTAAACTTCAAAATACTGAAGCCTATGCGTTATTTCATCCCTGTCATCTGACAGACATCTCGCATGTACATGATGTATGTCATGTGGTTCAATCCCCGGCCGTGTCATACCAAAAGACTTAAAAGATGGTACTTGTTGTTACCTAGCCTGGCATCTGGCATTCAGGGGACTAAAACAAGGACTGGTCGGCTTGGAGCCAGTATACTGTGTCGGAATGAGGTATTCATGTTAAACTGCAGCAAGGTTTTTCAGTGGACTAACACTATGAAGAAAATAGGCATTAGTCCAGACAAGTACAAGCACCCACACCCACAAGATCGCTATAAACAATAAATACAAGTGCAATGATGCTGAAAGTGACGTTCAACACCATATCTCCTCACCACGCCTGTCGTTCTAACTACCACACAAGTGTGTACATCAGTACTTACCTAGCACACAGTTACACAAACCACCGACCCCAAACTCTACCAGCTTCTCATCCGATTCATCCAGTGCATCTGGCAAATAATCAAATACGGCAGTGTAAAGCAAATACTGACAGTATCAAGATGAAAAATTGGACTTAATGTTGCTTTAAAACAGTATTCCAGTTATATCTTGATGTGTCAACTTAATCATGTTAATGTGGGAGGAATGCCTAAGAGATGCAAATCTCAGAAACATGTTCCAGGGTTTCAATCATCTCGTACCGTAAGAGGCGACTAGCGGAATCATGTGGTCAGGCTTGCTGACTTGGTTGATGCATGTCATCGTATCTCAATTGTGTAGATCGATGCTCATGATGTCAAGCACTGGATTGTGTGGTCTAGACTTGATTATTTACAGACCGGATTATAGCTGGAATATAGCTGAGTGCAGCGTTAAACAACAAACTAACAATCATCAAGTTTGATCTTTGGAAGAAAACACTAATGTTTTCATCAGCATCAAAATTGTACCCATCATGTTTGCTGCCTTGATCCTTCTTTTAGGTGAGCTAAAATGAATATAACGAATTCTCTTGCATTAACTAAACGAATCTTAACTGCATGATTGTGGCTCATGAAATGTGTGGTATGATTTCCAGTTGAGTAAAATTACAAATAGATTGACTGCTTTGTGATAAAAAATCTCTGCTAAGGGAGTTCATCATCAGTCATGAGTCTTACCCAGAAACAGGTCCAGTACGTTCAGCTTCCTGAAGTAGTCATAATTAATTGGGTCGTATGCAAAGTTAGCAAGGTTGGCCAGTACTTGACATTTAGCTTCTGGAAAGAAAGAGAATTCTATCATAAATTTATTTGTATGCAATTTGTACAGCATTGTTATATATATCCATCTGTAAGATTTCTTTGATCTTGGTCTTTAAGCATTTATATATTCATTTACTTTGTAAAATCCTGCCTAAAAGACAAAAGCATTCTTAGCATGAACATAGAGACATCCCCAACGAGTTCCATATACAGGAGCCCAAAATAAAGGTCTGGACTAGCAAGGTTTTAGTGTATATTGTCAACTGTTGTTACACTGAAATTCTATACTGTTAAATTTAATGTGAGATTAAGAACATCCAACTGTACACATATACCGTATTCGACGTAATGACGCCCCGCTCTAATAAGCGTCCACGGTAACATTTGCTAATATATTGGCTGGTGAACAATCCCAATTAGCATGATTAGCACCCCTTCCAATTGATCAATGTACACAAGACTTATTTATTCGCGTATAATACGCACACATGTGTTATGTGCACCCTTAATTATGGGAAATTACATTCTGGAAAAATATATCTGTCGTACATTAACCTTTTTTTCACCAAGATAATATTCTAATAAGAGCCCCCTATATCTAATTTTGAGAGCGCCCTGGGCGCTTATTATGTCAAATACGGTACATATATGGTCATTCAGAAGCATCATGCAGTCCAGCCAAGAGCTGCAATGGGGTCTGAATGTCAAGACATAGACTAATGCTTAAATATAGAATTTTGAAAGAAACAAATAACTGAGCAGCAGCCCTAAGTTGGGAGTTGGGATATACTTTGGAAAATCTAGACTTGCTTCATTTAGGACTTTTGCATTACAGAAAGGAGTGGGGGGAAGGGAAAATAATATGGTTCAGGGACTGTGAGACAGATTAGTCAAGAAATGACCATGATGACCATCAATACAAGATGCTTCGACGGACAGAGACAATGGGTAATGGGCTTGTTATTGGACGTCACATTACAATTTCCTCAACTGCATCATCAACATGATCAATGCTGTCATTATCACAAATATCCTGTATTACTATTATGATATTTTGATTACAAACACAACAGACCCATGAAGATCCAGGGTAGAATAGGTCTTCAACAACCCATATGCTAGCCGTAAGAGGTGACTATGCGTGTCGTAAGAGGTGACTAATGGGATCAGGTGGTCATGCAAGCTCAATGACTTGGTTAGATTGATGCATGTCATCGTATCCCAATTGCATGGATCAATGCTCATGATGTCAATCACTGGATTGTCTGGTCCAGACTTTACAGAACATTTGTTATATAACTGGAATAGTGCTGTGTTAAACACCAAACAATAAACTATCACAACTTCCAACAATATACCTGGTAGACAATTTTATGATATGCTTTTATCATGTTTAGTATGTCTGTAACAAAACATAATTATTTTTTCCTTGGCTAAGGTTTGTTTGTCGTACACATGGTAAATTAAAGTTAAATTATCTGCCGATTTCAGAAAGATATACTGTGATCGTGGTGATACTATTTTGCTGTGTCTAAACATGGTAAAAGGATTGTATTTAGTTGGGTTAGACAAACAGTTGGGTGATTAGACATCGTAGTTTCGAGGTATACTCCTACAGTCTTATACTGTATCAGATTTAATAACGCAATTTCGTTTCTGTTTAAAGTTACACCCATAAATGTTTTGGTGCGCGAAAAACGGGGACCTCGTGATCTCCCTTTCCTGCGATTGTTGCAGGTTGTCTTGATCTTTTCGTTGCTATCTAACCTTGATCATCGATGTCCTGGTATTCTGTAACCAGCGACTGCAAGTAACTGAATCTGCCGATGCCATACGGACCCGTCTTCTTGTCCAGATATTCTTGAGAGCTGAACATTGTTTACACTTGATTCTAAGGACTAGAAGTTTTGCCCCTTAGCGGATCCGTTAATTTCTTGTAATAGACAGGACCCAGTCAATTCCTCCGAAACGTCTTATGTGCTTAGCTCCGCATCGTATATAACAACTTCCGACTTGTAACCCACGTGTTGAAAAGTGCTCGGATCTGACTTGCACAAGATATTGGGTGTTTTATATGGTAAAGCAACAGTTTTAACATCTTTTTTTGAAACACTTGATTTTGTGTTGAATACTTGAAGCGTGTTTGGTAAAACTTCGTCCGTAACCCCTGCCTCGATTATTTTAAAGATCATTACTGTGAAGATCCGTGTTAGAATTGGTCTTCAGCAACCCATTCTTGCTGTAAAAGGTGACCATGCTTGTCGTAAGAGAGTAACAGGATGAAGTGGTCAGGCTCGCTGACTTGGTTGATGCACGTCATCAAATCCGAAATGTGTAGATTTATGCTCATGATGTCAATCTCTGGAGATTAGATTATTTTCAGATTGCTGTCATATAGCTGGAATATTGCTGAGTGTGACGTTAAACAACAAACTAATAAATTATGGTGTCATATCTTGACATAGATTGTTGTTCATGCCAGCAACCACTGGTTCACATTGCTTATCAACAGGATGCCATGATATGGCGTGAATTTAACTGACAGCCCAATATATCCTGAAACAACATTCACTCAAACTCTGTTGTTTATTGATCATAGATTGCTTGTATTTGATAGATAGCTGGTATACAGTGACGTGAGCGAGGATGGCGACGTCTCTAGCCCGTCAGCTGCAGCAGTTGGCTGTCCCTCACACACAGGCCATACTCGGGGAAGACAAGCGGAAAGTCTCTCTTCTCTTCGACCCCAAAGATGCTGCTACATTTGATAAAGAAACCTTCTATGCCCTTGGTATGTAATGTTACATCAGGGTATATACTTTTCTTTGTTACAAAATGTAAACTGAGGTTCTCAGAACCCCCACTTTGTGGTGTTAAGGTCAGACTTTTATTTTTCAGATTAACATGTATTACTTAAACATGTCAAACAGTAATATACACTTAGTGTTTAGTTTTTGGGACTTTCAAATCACTGATGAAATTGTTCATTCATAAATTTCATAGGATGATCAGGGTTAGAAATTGGCACTAGTCCTATAGTCCTTGCCAAACTGCCCAATGGTAAAGGTATCATAAGGACTAGTAGAAAATTGCCCTTTTTAAGGGTTTTGCTATATGTTATCATTATAAGGACTAGAAATGACGGGGGTATATAATTACCATACATCAAGGAATTCTGTCCGTCCGTCCGTCCTTCTGTAGGCATTTTTGTGTAAGACCTATCACTTGAATACTACTTCGTAGATTCATTTCAAACTTGGTGAAAATTCTGTACACCAATAGGAGAGGTGTAAATTTGATTTCAATATTTGGATTTTCTTAAAAAATACAGCTATTTTTCTTATCAATAGCTATTTTTTTAGCTATTATATCAACATGTTATAATTGTGGAGGAACTTATTTTTCATATTCTTTTCCCATTTACGTGTTGTATGATGATCATGATGATATAATGTTCCAATTATCCCAGAAGAATTCTTGTGGCTCTATGTTCATCATCAGGATCTTTTTTAATTTTGACAATTAATGAAAAAATTCACTATATCACCATGGTAACACTAAAAGTCACTAATTTTAGTATTTTTTTCTGACTATGCACCCACTCCTACAGACATCAGTGTGTGCATGACCAGATCCTTTTATACATATATCTAAATACTTTTTGCCAGGGCTTCGGTAAAATAATTCACATTTTGTGTACCCAACTCTTGACACCTACAACGGGTAGGGGTCTTGAAATGGGGGGTTCGGTACCCAGAAATGCAAATTTGGACTTTATTTTGGTGTTGTGTGTTGCAGGTGTGAATGGTATTGAGGAGCTGGAGGGTATTGATCCCTCCTTCCTGGACTTCCATGAGAGTCTATTCAGCGAGGGCTCCCTCACCTTCGAGAGAAGCGTCCAATCCAAGGAAGTCAACAAAAAACTCAACACCGTCATCTCCAAATTTCTGCTGAAACTATCTCCATTTTTCTTACTCAAGGCAGCCCAAAAGTCTGTTGAATGGTTAATTCAGAGGTAAGGCAGTAGCATATCTGGGTTGTTTTTTCACAAGTTTTTGAACCAAAGTGTAATTTTTAACCTGTCCTATCTCACACTATGCATTTCTTCTTTCTTCTTCGATTCTGTGTGGTAACATGCTTGAGCAGAGTTATCAGCTTCTAAAAAAGCGGGGGCACGGGTGGCCCAGTCGTCTGAGGTGCCGCGATTCGCTATGCAGAGTTGCGTCCTTTGGGCACGCCAGAAACCTATGATTGAGGGTTCGAATCCCGGTTCGCCCCGATTATGTTTCTAGGTTTGTCAGCACCATACCCGTGCTCGTGGGTTTCACTGAAGTTGTAAATGTCTGAGACCTGCATCACTTTGGGCTTTCCTCCCACATTAAGCTGACATGCTGCGATATAGCTGGAATACTGTTAAAAGCGGCGTTAAACCCAACTCACTCACTCACTCACTCTAACAAAGAATCCACCAGAACACACCCCAGCATCACTATAGTCACCTCCCAACCAAAAGGGTCAAACATGTGATCCCGTGAATAGCGACCTACACAACCTGATCACGTGCCTCCTTTGTTCGAGTTTGATCATTAGAGAATACATGTTAGTTTTGTTTTTTTCTCTCAACAATTTCCCTATCCTTAGCGTAGCTGTTTTTGATACCATGCCAATGGGAATGGGAAAGAAGAAGGAAAAAGCGACAGATACTCTGCTTTCTGATCGTTTGCAATGTCGACGAACCTACTTGACCTCTGACCCACATCAAAGTATTGTAATTGTCGGATGGTGTAGCCTTGAATCATGCTGTACAGAGTGCAAACGCAAAGTCTCAAATCCCTCTCCCTCTCTCCATGAACTACATCTGGATCACTGTATGTAAGCAGAATGAGTTCACTGATCGTATCCAGGAAGTGGACCAGGATGTAACAAGGGACACTCATCTGCAGGTTTCCGTGGATCTCCTTCGTCTTCAACAACACCAATTAGAAGAATGTGAGAAAAAGGAACAAAGGTACCCTCAGTTTGTGACTGCCCAACCAGATCTATGTGAGCTCCTCAGTTTGAGACGACCTTCTGCAGCCTCACTCCCAGTTGCTCCACCCGTCACTCGCTACGCTCCATCTTTGCATTTGGGGCATTTGCATAGATCCCTTGTTGCTAAAAGCTATTCCCAGAGGGTAGTGAAAATCATCAAGCATCTTTACTACCACAAGTGGACAGCTTTTGAGGCTTAATGTCACGCTCATGACATTTCCACTTCTACACTTCTGCTAAAACACAACAGAATCGCTGAATATCTTCATGGCCTGCGATCCATGAGTATCTCGCTGCGATGAACTCTGTCATTGCTACTACCACGGGATCGAATATCCCAACTGTTAAACTTCAAATCGCTCATTCGGTCCTACAAGTTGGCAGACCAGTCATCCCAGTTCTGGCCTCTCTCTTGGGATCTTAACATACTTCAACATCTGACTTCTGCGGATTATGAAGCGCTTGCTGACAAAGATTTTGAGGTAATCACTTCCAAGCCCATCTTCTACTGGCTCATGCAACTGCTGCACATATTAGTGAGATCCACGCTCTGGTTGTCAACAGGGTTCAGTTTGAATGGTCCGAGAATGGAAAAGTATTATTGGGTCTGCCCTGGGATTTTGTGGTGGAGAACCAGCTTCCAGGACTGTCTGATTGCCTTTTTATGATCCCGCCACTGATGTCGATCTTGGGTTCGGAAAAGTATCTCATGTCCAGTAAAAGCGCTTCATACTTACTTGGCGCCTGCGAGTCCATGTCCATGCTGCTGGAAGAGGCTCTTCATTCCGCTCTCGACTGCGGCAGAAAAGGAAGTTTACCATACCACGATCTCCTTCTGGCTCCACTCGATCGTCCTACGGGCTTTCACTTTTGCTGGGTTACCTCCACCTGTTGCATGCAACCCACATGAAACTCGGGCTGCCGCATCCACCATGGCCTTACACAGCAATTGCACCCTCTCCGCCATCATTGAAGGGTGCTTTTGGAAGTCAGATACAGTTTTCGCCTCCCCCTATCTCCGTGTCATCTCCGTCACTGATAGGATTTGCAGAGTTTCCACATAAAATCGAAGAGGAAGAGGAAATGCTTAGTGTGAGAGAATATAAGTATATAAATATACAATTTATTGGAAAATTTCCAATTTTATTTGTTAGGTAAGTCTTTTTTCTAATTGGTTTACCATGCTTTTATGCGCTCCACTAACCCCACAAAATTTGGGTAAATTTTTTTTATGCCGCCAAAACAAACATGAGTCCCAACACAAAAATCTTTCTCAAACAAATGGTTAAACTGCAATAGGTTACAGTTGGTGAAATGATGTGACACTCTCAACAACTGTTACAACACTCACAGTGACATATTCATAGAGGGTTTTGAATAAATATTTACATTTTATTTTCCTACATACTGACAAGGATTTATCCCTAAAAATTAGTTAAACCAAGAAGTTTAAAACGTTTGGATTAAAATGAGGAAAAAGTATCTGCTTTAATGGATATTGGCTGCCTGGTTGTCTAATGTGCTCCAGTTTGCTGAGCAGAGTTGTATCCCTTAGATGTACTAGATTCCACTAGTCATGGATTCGTGAAGATCCGGGTTAGAATAGGTCATCCCATGCTTGTCGTAAGAGGCGACTAACAGGTTCGGGGTTACTTGGTTGATGCATGTCATCGCATCCCAATTGCATGGATCGATGCTCATGATTTCAATCACAGGATTGTCTGGTCCAGACTTGATTATTTCCAGACTGCGGTCATATACCGGTAGCTGGAATATTGCTGTATTGCTGAGTGTTATACAATAAACAAACAGACAAATTCAAACCTTGGTCTGAAGCAGAGCCATGAAGTTGAAATATTGAGGGTAAGGTTGAGGTCTAACTGTTGTAGAATTGTTACGAATCTGTCTCCTTTGGTCCCAGATATCACATCCACTTCTACAACGTGGATGACCTGATGATGTGTATCCTGCCCTATCACGACACGAAGATCTTCGTCCGAGCTGTCCAGTTGCTGGATCTCAACAACAAGGATGTCCGACACTGGAGCTGGCTGCAGTCCATACAGGTGGCCTGTTCCTTCTCTTCATTTGCTGTTACAAATGTCCGTCTAATGCCAGGAACACCCTTGTAGGGCATCTTGGGATAGGCTAGTCCCCAGTACCCATGATAGATCCATAGCCAACTACTACGAGAATCACTGATTGTGTGTCGATGGACCTGGCGGCATTGATGGGGTGCTCATGTTATCAACCACTGGTTTGCCTTGCACACCCATAGTTTCATGGAGACTGTTGTGATTGAGCTGTAGTATATTTCTTTCATACACCAGAAATTTGTATCTATAAACATAATGATAGCATTTTCTGACAGGACCTTGATGAATGTGAAGATTTGTCAGATTTGTAGCAATTCATTTTTCAAATGTAATTTAATTTGATATATTGTATTGATGTGATTGTGAAATAACTGAATGGATCAATGTGACTACAAGGGCATAATATGTTATTGTGGTGGTCCCAACTGATTCAGTTTGATATTTTAAATGCAATTAAGTTGTGAACCTGCAAGCTCCTTCCCAATAGTAACATCGCTGCCATTAGTATGGAATCTTGAAATTTGTCCTATAACCCCAAATGAAGTGACATTTATGTTTGTCTCTTTGTCTTTGGGACGTCATTGTGAATTTTGAATAGCTTTACAGCTGACTTTCTATTTCCCACAATAATTTACATTTTGTTTGTTTAATCTGATTTGAGACAAACAAAAAAGCACCCAACTCCAGTAACATTCTCACTATACCAATGGTAGTTGAAATGAAATGGAAATTCAAACTGAGAAAACAGAAAATCATTAAGTTAGAGGAAGAGCATTCAGCCTCAAGACAGTGATCACTTGATGTAAATGTGAAGGTCAGTTGGTTGCGAGTTCACCTCGAAGCATGTGGCAAGCTAAGCTAAAGGTTGTGGCGAGAGGAGTTGTCTGGTAGCAGTGGTAGTATAGAGAGCCCTGTCATCAGGCTTTTGTAGGGAGCTTGGCGGAGCTGCTTCAAAGGGAGGTAACCTGGAAGAGAAAGTTGCCTCAGTGTCATACTGGATCTGTGTCATGTATTCTTTTGTTTACTCTATTTGGTGTATGGTTACTGTTTGTCAGAAACCCGGAGTGCACCTAGCAAGGTCCACCTTGATCAGCCATTGTTGGAAGAACACAGCCTTCCTCTCTTTCCTCTGTGATATGGTGCCGAAGTTTGTAAAGGTGAGTTTGGCATCATTCATCTCATGAACAAACTGTGTATCTTTGATTCTGAAGGGCATCTAAATTCTGAATCTATGCTTTGAACATTTTAGTAGTTTTTTAAAAAGCACAGCAAATCTTAAGGTGCATATGTCTTATTGTGTTTGATCATGATGATGACTGTAAATATTGGGGGCGGTCGGGTAGCCTAGTGGTTAAAGCGTTCGCTCGTCATGCCGAACACCCGGGTTCGATTCCCGACATGGGTACAATGTGTGAAGCCCATTTCTGGTGTCCCCCGCCGTGATATTGCTGGAATATTGCTAAAAGCGGTGTAAAACCATACTCACTCACTCACTCACTCACTCACTGTAAATATTGTATTTAATGGGAAACTTTTTCGGAATGAAGTGTGTTCTTTTCTGCAATATCTCATTGACTTCATGATCCTGATATTGTTAAAAGAGGTGCATGGGCGGCAAAGTTATCTGAGACAAGAGTTGCTTCCCTTAGCAGTGCCAGGATCTGCTGTTCAGTGGTTTGATCAGATTCTCCTTAATTATTAGCCTTAGTTAGTCCGTCAATATAATAAAAGGATTATTTTTGGTTAACCTGAAGTTGTATACTACTAAAACTTACATAGTTTTTGGCTTTCCTTCTCAGTGGTGTTAAGACCAGATTCATCCACCCATTCTTAATAAATGTATCTTTTCTCACCAGGCCAATGAGGATGCAGAAGACACCAACAGCCCTCAGTTTCTGAAGACTGTCTTCTCCTTCTATGCAATGACTGTCATATCTGTGCTGGACGTCTACAAAGTCAATGAACGTCTGCTGTCTGTTCTCATTGAGCCAATAGGACGAGGCCTACAGTCTCGAATTCGAGCCTATCAGGCAGCCTCTTACATGATCATGGCAGAGCTGTTTCACAAGGCAAAGGTCAAGAAGGACCTATCAGAAACCTTCATACATCTTGTCTGCAAAGTAAGTTTCAAGTTCACTCTCTTCTCATTTTCTCTTATGGTACACAATGGGGAGACCTATAACTGTTATATAATTACTTTGATCTTATAAGGTCATTAGGAATTAATTATTTAAGAAATAACCATGCCTACAAGTCATTTATTTATTTCTTATATGAGATATCAACATTTTGTACAGCTTCTTTACAGATGTTAATAAAATGTACAAGCTTTAAAAGTATTTAAATAATTATGACTCCCTGAATACAATCCAACCTTGGGAATGTCAGACAAGTAAATTTTATGAACAGGGGGTTCCTGGATATTCTCACAATTTTCATGTTTATTATCTGTACTTTTCTCCCATTACCGGTTGTCATATCTCTCCCACTTTTGGATGTGATCATTCGGCCATTGCGTTTATATCTGTGTTGCCCAGCTACATCTATGGCGAACAACTCACTAGACACTTCCCTCCCAAAAATAACGTTGTCCAATTTACGCATCATATCAAATTGCCAGTGCATGTTTGAATCTCCAGAAATGACATCGGTATAGAACAATGTTTTATGCAATTTGTTCTTTGCAATTTATTGCGTAGCTATGTTATATAAGATTGTCATCCCCCACCTCACTACCGAACACCCCTGACAAGATACATCATATCTATGGTCCATCAACTCTGTTTCAGTTCATCAACCCCCAGATGGCTACAGAGGCGGTCACCTGCATCCTCATCATATTTCAGACTCAAGATGTCACCAAACTGCATAAGAAGTAAGCGCTGTTTCCATTTTTGGGTAGAATACGTCTTCAGCAACCCATGCTTGTTGTAAGCATGGTAAGAGGCGACTAACGGGAGTGGGTGGTCAGGCTCGCTGACTTGGTTGATGCGTGTCATCATATCTCGATTGCGTGCTCATGATATGAATCACTGGATTGTCTGGTCCAGACTCGATTATTTACAGACTGCTGTCATATAGCTGGAATATTGCTGAGTGCAGCGTTAAACAACAAACAAACAAACCCATTTGCGATATACAAGTAGTCTACTGGCACAATCCATCACCTCCGTTTACACTGTAGATATGTTTAAGATCCTGCCTCTCTTGGTGTTATACTTGTTTGATTCTTTTAAGAGCCTACATATTTTAGTATGTCAAGGTTGAATTTAAGAAATAAAATTGGAAGAGATAAACAATCTGAAGGTATCTCTTTTGAAACAAATGGATAATGAATTCTTCTGATTGATACCTTATCCTCCTTATTGCTGCCTACTTTCAGGAATTTCAAGTACCTCTCCCGCCAGCCCACCCTCGCATCAGTCATCAAGAAGCTGTCAGAAACCTACAACGTCCAGCCTCTTCTGCAGCCTCTCCTCGGGAACCTTGTGCCTGCAGCATTCAAAGAGTCCGCTCTCAACATCATCAGCAGCGACAGCAGCGAAGACGAGGGTGGACCACGACCACAGCTCATGTCACTGCTGCAGGATCTCTTGACGAACGTGGCACTGCAGGAGAATACCGCCATTGGTGTGGCAAAGTAAGGCTGGGCGTTATCACTGTCATTGTGGCAAAATGCACCTGGGGAGATGACTCCCGTCATTGTTGCAAAATAAAGTTGGGGAGCCTACTACTTTTATTGTAGCAAATTAAGGCTGCTGTTAGTGTGGCTAAGTGGGTTTTGGAGACTATCGCTTTGTTCTTTTCCTTTAATACATTGTTACTTTGTCTCATTAAAGGTCAACCAAGTCAAGCTGCCTGAACTTGTGACATTTATTATTTCAGAAACGTCCTGCGTAACTTCATCTCGAACCTTCTGCGCGACCAGGACCACCAAGAGTCTCACCACACCACCGTCCGAGGCATCGTCAGGCAGCTGGAGGCCAAGTATGTGATCCTTAGGGAGGGTTAAGGATGTGGGCTGGTAGGATTTTGTATTCACAGAGCACCTCAAGCTGTTGTGTGTTGACCTGCTCACATGGTTTGAAGTCTATCCATTGCTGCTGTAAACTGATGTGGTTGGGAATCATGGTTTAACAGCCGAAAAGTAGTAATGTTTGTGTGAATTAAGGATTTGTTTCGTTTGTTCAGAGGAAATAGCTTAAGATGCTGAAATACATGGTGTTTTGTGTGCCAGGTACCCGAATGCTCTGGATATTGCCACGGATGATGTGATGCTGTCCACAAGTTGCCAGGAAGAGAAAGAAGCCATCACTTCCTTCCTGAACTTGTCGGCCATGACAACCCAGCACCAGATCCTCCCTGACAACAGCACCAGTCTTGTCCTGTGTCTCAACCACCGACAGGCCTCGGTCAGACAGAGTGCCGTCACCTACATGCTTGAACACATGGGGAAGGTGGGTAGCTGGAGATGTTGGTTTCTAGTAGACCAGTCTTGTACTGTGTTAGTCAGGCAGAGTGCTGTCACCTACATGCTTGAACACATGGGGAAGGTGTGTAGCTAGAGATGTTGGTTTCTAGTAGACCAGTCTTGTACTGTGTTAGTCAGACAGAGTGCTGTCACCTACATGCTTGAACACATGGGGAAGGTGGGTAGCTACAGATGTTGGTTTCTAGTAGATCAGTCTTGTACTGTGTTAGTCAGACAGAGTGCTGTCACCTACATGCTTGAACACATGGGGAAGGTGGGTAGCTAGAGATGTTGGTTTCTAGTAGATCAGTCTTGTACTGTGTTAGTCAGACAGAGTGCTGTCACCTACATGCTTGAACACATGGGGAAGGTGGGTAGCTAGAGATGTTGGTTTCTAGTAGATCAGTCTTGTACTGTGTTAGTCAGACAGAGTGCTGTCACCTACATGCTTGAACACATGGGGAAGGTGGGTAGCTAGAGATGTTGGTTTCTAGTAGATCAGTCTTGTACTGTGTTAGTCAGACAGAGTGCTGTCACCTACATGCTTGAACACATGGGGAAGGTGGGTAGCTAGAGATGTTGGTTTCTAGTAGACCAGTCTTGTACTGTTAGTCAGACAGAGTGCTGTCACCTACATGCTTGAACACATGGGGAAGGTGGGTAGCTAGAGATGTTGGTTTCTAGTAGACCAGTCTTGTACTGTGTTAGTCAGGCAGAGTGCTGTCACCTACATGCTTGAACACATGGGGAAGGTGTGTAGCTGGAGATGTTGGTTTCTAGTAGATCAGTCTTGTACTGTGTTAGTCAGACAGAGTGCTGTCACCTACATGCTTGAACACATGGGGAAGGTGGGTAGCTAGAGATGTTGGTTTCTAGTAGATCAGTCTTGTACTGTGTTAGTCAGACAGAGTGCTGTCACCTACATGCTTGAACACATGGGGAAGGTGGGTAGCAAGAGATGTTGGTTTCTAGTAGATCAGTCTTGTACTGTGTTAGTCAGACAGAGTGCTGTCACCTACATGCTTGAACACATGGGGAAGGTGGGTAGCAAGAGATGTTGGTTTCTAGTAGATCAGTCTTGTACTGTGTTAGTCAGACAGAGTGCTGTCACCTACATGCTTGAACACATGGGGAAGGTGGGTAGCTAGAGATGTTGGTTTCTAGTAGATCAGTCTTGTACTGTGTTAGTCAGACAGAGTGCCGTCACCTACATGCTTGAACACACGGGGAAGGTGGGTAGCTAGAGATGTTGGTTTCTAGTAGATCAGTCTTGTACTGTGTTAGTCAGACAGAGTGCTGTCACCTACATGCTTGAACACATGGGGAAGGTGGGTAGCAAGAGATGTTGGTTTCTAGTAGATCAGTCTTGTACTGTGTTAGTCAGACAGAGTGCTGTCACCTACATGCTTGAACACATGGGGAAGGTGGGTAGCTAGAGATGTTGGTTTCTAGTAGATCAGTCTTGTACTGTGTTAGTCAGACAGAGTGCTGTCACCTACATGCTTGAACACATGGGGAAGGTGGGTAGCAAGAGATGTTGGTTTCTAGTAGACCAGTCTTGTACTGTGTTAGTCAGACAGAGCGCTGTCACCTACATGCTTGAACACATGGGGAAGGTGTGTAGCTAGAGATGTTGGTTTCTAGTAGACCAGTCTTGTACTGTTAGTCAGACAGAGTGCTGTCACCTACATGCTTGAACACATGGGGAAGGTGGGTAGCTAGAGATGTTGGTTTCTAGTAGACCAGTCTTGTATTGTTAGTCAGGCAGAGTGCTGTCACCTACATGCTTGAACACATGGGGAAGGTGGGTAGCTAGGGATGTTGGTTTCTAGTAGACCAGTCTTGTACTGTTAGTCAGACAGAGTGCCGTCACCTACATGCTTGAACACATGGGGAAGGTGGGTAGCTAGGGATGTTGGTTTCTAGTAGACCAGTCTTGTATTGTTAGTCAGACAGAGTGCTGTCACCTACATGCTTGAACACATGGGGAAGGTGGGTAGCTAGAGATGTTGGTTTCTAGTAGACCAGTCTTGTACTGTTAGTCAGGCAGAGCGCTGTCACTTACATGCTTGAACACATGGGGAAGGTGGGTAGCTGGAGATGTTGGTTTCTAGTAGACCAGTCTTCTACTGTGTTAGTCAGGCAGAGTGCTGTCACCTACATGCTTGAACACATGGGGAAGGTGGGTAGCTAGAGATGTTGGTTTCTAGTAGACCAGTCTTCTACTGTGTTAGTCAGGCAGAGTGCTGTCACCTACATGCTTGAACACATGGGGAAGGTGGGTAGCTAGAGATGTTGGTTTCTAGTAGACCAGTCTTGTACTGTGTTAGTCAGACAGAGTGCTGTCACCTACATGCTTGAACACATGGGGAAGGTGGGTAGCTAGAGATGTTGGTTTCTAGTAGACCAGTCTTGTACTGTGTTAGTCAGACAGAGTGCTGTCACCTACATGCTTGAACACATGGGGAAGGTGGGTAGCTAGAGATGTTGGTTTCTAGTAGACCAGTCTTCTACTGTGTTAGTCAGGCAGAGTGCTGTCACCTACATGCTTTAACACATGGGGAAGGTGGGTAGCTAGAGATGTTGGTTTCTAGTAGACCAGTCTTGTACTGTTAGTCAGACAGAGTGCTGTCACCTACATGCTTGAACACATGGGGAAGGTGGGTAGCTAGAGATGTTGGTTTCTAGTAGATCAGTCTTGTACTGTGTTAGTCAGGCAGAGTGCTGTCACCTACATGCTTGAACACATGGGGAAGGTGTGTAGCTGGAGATGTTGGTTTCTAGTAGATCAGTCTTGTACTGTGTTAGTCAGACAGAGTGCTGTCACCTACATGCTTGAACACATGGGGAAGGTGGGTAGCTAGAGATGTTGGTTTCTAGTAGATCAGTCTTGTACTGTGTTAGTCAGACAGAGTGCTGTCACCTACATGCTTGAACACATGGGGAAGGTGGGTAGCTACAGATGTTGGTTTCTAGTAGATCAGTCTTGTACTGTGTTAGTCAGACAGAGTGCTGTCACCTACATGCTTGAACACATGGGGAAGGTGGGTAGCTAGAGATGTTGGTTTCTAGTAAATCAGTCTTGTACTGTGTTAGTCAGACAGAGTGCTGTCACCTACATGCTTGAACACATGGGGAAGGTGGGTAGCTACAGATGTTGGTTTCTAGTAGATCAGTCTTGTACTGTGTTAGTCAGACAGAGTGCTGTCACCTACATGCTTGAACACATGGGGAAGGTGGGTAGCTGGAGATGTTGGTTTCTAGTAGACCAGTCTTGTACTGTTAGTCAGACAGAGTGCTGTCACCTACATGCTTGAACACATGGGGAAGGTGGGTAGCTAGAGATGTTGGTTTCTAGTAGACCAGTCTTGTACTGTGTTAGTCAGGCAGAGTGCTGTCACCTACATGCTTGAACACATGGGGAAGGTGGGTAGCTAGAGATGTTGGTTTCTAGTAGATCAGTCTTGTACTGTGTTAGTCAGACAGAGTGCTGTCACCTACATGCTTGAACACATGGGGAAGGTGGGTAGTTGGAGATGTTGGTTTCTAGTAGACCAGTCTTGTACTGTTAGTCAGACAGAGCGCTGTCACCTACATGCTTGAACACATGGGGAAGGTGGGTAGCTAGAGATGTTGGTTTCTAGTAGACCAGTCTTGTACTGTTAGTCAGACAGAGTGCCGTCACCTACATGCTTGAACACATGGGGAAGGTGGGTAGCTAGAGATGTTGGTTTCTAGTAGACCAGTCTTGTACTGTTAGTCAGACAGAGCGCTGTCACCTACATGCTTGAACACATGGGGAAGGTGGGTAGTTGGAGATGTTGGTTTCTAGTAGACCAGTCTTGTACTGTTAGTCAGACAGAGCGCTGTCACCTACATGCTTGAACACATGGGGAAGGTGGGTAGCTAGAGATGTTGGTTTCTAGTAGACCAGTCTTGTACTGTTAGTCAGACAGAGTGCTGTCACCTACATGCTTGAACACATGGGGAAGGTGGGTAGCTAGAGATGTTGGTTTCTAGTAGACCAGTCTTGTACTGTGTTAGTCAGACAGAGTGCTGTCACCTACATGCTTGAACACATGGGGAAGGTGGGTAGCTACAGATGTTGGTTTCTAGTAGACCAGTCTTGTACTGTGTTAGTCAGACAGAGTGCTGTCACCTACATGCTTGAACACATGGGGAAGGTGGGTAGCTACAGATGTTGGTTTCTAGTAGACCAGTCTTGTACTGTGTTAGTCAGACAGAGTGCTGTCACCTACATGCTTGAACACATGGGGAAGGTGGGTAGCTAGAGATGTTGGTTTCTAGTAGATCAGTCTTGTACTGTGTTAGTCAGACAGAGTGCTGTCACCTACATGCTTGAACACATGGGGAAGGTGGGTAGCTACAGATGTTGGTTTCTAGTAGATCAGTCTTGTACTGTGTTAGTCAGACAGAGCGCTGTCACCTACATGCTTGAACACATGGGGAAGGTGGGTAGCTGGAGATGTTGGTTTCTAGTAGATCAGTCTTGTACTGTGTTAGTCAGACAGAGTGCTGTCACCTACATGCTTGAACACATGGGGAAGGTGGGTAGCTGGAGATGTTGGTTTCTAGTAGACCAGTCTTGTACTGTTAGTCAGACAGAGTGCTGTCACCTACATGCTTGAACACATGGGGAAGGTGGGTAGCTAGAGATGTTGGTTTCTAGTAGACCAGTCTTGTACTGTGTTAGTCAGGCAGAGTGCTGTCACCTACATGCTTGAACACATGGGGAAGGTGTGTAGCTGGAGATGTTGGTTTCTAGTAGACCAGTCTTGTACTGTGTTAGTCAGACAGAGTGCTGTCACCTACATGCTTGAACACATGGGGAAGGTGGGTAGCTAGAGATGTTGGTTTCTAGTAGACCAGTCTTGTACTGTGTTAGTCAGACAGAGTGCTGTCACCTACATGCTTGAACACATGGGGAAGGTGGGTAGCTAGAGATGTTGGTTTCTAGTAGACCAGTCTTGTACTGTGTTAGTCAGACAGAGTGCTGTCACCTACATGCTTGAACACATGGGGAAGGTGGGTAGCTAGAGATGTTGGTTTCTAGTAGACCAGTCTTGTACTGTGTTAGTCAGACAGAGTGCTGTCACCTACATGCTTGAACACATGGGGAAGGTGGGTAGCTAGAGATGTTGGTTTCTAGTAGGCCAGTCTTGTACTGTTAGTCAGACAGAGCGCTGTCACCTACATGCTTGAACACATGGGGAAGGTGGGTAGCTAGAGATGTTGGTTTCTAGTAGACCAGTCTTGTCTTTGCAGTCATTCAGCATGCTTCAACATGTTGGGAAGGGGGGTAGCTGAGAGATGTGGTCGTGACAGAAATACTTTCTTTCAGTCTGCACCAAACATGAGCTAATTGAACTGAATGAAAGGTCAAGGTCACAGTTACTCAAATAAAGAATTACCGGGATCCGATTCACCAGCAGTTGTTAAGTTGTAAGCCCTGGTCAGAGGTTTCCTCTGCGATATCTGTTACAGAACATGTACAACTAATCCCTGTGAAATACAACAGCTTGTATACTCAAATCTCATCATTTATGATCAAGAGTTTTTTCTGAAGTAAAAAAACAGTTTGATTGTTTTGCCTAGCTTGAGGACACTGACTTCATTTCCGAGTCAGTACTGGCACGACTGCGAGATGACAACCCGGAGATCGTGAAGATGATTCTGCAGTATGAGAAGGTGAGGCTCGCCTTGCAATGAATGAAAGATGATTTGTTCTTTTTCTTGTCTTATAAATAACTTGACCCTGTTTGACCCATTGATCCTGTTTCCTGTGTTGATGTTGGCCCTGATTTCAAAGCTCAAAACTGTTCTCAAGGTGTGTTCTTTTCAGTAAAATGTATATTTTTTTACCATATTTACCACGTTTACAGCTTGATTGAGAATTGGTTCTCTAACATTATTTGCAAGCATTTAAATGTAGTCAAAATAAATTTCAAGCAAGCTTCATTTTGTGTTGGCAGCTGCTTGATCTGGTGGATGACAAGGCAGAGCTCCAGAGTTGTCTGCTGCAGCTGCTCCAGACGTACAGCACACCACCAAGCAGGTCAGTGATAGCAACAACCAGCAAAGGTAGTTCAATTCAGCCTTGGGGGCACGGGTGGCCCAGTCATCTAAGGCACCGCGATTCGCTGTGCAGAGTTGCGTCCCTTGGGCACGCCAGAAACCTATGATTGTTGGTTTGAATCGCGGTTCGCCCCGATTATGTTTCTAGGTTTGTCAGCACCATACCCGTGCTTGTGGGTTTCACGGAAGTGGTAAACGTCTGAGACCTGCATCACTTCGGGCTTTCCACCCACATTAAGCTGACACGCCGCAATATAACTGGAATATTGTTAAAAGCGGCGTTAAACCAAACTCACTCACTCACTCACTCACTCACTCACTCACTCACTCACTCACTCACTCACTCACTCACTCACTCACTCACTCACTCACTCACTCACTCACTCACTCACTACCTCCCTCCCTCCCTCCCTCCCTCACCCACCCAATTCAGCCTTGTCCCCAGCCGGCAATGTTGAGAGTATCTCTGTTAGACCTGGCTGATTGTGTTATCGGAACCATAAAGCAAGGTCCAAGGCTATGAACTCATTATTTGCCTGGTTCAGACTTGATTATTTACAGGCTGCCGTAATACAGCAGGCACATTGCTGACTGCAGTGTAAAACAACATTCACTCACCTTGCCTCGGGGCAAAATCTCATCATGTTTATACTTATTTTTATACACATCAACCATGTGTTCATATAAAGAGAGACCTGTGAAGACCCGGGGTAGAATAGGTCTTCAGCAACCCATGCTTGCCATAAAAGTCAACTATGCTTGTCATAAGAGGTGACTGATGGGATCGGGTAATCAGGCTCACTGACTTGGTTGATGCATCTCATCATATCCCAATGGATCGATGCTTATCCAGACTCAGTTATTTACAGACCGCCATCATATAGCTGGAATATTGCTGAGTGCGGTGTCAAACAACAAACAGAGCACCTAGATATGTCTTTTTCTATTTCAAATGTTTTAAATTCATTTCTTCAAAGTTTGCCTCAATAGCCTGGTATGCAGTATGTACTTGAGTAATACTTTGTTCTTTGCACCTCCATTACATTCAGTAAAAGGCGACTATGCTTGTCGTAAAAGGCAACTAACGGGATTGGGTGTTCAGGCGCGCTGACTTGGTTGATACATGTCATCGATCCCAATTGCGTGGATCGATGCTCATGATATTAATCACTGGATTGTCTGGTCCAGACTCGATTATTTACAGACTGCCGTCATATAGCTGGAATATTGCTGAGTGCGGCGTTAAACAACAAACCAACCAACCAACCAACCAACCAACCATTACATTCATACATATCAGATACGATCATATTCATTCAGTCATTTGCAGCAATTTTATTGGTTAGTCAGAGGATAGAACTCCGGCCATGCCATCTATCTCATAGCTATCTCATACCAAGTCAGGATTATTAGCATTGATGTGTCTATCATGCTGATTCAGTGTGTTGTTCTTGTAGCCCCATGTGCCCCTACATCCTCAAGTGGGTGTGTGAGGAGAAGGCTGTCTCGGAGGACGTCGCCCTGGTCGCTGTGGTAACTCACCTCTTCCTCCTGTCAGGGCACATGTCCCAGGTCGACCTGGTCAAGCAGGTGTTTGAGTCATCCCTGGCCAAGAGGAACAAGCTTCTCAAAGCATTAAAGAAAGGTGGGCCTGAATTGCCAACATTTTGTCCTATGCCGAGAGATTTCAACAGCTAGCTGCATCCTTGATGATCCTGTGTGTTATGTCTCAATGCTATTGTGTTCATTACCCTGGACCTATTTTCCACCATTACTTTACTTTGGAGGTGCTCTCACCATGTTCCTTGTCACGAACTTAATACCTGTGAAGATCTGGGTTAGAATAGGTCTTCAGCAACCCATGCTTGTCATAAGAGGCGACTAATTTTATTGGGTGTTTAGGATCACTGACTTGGTTGATATGTCATCGCAACCTAATTGCGTGGATCGATGCTCATGATGTCAATCACTGGATTGTCTAGTAAACACTTGATTATTTACAGACCGCCATCAAATAGCTGAAATATTGCTGAGTGCGGCGTTAAATAAGAAACAAACCAAACCCGCATGATTTAACTAAAATATTCATTTGTAATTGTCATGCCAACGACGTGTTTCATCTTCAGCTTGATTTGTCATATGCTGTTCATTTCTCAACACTCTCAAAGCAATCCTTCTGTGATGTGGACGACTATGGGTTTTTTCCAGATTGGTTGCCTTCTTTCTTGAAAGTTGTTGGGTCCGGTCGCTCTGTGGACAGTTTTGTTGGTATGAATGAGATGCTGACAAAGTGTCTCGGTCAGGCGATGCTGGGGTGTCATGGCTCTGACTCCGTGAAACAGGTGAGAATCTGAGGCTTGTCACTCTCTCCTTGCAGCCTCCCTGGATTCTGGGTTTGAATCCGTGACCTATGCTGGTGTGGGTGGTCAGGCTCATTGCTTATTGTTAAAATTGTTTCCCTTTCTTTTTAAGTTAAAGTGTCTGCCTAATTTCTGCTAAACAGAGACTAATCCATCCTGAAATATGGCACTGGAGCACTGCACAACTGACTGTGTGTCTGGTAACATTGCTGGCAGGCTGATTTTGGACAATGCACCAAAGCCCCTGGTTCATGCCTCACCAGAGGCCACAGGTGGCCCAGTGGTCAAGGGCACCACAATGCTTTGTGCAGTGTTCATGGTGTTGGGACCCTTTGGAGAGCCAGAAACATATATTGAGTTTGAATCTCAGGTTTGCCTTGAGTATTTCTAGAATTGTCAGCACCATGCCTCTACTTGTTCATCACATTAGCTGTATTCGCACATAATGCTGCCACACCATAATGTAACTGAAATTCTCAAGCCTGCGTTACGCCCAACTCTCTCACCATGCTCACTCGTTCAGTTTTCACCCAGGTATAATGTTAGCCCATGCTTGTGCTATGGCTGTTTTGTTGCTTTACTATGTCAGCACATGTTCACTGAAATTGAACCACTTACATTTTTGTCAGATATTTAATGGAATATGACTTGGTTGCCATGGTTACAGTTCCGAGCTCTGTATGATCTGAAAGACTCTTCTCCGAGACTGGGTGCTTTCACATGCCTGGTGATGACGGCCATGTGTGAATCTATGACCACTACTGATGATGACAAGCTGAAGATACAACTTGGCCTTGAGCTGCTCCACATTGTGCAGAAGGTCACACTGGACAAGGTAATTACACAACTCTTGCTTTGCCACAGAGAAACCGAGTTTTTACATCATTTCCATTTCCTACCTCTGGTTGTAACTGTATTCTTGTTCAAAAGTCTTGTATGGGTTTGAATCCTCCTTGATTCACTCTGATTATGATGCCCATGCACCATGGTATCACCGAAGTGGGAACTGCCACGATCTGCAGTCATCACTGTTGCATGAAAGTTCAAATGTGGCTCATTTCGTTTGTCAGTCTGCCCATTCATTGGTCTGTCCATCGATATTACTTGAACATTTTTACCCCCAGTTTGAAAAAAAGGGGATATGGCGTTCAGCTTGTCCGTGATTTGGAAGGTTTTTGTTAAAAAAAATTGTTTGTCTTCATGACAACAGGTTGGACTTATATTAAAATTGAGAGTAGTGCTTGTTTCTGGAGCAGAACTCCAAAACAGTTAAATATTTCTTGAATGAACTTGCTATTCAGATCAGTCTAATGGTGAACGGGTGCCTATTGATGCTTTGGGATATTGAAAACTACTGAACAGCATTATTTCTTTCATCACTGAGCTGCAGGTATCTAATGGCAATGAACCAGTAGTAGGGTATAAGTAGCCAAATTCCATTTCTGAATTGCACCAGACTGGGGGTATATGTCATCTCTCGATGACGCTTGTTGGAACTACAAGATGTAGGATGATGAAAGATTGTAAGAATGAACCCAGCAATGACATCTCTCAAAATGGGACATGAGTAATCATTAAGATGTGTATTCCAGAAGCTGATGTCCACCAAGCACACCATCTCCTCATCGGGGAAGATATCTCTCAAGTCTGTCCTGCAGAGCTGTGTGGTCAACTTCAAGAAGAACGGCAAGATTCCCCCCGAGGTGATGGTGCACCTGCTGAGGCAGCTGATCAGGTCGATGACCGTACCAGAGGAGCTGTTGAGTGAGTAATACTTGTGGACCTCGGACACGTCCCAATCCTGTTCACTTTGCAAGTCTTCAGGCATAATTGTAAGCAGGTTTTACCCTTTAACATGTTTGACAAAGTTGGGCAGGCATTGGTGGTCCAGATGTCTCTGTCACTGCATTTCGTTGTGGAGTTGCATCCCTTGTACACCAGCAACCTATGATGGTGGGTTAGAATGCAGGTTCGCCCTGAATATGTTTCTAGGTTTGTCAGCACCATATATGGCCTGAGACCTGCTTTACTTTGGGCTTCCCTGCCTCATCAAGGTGACGTGCACTGATATAACTGGAATACTGTTCAAAGTTGCTTTAAACCCAACTCATTCACCATGTTCACTCACTCACTTGAGTATGGCAATGTGCAATACTTTTGAGCATTACCATATAAGCATAGGCTAAGCTTTCAAGAATGGAATATATTCTACCTATCATGAATTCTTACTTGTGTCACTGTTATCATAATCTGTGTAGTTTTTTCACTGGTTTTCTCAAAATGACCGTGTATGGCTTGTTACAAGAGTATATATATCTACATGTTAATACTGAAATATAAATCGCCAAAAGCTATAGGCATGATAGGACTTGTTACTAGAGCTATGTGCCAATATTATTGCAAAACAGAATTGTTCCCTGGATCGTTGTAAAGCCATTTTGTTTGTTTGTTTGTTTGTTGTTTAACGCCGCTGACGGCAATGTGTAAATAATCAAATCTGGATCAAACAATCCAGATTGACATCATGAGCATCGACCCATGCAGTTGGGATACGATGACATGCTTGAACCAAGTCAGCGAGTCTGACCACCCGATCCCGTTAGTCACCTCTTCTGACAAGCATGGGTTGCTGAAGACCTTTTCTAACCCGGATCTTCACGGTTCCATAAAGTCATTTATGAGGATCAGGTGGTTGCACTGTGTGACATGGCCCCGACAGATTAGACTGTTGATTATGGTATAGACCACTGCCTGCCCAAGACTTTTACTATTATACAAGACATGACGATATGGGTAATGTTGCTATGGCAACAACATTCACTCCCTCAATAGTCCAGAAGTCGAGACCAATAAATGTTACCATGGTTACTTGATACGTGTTGTAGAAACAGACTTCTGGTGTTTCCATGGTGATGGGAGGAAGGTGGATGATTGGCTGAAGACAGTGGTCCAGCTGTTTAACCTACTGCTAGATCTCGTGGATGAACATGCTACCCGAGCACATGGGAAGAGCCTGGTTGCTGCTTTGATGAAAGTAAGAAGGTCTAACTGTTAACTCCTTGTATATTAGTTAACCGTTTGACATGTGGCCTATGTATATGACTGAAGTCTTTGAAAGGCATTTAGAATTTGGAAGAACGTGAATACATGATGGATTTATGGATACCAACTTCTTTATTCTTTTTAACAGTGTTTCATGGCTACTTCTTGCCACTTCATACAGTATATATGCCTTTTTACGAAAATATTCAGTATCATGAATTTTTCAAAAAAATATATTATATTTTTATTTTGATTTAAGATGATTATGAGGAACAACTGAAGGGGAAGAAATATACAGTAAACTATGTTTATAACGAACACATTTATAATGAATTGATGGATATAACATGTTGGTTTTTTTGTCCCGGACTTTTGCAGTGTATATGCTGTATATATGGTTATGATGTACAACGGTTATATAATGTATAACAAACTAAAATTAGTGGTCCCTTTGAGTTCATTATAGCCGTAGTTTACTGTATAATTCATTGAAAACCAGCGATGTTTGTATGTTAACGCTGCTGTTATCCAGTACTTCTGTCCCCAGCAGTGATATGGCTGGAATGTGTTGCTAAAACATCGACCGCCTCCGTGGTCTGGTGGTAGAGCGTCCGCCCAGAGAGCGGAGGGTCCGGGGTTCGATCCCCAGCTGCGTCATACCAAAAGATGTTAAAAGATGGTACTTGTTGTTACCCTGTCTGGCGCTCGGCATTAAGGGGCTAAAACAAGGACTGGTTGGCTCGGAGTCAGTATACTGTGTCTGAGTGGGGTATTCATGTTAAACTGCGGCATGGCATCTCAGTGGGCTAGCACTATAAATCGGCATCAGTCCGGACTAGTACAAGCAGCCATACACATGTGCATGCACGTCGCTATATAAGTGCAATAATCTTGGACTTGACCTTAAACCCAATTTCACCTCACCTCACCTCACCTCACCTCACCTCACTAAAACATCATATAGACATGGCTAAGTACCCCATGCTTGTTGTAAGAGATGACTGATGGCAATGTGTGGTTACAGTGTGTGGTTACAATGTGTGGTTAAAGTGTGTGGTTACAATGTGTGGTTACAGTGTGTGGTTACAATGTGTGGTTACAATGTGTGGTTACAGTGTGTGGTTACAATGTGTGGTTACAGTGTGGTTAAACTGTGTGGTTACAGTGTGGTTACAATGTGTGGTTACAGTGTGTGGTTACAGTGTGTGGTTACAATGTGTGGTTACAGTGTGTGGTTAAACTGTGTGGTTACAGTGTGGTTACAATGTGTGGTTGCAGTGTGGGGTTACAATGTGTGGTTACAGTGTGTGGTTAAACTGTGTGGTTACAGTGTGGTTACAATGTGTGGTTACAGTGTGGGGTTACAATGTGTGGTTACAGTGTGTGGTTACAATGTGTGGTTACAGTGTGTGGTTAAACTGTGTGGTTACAGTGGTTACAATGTGTGGTTACAGTGTGTGGTTACAATGTGTGGTTACAATGTGTGGTTACAGTGTGTGGTTAAACTGTGGTTACAGTGTGGTTACAATGTGTGGTTACAGTTTGTCGTTACAGTGTGTGGTTACAATGTGTGGTTACAGTGTGTGGTTACAATGTGTGGTTACAGTGTGTGGCCTGGATGATTGTAATCATGCCCCAACAGCACGGATCTTTGCTTGTGAAGTACGTCACTGCTTTGTCTGGCTTATTACTGGAATCTATGAAACTAGATTCTATATAACAAGTGTTATATTTTGGATTACACTTTCTTTGTCAAGTATAAATTCTAGTACTTTAGGGGCTTGAGTATCATCCGGGATTCAAACCCACACTCTCAGCTTGAGGCACCTAATCGCTATGTAACCCACTCAGCCACCGAGGCATCCACCTTCCCTGCTGACTTTTTGCAAATGATTAGGTGCTTCACTCTGGCAGTGTGGGTTTGAATTCCAGATGGGACTCCACTCGAAAAACGTACGAAAATTTGTACTTTACTAACAAAGTGTACTCCCAAATATAACATTTGTTACATTTGACCACTTTCTATAAGGCATTGTGTATTTAAAGATTCTTCAACTGTTTATATTTACGTCTCACCTCAATGTTTTTCTGTTCATGTGTTTCGAAGGGTCATTATTAACCACTTCCTTTGCAGACTGTTTTCCCTGACAAGCTGCAGCTGCTGAAGCTGTTCTGCCTGCTATGGACCCAGCATGCCAACCCGCACAGAGCGGAGCTGGACCTGTCCGAGCCCCTCCAGGCCCGGGCTCTCTGTCTCGGCTTCATGCAGCTGCAGGCCATAGAGGAGAAGACAGCTGTGCAGGTCCTCGACAGACCAGGCCCAGGTACTGTGGAGTGGGGTTCTTGGTTAGACGTGGTCCCCAGCAACCTGTGCTTGTTGTAGGAGGCTACTAGTGGATCAGTGGTCAGGTTGGGTGTTAGGAGTGAAACGACACAGCAAGGTCACGATACGATACGCATCACGATATATAGGTCACGATATGATACATATCGCAATACACATATTTACGTCAAATCACATAAAAATTTCTTGCCTAGAATTATTTCAGAGTATGTTCAAAAGGTAAAGCCAGCTGTAGACGGATGTTCGTAGCGGCTGTTATTTGTAGTGAACTTGAAATGCTAATTACAACACATTTCATGATATTGGACTGACAAAAGTGCTGTTTCGTTTTACGAGTAGTAAGTAATTTCTTTTAGCAAGTGTATCGTCTTGAATCGATACAGAAAAAACGTATCGTGTATCGTATTGTCGCATGACAACTCACTATGCAAGAGTGTGCCAATGTAATGTTTCAACCCTACTTAGTGGATTGCCTGTCATAGTACCCCAATGTGTAGGACATTGCTCATATCAATCACTGGTTTGTCTGGGCAAGACTCAGTTATTTATGGTCTGCCGGGGGACACGGGAGGCCCAGTCGTCTTACTCATCACGATTCGCTGTGCAGAGTTGCGATATAACTGGAATACTGTTAAAAGCGTCGAAAACCCAACTCACTCACTCACTCACTCACTCACTCACTCACTCACTCACTCACTCACTCACTCTCAGTCCACTCAGACACAAGTGAAGTCCTCTTTATTCACCTAAGACGTATCTCCTTGCCACTGTATCTTCAAGTTCCACCAAAGAAACAATGTATTCCTCGGTTCTAAACCATCTTCACGAGGCAAACGTGTCCACTAGCCTCAATGCCTTGTTTCTACCCTTGTCACATCAAGGCCACTTTTCTTGGCTCGACCCTGTCGCCACCTCGCGTAGATCACAAGTTGTGGATGTTGATTTTGTGAAACGTTCTCTGATTGGACTCGACATGTTCGATAGTCCAATCATATTTAGCACAGGAAAGTGGGCTTGATGTGGCAAGGGTGGAAACAAGACTTTGATAATAAGGCCGGTGGACGCTCTTGCCTCAGGACGATGTGGCACATTGCTCTTACCTGGAAATGAATGACGATCTATCAGCGTGTTCAGCACTCTGTTGCCCAACATGACCTCCATGACCCTCGTGACATCTGGTGTCGGAAGACACGCCCTCTATATGTCATTATTATTATCCCCCGCCACGAAGTGGGGTGGAATAAATAGGAATAGAGTTAATCGTCCGGCTGTCCGTCCTTCCATCCGTCCGCTTCTCAAAGGGGACAATTAATCTCAAAAACTATTTAAGTCAGAGAAATGGTAATTTTACACACTAATGTTACTGGTCATGATCTCAAATGAGTTATGGAGTTATGGCCCTTGTTCCCTGCTTTTCAACTTAGTGCATACTGTGTGAAATGGGGACAAGGTTTCTCAGAAACTCCTGAAGTTACATGAATAAAAGTTTAAATGCTTATCAAAGAGATACTTGTCAAGAGTGAGTTTGAAAATTGGTCCTGTCATTTATTATTTTGGAGAGTTATGGCCCTTGTTCCCTGCTTTTCAACTTAGTGCATACTGTGTGAAATGGGGACAAGTTCTCTCTAAAGTTACTTGAATGAAAGTATTAATGCTCATCTCAGACAAAGTTTGAAAATTGAAATTATTTTGCTTAGTGAATTGTGTGTGCAATGGGGACAATTTTTCTCAGAAACTCCTGAAGTTAAAGTACTCATGGAAATGAAAAAACCCTGTTTTTTCGATCTCAGATTTTAAATAAATGCAGTTAATATACAAAATATATAAATATTCAAACAACTCAATTAGTACTAATTGGGCCTTGGCACAAATACAGCGTATCAAAGGTTTATATGTCTTTTTACACGTAAAAGTGTGTAAAAATATGAACAAAACAGACTATTGTGAAACTGAGCATAACCAGGTGTTAGTAGATCAAGGTGAATGTCCATGACCTATGACACCTTGACGACAGGTGAAAACAGGTGCTTGAAACCCACGTGCATGTGATTTGTCAGTGGTTAGTGATTTGTGAGTGGCATTGTGGGATAGTGAATCATCGTCAAAATATCAGAACGTAAAAGTAACATATTCCCTTCTCAAACAACAACTTACATGTCATTATTATTATGTACATAAACATAGCTGTTTTTTTATTGTTGTTTTGATAACTTTTTTCCAGGCTAATTTGCATAATGCCTATAGCCTGTTTCTGCCATGTCAATTTGGACTTAGTTTTATTTTTGAATGTTGAAAGTGCCTACAAATTACCTCCTGTAAAGTACATTTTGTATTGAGCACTGAGATAAAACTAGCAAATCCAGACTAGTACTTTTCCAGTTGTTTTATAATTCGTATTTACATCTACGTAATGCTTTGTGTCGATTATTAAATCCAGGAAAACAGGGTTTTTTTCATTTCCGTGAGTACTTTAGCATATCTTATCATGATGCTTATCAAGACTGAGTTATATTTTCCAGAGAAGGGGCCTTTTGTGTATTAATTTCACATTTGATCATTTTTTCTGATGACATATGGCAACCAAAGTGCCTATATCTTCTTAAGGCTTATAGCACTCTTTTTTTTATATAAAACATGATAAAATAAACAGAATACTCTGATTATGGAATTATTTCATTGAATTTATAACCTTATAACAGAGATACAGGGCAAATAGAACCCTCACTGATTACCAAGGTTTGAAAAACTGTTGTCAGAAACAAAAATATCTTTCAAACTGGCCTGACTTAGGTTACACCTGGAAATAGGTAAGTGTTGGTTCCGTAAAGGGACATCTTTAGTTGCCATTTGAAATGAAGATGAAAGGATCACAATAAACCTGCTGCCATTTTTAGGTATTTATTGAGGTTGAAGATGACAGAAAAGTAAGCATGATGTTCACTAATTATTTGCCCTGCTGTCTTCCCCAGTGTTGTGCAGTCTGCTGGTGGTGTTCTCCAGCCCCCATGATCGGCTCCGGGAGCTCGCTCTACACTGCCTCGGCACTCTCTACAAGCAGTGTGGCACAAATACCGCCCTGTACAAGTCACTCCTGGAGACTGTCCTACTGAGTCAGGAGGAGCTGTGCAGTGATCCAACCTACATGGCACAGGTCAGTCTCAGCAATGTCTGTCTAAGACCGTATCCCTCACACAGGTAGCAGTTCAGTTAAACATTCTTTTTGTTAAAGGAAGTCATTGAGCGATCCCCAAAGGCTGGAAGACCTAAAGTAACACATGATCAAAATATTTCTTTAAAGGAAGTCATTGAGCGATACCCAAAGGCTTGAAGACCTAAAGTAACACATGATCAAAATATTTCTTTAAAGGAAGTCATTGAGCGATACCCAAAAGCTTGAAGACCTAAAGTAACACTTGATCAAAATATTTCTTTAAAGGAAGTCATTGAGCGATACCCAAAAGCTTGAAGACCTAAAGCAACATAAGATCAAAATATTTCTTTAAAGGAAGTCGTTGAGCGAGGTTAAATGCAATGGGTCACCCCAGTGAAGAAATTTTCCTCAATTACTTAAAAATCACTTCTGAGTTTTTTAGTTTTTTAAAAATAAACAGGGTGATAAACATGGAACAGACTGTGGCAGATTAGAGAACTCCTGGCTGAGGTACTAGGTTCACTGCAAAACAGTTGTCTTTGATGACATGTCATCTCAAAGTTGTATCTGTTGCAGGTGTTTGTAAACATGATCGAAAAGACGGTGGCAAAAGAAAAGATGTCTTCTCCCAAACAGCGACGCAGGAGGTCACGCTCACATTCCTTTGTATCAGGGGCTGTCGAAAACTTATTGGAGGTTCTAGTTACCAAGACAACGCCCCTATGGATCGTCAGACCACTTCTTGGAATCTTCCATTCTGTCAACAATGTGGTGAGTGTTGTACATTCTTGTACAGGTTGATGTTGGAAGTCTGTGTTTGATGAGTAAAGTTGGTTGGTTGGTTTGTTGTTTTACGCCGCACTTAGCAATATTCCAGCTATATGACGGGGGCACGGGTGGCCCAGTCGTCTAAGGCGCCGCGATTCGCTGTGCAGAGTTGCGTCCCTTGGGCACGCCAGAAACCTCTGATTGTGGGTTCGAATCCCAATTCTCCCCGATTATGTTTCTAGGTTTGTCAGCACTATACCCGTGCTCGTGGGTTTCACCGAAGTGGTAAACTTCTGAGAACTGCATCACTTCGGGCTTTCCTCCCACATTAAGCTGACACGCCGTGATGTAACTGGAATACTGTTAAAAGCGGCGTTAAACCCAACTCACTCACTAACTCACTCCAGCTATATGACAGCGGTCTGTAAATAATCGAGTCTGGACCAGACAGTCCAGTGATTAATATCATGTGCATCGATCCGCGCAATTGGGATCGATGACATGCATCAACCAAGTCAGCGAGCCTGACCACCCGATCCCGTTAGTCGCCTTTTTTGACAAGCATAGTCGCCTTTTACGGCAAGCATGGGTTGCAGAAGACCTATTCTACCCCGGAATCTTCACGGGTCTTGATGAGTAAAGAATATAGGCAAGGGTTTCTTTCAAGTAAACATTCAAAACATCAGACTGAAGTCCTCAGCAATTGATATAAGATAGCTATGTGATAAATCGCAAAGAACAATGAAGAACGAAGCATGGTTTATTTCACGATAAAGCATTGTTCCATCATGATGTCATTTCTGGAGATTCAAATATGTGCTCGCAAAATGATGATGTCATATATTTGACGATGTTATTTTTGAGAGAGAAGTGTCTAGTAAGTTGTTCCCCATAAATGTAGCTGGGCTACACAGGTAAATGCAGTGACTAAACAATCGCATCCAAAAGTAGGAGAGATATATTGAGAGTACGGATGATCGATGTTAGAATATGCAGGAAATACTAAACTTAACCCACCTGTTCATAAAATGGACTTGTCCGACATCATTATTATTTGGCTAAATATTTTAAATGCTTGTACATTTTAATCAACATTCTAAAGAGGTTGTAAACTGGTAAATAATGTTGATATCTCGTATAAGAAATAAACGACTCGTGGTCTTTGTTTATAAGCAATGAAACTCTGCAGGAAGAATAAACCACATGGGGGTGCATCAGTGTGTTACTGTACAATAAACAACGACCTTGAGTCATTTTTTTCTTAACTAAAAGCATCATGCTGTGTGGTTCCTTGATCAGTCCCCATTTTGTAAGATCCGACTATTGTGAGGATCAGGTGGTCACAGTGAGTAACATGGCTGATTGTTACCTCAAAGGCATGGCTGTTGCTCACGCTATCAACCACTGGGTTGATTGACGCATAGCTGTGTAACAATATGACGTCACAGTATTGTATCCTGGTACGAGGCCCACAATACAATACATTGAATTTCAACCCCTGTATCATGATACATATGACATTACATTTACAAGTTATATTGGTTTGAAAACGTGAATAAAGACAACAACCAGTTTATGCAGATCTTCACACAAAGTATTTCCTGGTAGACTATACATAGGATATCCCCATGCCCTCTGGACTACCTGTTTCTGCCCTACAATATCCTATCTTCGATCTCCGAAATTTTAAAACAATTGATTCAGGGTTTTGATTCTCCTGCAAAAAGACAGAGTATCAACTTATGAAATATAACTGTATTGCACCCATATTTTCGGGATATGTTTTATATCGCGACCCTCTAGTGACCAAGACTCGATTACTTACAGGCTAACTGAGGCATGTTACAACATTCTGGGGGGAATAGGTGTCCCAGTCGTCTAAGGCGCCACGATTTGCTGTGCAGTGTTGCGCCCCTTGGGCACATTCGATTATGTTTTTAGGTTTGTCAGCTACATACCCCTGCTTGTGGGTTTCACCGAAGTGGTAAACGTCTGCATCACTTTGGGCTTTCCTACCACATTAAGCTGACACGCTGTGATATAACTGGAACACTGTTAAAAGTGGCGTTCAACCCAACTGACTGACTCACTCACAATATTCTAGCCCCATCTTCACTGTTAAAGCACCACATAAATCGTAAAACCATACTCACTCACTCATTTATTGATGGTGTGGGCTATTGAAATGTAAGAGGTGAACTGGTGCAATTTCACCGCTTAGAATTAGCTTGGTGTTTGTGTGGCAGTTGAGAATCCTTGCATCATTTTTTATGCCAGAAGGCAGTTTGTCACTTTTCCATAATGTTTCAGGAAAACATGACACAGTTACTTCCCTTACTTGACCGTCTGCTCCAAGTCCCTGAGGACAAGTTTGGTGGCTTGGAGCTGGATTGTGTGGAACTGCTGCTAGGCAGGTACACCTCGGAGACCATCGCCTGTGTCCAGGATGCCAGTCTGCCTCTCAACGTCCTTGTGAAGGCCATTGAGTCGCCACTCAACCCAGTGCAGTCCGGCCGATCGGTTGCAGAGATGGCCATTGATCAGGTTTGTTATCCCCTATCTATTTATAGAAACACATTTGGTTTACGTTCTGCTCCACATCTCGGGCAGGGTGTAGTGGAGGATAATATTATGGCTCCGATATCTAGTTGGTAGCTTGGAGAGGTGAAATTAGGTTTATCGTCGTGTCCAAGATTATCACTTATATTGAAGTGCATGCACATGATAATGTGGCTGCTTGTACTGATATTGACTAATGCTGGTTTTTATAGTGCTTGCCCACTGAGATACCATGCCATAGTTTACCATGCATTCCCAACTCAGACACAGTAATCTCTGAGCCGACCAGTTCTTGTTTTGTCCCCTGAATGCCGAGCGCCCAAGATCATGAGGTGACCAGAGGTGGTCACACTGGCAACAGATTGAGTTTTGACTCAGAGGCAGTAAGCGGGTATTCCTGTTAAACTGAAGCATACATCTCAGTGGGCCAGTACTATAAAACCAGCATAAGTCCAGACTAGTACAAGCTGACAGACACACACACAAGCACACATACACACACACACAGACACACACACACACACACATGCACACACACACACAAACATGCACACACACACACAAACATGCACACACACACACACATGCACACAGACACACACACATGTACACACACACACATGCACACAGACACACACATGCACACAGACACACACACATGCACACAGACACACACACACATGCAGACGCACACACAAGCACACATGCACACACACACATGCACACAGATACACACACACATGCACACAGACACACACACACATGCACACACACAAGCACACATGCACAAAGACACAGACAAACATGCTCACATCCATGCAAGTCGCTATGTAAGTGCAATAATCTTGAATGTGGTGTCAAACCCAATTTCACCTCACAACTATACTAAAAGACGTTAAAAGATGGTACTTGTTGTTACCCTGCCTGGCGCTCGGCATTTAAGGGCTAAAACAAGGACTGGTCGGCTCGGAGTCAGTATACTGTGTCTGAGTGGGGTATTCATGTTAAACTGCGGCACGGTATCTCAGTGTGCTGGCACTATAAATCGGCATCAGTCCGGACCAGTACAAGCAGCCACACACACACACGTGCATGCACATCGCTATATAAGTGCAATAATCTTGGACGCGACGTTAAACCCCATTTCACCTCACCTCACCTCACCTCACCTCACAACGCTACAATTTGTGTCTTATTTGGCTTCCTCACATAATAAGCATTGAAACCCACTGCTGAAATAATGTTAGTACTGTTTAATGGGGTGGGAGCCAGAAACCTATGGGCGTGGGTTCGGATCCTGGTACGCCAAGATTTACTTTCTAGGTTTGTCAGCACCATACCCGTACTCGTGGGTTTCACCAAAGTGGAAATGTCTGAGACCTGCATCACTTCTGGATTTCCTCCCACATAAAGCTGACATGCTGCAATATAGCTGGAATACTGTTCAAATCAGTGATAAATTCCACTCACTCACTCACTCACTCACTCACTCACTCACTCACTCACTCACTCACTCACTCACTCACTCACTCACTCACTCACTCACTCAAATCATTACCTTTCAAAACTGTTTTGTTTACACCTCATACATGTATATAACAAATGTGTGATTTTATCAAATGAAACAAAAGATTCCCATGAGCTTTGATATAGATAGTCTCATTGACTGTAGATGGAAAACATATAATGTGCATCCCTCAACACAGTGAGTTCCCTTACAGATAAGTCGTGAAGTGTACGATGGTCTACCTACCAGATCAGTACAACAGGCCATCCTAAGCAGCCTCTTCACTGCCTGGCTCAACACCGCCAACATCAACGTGTCCAACAGCGTCCGCAAGACTGTCAAGAAAACTGTAAGTTTAGTCCGACTAAGGATGTGCCATCTTTGTTATAGAAATGAAAAACCTTGAATACTTCACCTTTTTGACTGCTCATATTGTTTGGGTCATGGTTGGCCCAGTCATTCAAGGCCTCTCATTTGCTATGCAGAGTTGCTTCCCTTAGGCATGGCAGAAACCTAAGTTCATAGGTCCGAATCCCAAATTCACCCTGACCATGTTTCTAGCTTTGTCAGCACTATTCACATCTTGTAAATGTCTAAAACCTGTATTATGAAATACTGCCCAAAGTAGCATTAAACTCACTCACTCTAGCTATGCCATGTGGGGATAGCTAATAGGGCTGGGACGAGTCCAGATTTACTACCTGGGTACCCACCCTCCTATTACCCAAACCTACCCGGGTCTCATGAGATATTTACAAACAGTTCGGTTGGGAAAAGTTTCACCATAGCACTGAAGTTGACAAAATGTTATCTTTATTCAAACATATGAAAGTTGGAAGGAATGGGTGAATATTCAGAAAGAACTGCGAACATAAGTGACTTGTAGTGTAACCATAGAGTTCTAGATAATTTTTGTCATTAGACAATATATCACGTGACTAACTACGGGTACGGGTAGTCCTGTGGGTACCCAGGTCCTACTCAGTTCCCACCCGACCCGAGTTTCCCGACCCAGCCCTTATAGCTAACAGTACCCATATTTGTTGTGAGACTTAACTAGTGAGGATAGGGACGTCCAGATTGTGCCCAGATTACGTAGATGGCTGCTTGATCAGTCGGTGACTGTTCTGCCCTTTGCAGACAGGAACTTTGATGTCTACGGTCTAAAACAACATTCACTCACTGCTGTTGAAACCTCTGTGAAGTCTGCCAAACTTTCATCTACACAAACCAAAGAATCCTACACCTCTTGATATTTGTTGGACATGAGATAACATACCAACTATGTTACAGTAGATTACAGGCTATTTAGTTGGGTTTTTTTCACATTTCCATGTTTTAAATGTGTTCCTGAGTTGATTATTACATGTTCAAATTTTGTCCTGTTCACAGCTTCATCTTCAAGCAGAACATATTATATCTGAACTGAAACCAGTTCTACAGATATCAACTGCTCGCAAAGTCCGAGAAGCTAAACGACAGAGAAAGTAAGAAACTGTGATGTGAAGTTGCTTAGTAAAGATTGTCAGTATGTGAAAAACGGTATTTAGGCACAGTTTAAAGGTTCTTTCAATGTCACTGGATCCAATTTTGTAACAATTTTGTCAACTGTTTACAAATGCCTACCATGAAATTCATGATTCGTCTATCTGTGAACCATTGCATCCCTCACTTGCCATGGGGAAATTGATGCACTATTTTGGGGCAGAGTTGCATCCCTTTGTTGCCAGGATCTGCTGATTGTGTTTGAATCCCAGATTCACCCTGATAATGATATTGTTTTATCAGCGAGTTTATTATGAGTTTCTTCACAGGGGTAAACATCAATGACCTTTGTCACTTTTTAACAGTTGAAAAACAGTTGAAAAACATATAATAGAAAAACAGTTCAAAAACTGTTAAAGCTGTATTCAACCCCACCTTCCTTCCCTTCTTCCTTCCCTTCACCTCTCTTCCCACTCACTTACTTACGTGATCTCTTACCTACTAGCTCCAGGGTGGGTCGGGTAGCCTAGTGGTTAAAGCGTTCGCTCGTCACACCGAAGACCCGGGTTTGATTCCTGACATGGGTACAATGTGTGAAGCCCATTTCTGGTGTCCCCCGCCGTGATATTGCTGGAATATTGCTAAAAGCGGCGTAAAACCGTACTCACTCACTCACTTACCTACTAGCTCCCCTCCCTCTCCAAACTCTTTCTCACTCCCCGATTATAGTTAGAATAGATCTTCAGCAACCAATGCTTGTCATAAAAGACGACTATGCTTGTCGTAAGATGCAACTAATGGGATCGGGAGGTCAGGCTTGCTAACTTGGTTGATGCATGTCATCATAGTCTAATTGCATCGATAGATGCTCATGATATCAATCACTGGATTATCTTGTCCAGACATCCGCCATATAGCTGTAATATTGCTGAGTGTAGTGATAAACAACAAACAAACCTCACTCCCAACTCTCTCACTCACTCACTCACTCACTCACTCCTGCAACCCCTTGACTCCAGGCTTCCAGAGGAGGAGAGCAGCACACTAGCTGTGTTTGATCGTCCTGAGTGGCAGCGAGTGGTCATCATCCTGGAGGCTGTCCAGGACAAGAAGAAGCTGGACAACAGAGCCCAACTCATCCCCGTCTGCTTCCAGGTCCTGGCCAAGTAAGTTGCTCAGGGACCAGTCAGTAATTATAGAACGACTTGGCAGAATGATGGGGTAGACACCAACTAATCAACACTGAAAAGTAGAATCCTAAAGCATGTCTCTAATGGAGTTTCAGGGGCATGATTGGTGTGCGGTACCTCAGGCATATCTCACAGGGGCCTTTAGGGAAGAAGTACTTGAAGTAGGTCTACAGGGGGCTTAAAAAGGCACAATTGATCCCCATACTCTAAGTAGTTTGCCAAGGGGGATTTCATGGAAAGAATTAGCCCTCAGAACTAATGCTTTACAATTAATGTAGACCTAAATAGCCTTCTTCTGTCCCTGACAGAGCGCTTGACCTGGAGGACCACAACAGTGCGGAGTACATTAAGCAGTTGCTGCTGACCACCATCTACAACCTGTGTAACAGGTTCAACACTGACCAGGATGGAGGTACCTCACACCTGTAGTTTGTACCCTCACACCTGCAGTCTGTACCCTCACACCTGCAGTCTGTACCCTTCCACACCTGCAGCCTGCACCCTCACACACCTGTAGTCTACACACTCAAACACCTGCAGTCTGTACCCTCACACCTGCAGTCTGCGACCTCACACCTGCAGTCTGTACCCTCACACCTGCAGTCTGTACCCTCACACCTGCAGTCTATACACCTTTGCACACCTGCAGTCTGCACCCTCACAAACCTGTAGTCTGTGCCCTCACACCTGCAGTCTGTACCCTTCCACATCTGCAGTCTGCACCCTCACACACCTGTAGTCTGTTCCCTTGCACACCTGCAGTCTTCACCCTCAAACCCTCGCACACCTACAGTCTGTACTCTTACACACCTGCAGTCTGTACCCTCACACACCTGCGGTCTGTCCCCTCACACACCTGCAGTCTGTCCCCTCACACACCAGCAGTCTGTACTCTCGCACACCAGCAGTCTGTACCCTCACACACCTGCAGTCTGCACCCCCACACACCTGCAGTCTGCACCCTCACACACCAGCAGTCTGTACTCTCACACACCTGCAGTCTGTCCCCTCACACACCAGCAGTCTGTACTCTCGCACACCAGCAGTCTGTACCCTCACACACCTGCAGTCTGCACCCCCACACACCTGCAGTCTGCACCCTCACACACCAACTGTCTGTACCCTCATACACCAATTGTCTGTACCCTCACACACTTGCAGCCTGTACCCTCACACACCTGCAGTCTGTACCCTCACACACCTGCAGTCTGTATCCTCACACACCTGCAGTCTATCCTCACACCTGCAGTCTGTACCCTCACACACCTGCAGTCTGTACTCTCGCACACCAGCAGTCTGTACCCTCACACACCTGCAGTCTGCACCCCCACACACCTGCAGTCTGCACCCTCACACACCAACTGTCTGTACCCTCATACACCAACTGTCTGTACCCTCACACACCTGCAGCCTGTACCCTCACACACCTGCAGTCTGTACCCTCACACACCTGCAGTCTGTATCCTCACACACCTGCAGTCTATCCTCACACCTGCAGTCTGTACCCTCACACACCTGCAGTCTGTACTCTCGCACACCAGCAGTCTGTACCCTCACACACCTGCAGTCTGCACCCCCACACACCTGCAGTCTATCCTCACACCTGCAGTCTGTACCCTCACACACCTGCAGTCCCTACCCTCACACCCCTGCAATCTGCACCCTCACACCTGCAGACTGTACCCTCACACATCTGCAGTCTGTACCCTCACACCTGCAGTCTGTCCCCTCACACCTGCAGTCTGCACCCTCACACATCTGCAGTCTGTACCCTCACACATCTGCAGTCTGTACCCTCACACCTGCAGTCTGCACCCTCACATCTGCAGTCTGTACCCTCACACCTGCAGTCTGTACCCTCACACATCTGCAGTCTGTACCCTCACACATCTGCAGTCTGTACCCTCACACCTGCAGTCTGTACCATCACACACCTGCAGTCTGTACCCTCACACACCTGCAGTCTGTACCCTCACACGCCTGCAGTTTATACACTCACACACCTGCTGTCTGTACCCTCACACACCTGCAGTCTGTACCCTCACACGCCTGCAGTTTATACACTCACACACCTGCAGTCTGTACCCTCACACACCTGCAGTTTATACACTCACACCCCTGTAGACTGAACATTCTTATTTTAAAGTACAATAAAATTCTTTGATTAACAGCTTGAAAGATTATTGACTATTTTCAAAATAGTGTTTCAAAATAATATCAATATCTCAGGAAATTTCCTTTCATTGCAAAGTATTTTCACAATGAGAATGTACATTAATCTCTAATCAGAAATTACATGATTAAAGTGCAAAATAAAACAATACCATGTGTATTTTGCAAACAAAGATTGTATGATTTGTGTAAGAGAGGGGAAGTGCTCAGGATGACGACGCATCTACTGTATTGTCCATTGTTACGATGCAGGTTCCATCCCCGAGGAACACTTCAGCATGGAGCTGATCGTTCAGTGTATCCGGACATCGGACAACCCACAGACTCATCATCAGGCCCTGCTCGTGCTGACTGTGTCCGCCAAGATATGCCCAGTATGCCGGACAATCTTTGCATAACAATCCCTAATGTTTTAAGTTTGGTCGGAAAAATATTTTTCAAAGGGTATGGATCACATGTTGCTGTTGCATGTTATGAGGAAAGTACAACACTGCACTGAAACCATTTGAAAACTGAATTTCCAGCAGTTCTTTTGTGCAAATATACCCTGTACAGAATAATGTGGTGCTATTTCAGTGGAGTTTACCTACAGATACTAAACTGATTGATAGGAAGAAATAAATGAAGTGGGAAGTCTATTATTATTTTGATCCATTGTCACACCTTGTGAGGAAGCTAAGGTTGTTCTTACTAACATTTATGGTGTATTAAAAAGTATAAGATGATTAACAAATTACACAAGATATTCAGTGCAGGATCATAGCAATTCCACATGTAGGATGTGTTGTTTGATTGTAGGAACACCAGTGCCAATCTCACATATATCTGTCTGTCTGTAGGAGCACCTGTTACAATCTCACATATATCTGTCTGTCTGTGGGAGCACCTGTTACAATCTCACATATATCTGTCTGTCTGTTTGTAGGAGCACCTGCTGCACAACATCATGACAGTGTTCACCTTCATGGGCGCCAACATCCTGCGCCAGGACGACAGCTACAGCTTCCACGTCATCAGCAAGATCCTGGAGAACGTCATCCCCGCACTCATCAGTGTGAGTCACTGCATTCATGATAACTTGTTTCTGTCAATATCAATCTCTGGATTATCTCGTCAAGACTTGATTATTTACAAACCAGTCATGTTGCTGGAATATTGCTAAGTGCATCTTCCCAAGACAAGGGAGTTAACTGACTGTAAAAGTCCATTTTCCACCCTTGCCGAAATAGCCTGAAATTTCAAAGCTCGATCTTAGCGCCACCAGTGGCTGTTATGAGTTATCTCCCTTCTATGTCCCTCCTTTTGACCAATCAGATTCCATCTCTCATATCACTTGCATTTGCCTCAGACAAAATGGTGCCGCCCAATCACGACGATCTGATTGCCAATCAAGATCAGTATTGTTATAAAACGTGCTTTACACCACAAAGTGGATCAAATCACGTGAGCACCATGATTTACATGAAAAGAATTGCAAAATATTTGTCGACACCCAGTTGACAAAGGTACACATTCTTTGCAATCCTGCAGTCAAAACTAAAACTGGACTTTTATAGTCAGTTTACACACTTGCCTCGGGAAGATGTGCTTAGTGCTGCATTAAACACACACTCCATCACTTATTTCTGTTCCGCTATGAAGATTCCGGGGCAGGATAGGCAACTAGCACTCCATGATTGTTGAATGAGCTGACTAGTGAGGATTGGTTTAACGTTTTTCTTGCAGACATGTGAAGGGAAATCCTCTCCTCGGAAATCTAGTCTGACTAGCAAACCAGAGGAGGTCATCACCATGGTGATGCGTGTCTTCGTCGACGCCTATCCCTATATCCCACAACATAGGAAGTTGATGCTGTACACAAAGCTGGTGAGGATTGTGGGACAGAAGCAATACCTGTGGAGATGCCTGCTTCTGTTTATCGAGCATGTGGTGACGCGGGAGCGTAGCGCCAGGCCGGACGACTCCCATCTCGTTCTGGAAGAGAAGGTTTGTGTAACATGATGCTTTTGACCACTGCAGTGTAAGACCACCGGGTATTCTATGCGCTAGTTATAGGCTAGTGACCACTACTAGCTCTCAAGGTATTTCACTTGCCTTTAAATACCAAAAACACATCATCTCTGGCTTGGAGATAATTTTGTAGGATTCTTTCATGTTACTATAGTTACTCTGTCATCATGCCAGGACAGAGTAACTGTAGGATGTTCCTTAACTTCCTTCGAGTAGGGGGACACGGGTGGCCCCGTCGTCTAAGGTGCTGAGCAGAGCACGCCAGAAACCTATGATTGTGGGTTCGAATCCCAGTTCGCCCCGATTATGTTTCTAGGTTTGTCAGCACCATACCTGTGCTAGTGGGTTTCACCGAAGTGGTAAACGTCTGAGGCCTGCATCATTTCGGGCTTTCCTCCCGCATTAAGCTGACACCCCGCGATATAACTGGAATACTGTTAAAAGCGGCGTTAAACCCAACTCACTCTTTTGAGTAGTATATTGAAAAGAATTTGAGGTACAAGCTGTCAGTTTATCACAAGGTGGTGACACTATTATCCAAAAGGGACATCAGGGATTTTTCTAAACGTGCTTGGAGGACGATATTCAGCCCCAAGTCTGCAGCAAATGTCGGTAAATATTCCCAAATTGGAATTACGAATTTCCCAGTTCATGTTGTGTAGTAAAAACTTATGTTGTGGCTTTGAGACGTGACTTGTATTTCATTGATCAGTTTGAGGTAAATAACAATTTTGTTTTTCTCTATGACAAGTTTTGAATCCTGTATAAATCCCTGGACACATCCCTGTACAATGCTGGTGGGTTGTTAATAATGACATGTCTGATCATGTTGTCTGATCATATTTCTTGTATTACCAGATGTCGGGACCTATAGCACCTGCGGAACTAGAATTCATCCTGAGTCTGTCAACCTCCTTCTCACCAGCAACCCAGCTTATGGCGGCCCGGGATGCTATTGTGTATATCTCCCAGCTGCCGGATGACAAAGATGGTATGTTGCCTCATATTCTCCTCAAAAAAACTTAAGGAGCATTAGATTTATGTATATTACTATAGTTATTCTTAACCGCCCTTGTTGTTTTGTGGTTGGGCATCTGCTCGGAGAGCGGAAGGTGCGGGATTCCATCCCTGGCCGCATCATACCAAAAGATGTTAAAAGATGGTACTTGTTGTTACCCTGTCTGGTGCTCAGCATTAAGGGGCTTAAACGAGGAGTCAGTATACTGTGTCTGAGTGGGATATACATGTTAAACCGCCACATGGTATCTCAGTGGGCAAGCGCTATAAAGTCTGCATTAGCTGGACTAGTACAAGCAGCCACACACACACATGCATCCATGTCACTTAGTAAGCAGACATCTTGGACGTGTCATTAAACCCCATTTCAACTCGCCCATAGTTAATCTGTCATTGCATGATAGATTAACTACAGTAATACGAAAGAATTGGATGGTCCTTAACTTTGTTTTAGTAGTATATGTCTTACACAAATGCATGGAGACCTTTTTGTTACTATTTGTCTTACACTTATGCATGGAGACCTTTTTGTTACTTTAGTGGTCACAGGTGTTCCAGTTTCTAAGGCAAATAATTCGTTGTACAGAGTTGCATCCCTTAGGTGTGCCAGGAACCTATGATCTTGGCTTCAAATCCAAGATTTGGCCTTACAATGTTTCAATATTTGTCAGCATAATACTCATGCTTGTGGGTTTCACAAAAGTGGTAAATGTCTAAGACCTGCATCACTTGCAAGACATGCTGTGATGTAACTGAAATACTATGTTCAAAGCAGCGTTAAACTCCCTCCCTCCCTCACATCACTCACTCACTTACTCACTTACTCACTCACTCACTCACTCACTATTACTTGTGTATGTGCAGACACAGTGATCAAGGCTAAAAGTGTGCCTCAGTCCCTGGGGTCCTTGAAGAAGGAGGACAGTGAGATCTTCAGTGTACCCTTCCACACTGCCAAGCAGCTGCGGCACTTCAAGTATGCTGGCGTCCATCTGTTCGTCGCCCTCCTCTCTCATCAGCAGTTTGTGTCACAGGTAGGAGGACGTTACAGGATGGGACTTGATTGGTTAAAGAACAATCACATGACCCTTTTTGTAGCACAATGTTAATTGGAACAACATAAATATTTTTAAAAAATTCCCAAAATTTGGGGTAGGCACTTCTATGAAACAAGGTGTGGGTGGGTAGCCTAGTGGTTAAAGTGTTTCCTCCTCATGCCAAAGGCTTAGGTTTGGTTCCCCCCATGGGTGCAATGTGTGAATATTGCTGAAAGCAGCGTAAAACCACTCGTGCTCACTCACTCTATAAATAAAACAAGAAAATGGATTTTATTATGAATTATTGAGGTTTAATTATTGTTGATGCTGACTTTTACCAAATTCAGAAATATGGTCAGAACTTGTTTATTGATATGTTTAGACATTTCTTGGGAGCTGCTATGGGCGGCCATGCAGTTAGCATATACACAGTGGAACAAGCCGATTAAACTCGGAATGTTTTACAAATTGCAGCGCCATCTGGTGTTCTTTATTGTCAACGTCCCTTAGCAGTTTAGCGTCCATTCGTGTGCACTGACATTCTTTAGTACACATTGTTCTTTCTTTTCATATGACATCTTTTCGTAACATTTGACTTATATTGCATACTTTTGACCTTTATTTCAACTTTGTATTTTTTGACAGGCGTCTGTTTGTTTTGTATTTTGACCTTTATTAGTAACATTTAATACTATTTTTGTAACATTTGACTATTATTGCATACTTTGGTCCTTTATTTTAACTTTGTATTTGTTTTCCCAATGGCCCCCCATAATCTGCATGGTCCAGTCATCTAAGACGCCACACTTGGCTGTGCAGAGTAAGGTGTGGCACAGTCTATGATCTGTTGAATCCCAGAATCTTGAGTTAGCTTCTCGTCATTCACTATATGGTTGAGATAATCACAAGGTGATGTTTAGCTCTCAACTCACTCACCTCGACTCTTGGTTTATCGGCGCCATACTCGTGCTTGTGGGTTCTACAAGGACTAAAGTCTGCATCCCCTTGGCTTTCCTCCCACATTGAGCTGACTTGTTGTGATGTCACTGAAATACTAGTCAAAAACACAACTCACTCACTCCCTTTTCACATTACAAGGATATCTTTCAATCAATTTAAATAGATATTTGGCTTTCTGCAGCCATTTTGAATTTCAAACTTTGGGGCTGGAGTCAAGGCATGACTGATAATTTTGGGCCGTGGTGAACTGGTATCTGTTGATTGTTGCAGTTGTGTTGAGGTGTTCTGGTATTTGAAGGTTGCAGCCAAGGAGGGGAAGAAATCACTGCAGAAGAACTTTGAGTCTCTTCTTGAGACGCTTCTCCAGTACATCAGCCAGATCTCCAGGACTGTGGACAAGCACCAGAACAAACCCACCTCTCGCTTCTGGAAGGCCTACCTCCACAAGGCTTATGACATGATCGATAAGGTGAGACTTACCTGTGCAGCTGTGAGACACTGTCACCCCACGGAGAGACCTGGGACCTTATGACATGATCGATAAGGTGAGACTTACCTGTGCAGCTGTGAGACACTGTCACCCCACGGAGAGGCCTGGGACCTTATACTTGTCAATAGAATCATACAAACAGGATTGTTCGATAAAATATGTCAAAGTTTTTATTCTATTTTCAATTGTTGACGTGGCCCCCACTTTCATGTCTCCTTTCATTGTTCCATCATACAATGTGTGAAGCCCATTTTCCGGTGTTCCTCGTCGTGATATCGTGGAATATTGCTAAAAGCGGCGTAAAACCATATTCACTCACTCACTCACTCACTCACTCACTCACTCACTCATTGTTCCATCAGGGCAGTGGGGTATCCTACTGGTTAAAGCGTTTGCTTATCATACCGAAAACCTGGCTTCGATTCCCCACATTGATACAATATGTGAAGCCCATTTCTGGTGTCCCTCATCGTGATATTGCTGGAATATTGCTTAAAGCAACGTAAAACCATACTCGCTCACTCATTGTTCCATCAGTGCTGTTATCATTTTGAGTGTCATTACTTGTAAGGATTGTAGCTATTTTATTTGTCAGTCGCCATCTTGTAGGGACCCATACAGGCGGGCTGGCCTGTCCAGACAACATGGCGGCTTTATGTTTGTGCAGAGAGAGTCCCCAGCACCCAACACTTGTAAGAGCTGAATAAGTAGGATTGGTCAAAATGTTCGGCTGATTGTGTATCATAATGCACTGATGTGTTTTATGTCTGGCCCAGACTTTGTTATTTACAGGCCACTAGAATATTGGTGGACTGTCCCCGAGTGTGGCAAAAACAGGTCATTTCTGATCCTGACACAACACATTGTAACCAAGGGCAGACGTCGCTCCTGCGGAGGAAGATGCATGTTTTGGGTTCTGTGTCATAGGATCGAAATAGGAAATTGCAATATGTTGTGTCGGGGTAAGTATACAATTAGATGAATATCCATATTCATGGCTTGTTTCTCCAGATCGCCTGCCTGCTGCGGGACCACGTGTTTGTGGAGGTGATATCGGGGCTGCTGAAGCACGGCCTGCCCACTGTCCAGCGCAAGGCCATGGAGCTCCTCAACTCACGCCTCCAGCAGGTCAAGGACGTTGTGGATAAGGAACAGGTCAGTGCGCTGTAAAAGTGATATGCGTCTATTTTTTGTCAGGTAATGAAAAATGAACTTTGCTTTACGATCAGGAAATGAAAGGATTTGTACATTATGTAGAACAACTGCCGCAAGGCTGTGGCACATTTAAATGAGTGTTAGTGGGGAAACCTCGTAGTCTGGACAGTGTTAGTTGGGAAACCTCATAGTGCTGACACTGTTAGTGGGGAAACCTCGTAGTCCGGACAGTGTTAGTGGGGAAACCTCATAGTGCTGACAGTGTTGGTGGGGAAACCTCATAGTGCTGACAGTGTTGGTGGGGAAACCATGTAGTCTGGACACTGTAAGTGGGGAAACCTCGTAGTCTGGACACTGTTAGTGGGTTTACCTCATGACCAGAAGTGTTAGTGGAAAACCTCATAGTCTGGACACTGTTAGTGGGGAAACCTCGTTGTCCGGACACTGTTAGTGGGGAAACCTCATAGGGCTGACAGTGTTGGTGGGGAAACCCCATAGTCTGGACACTGTTAGTGGGGAAACCTCGTAGTCTGGACACTGTTAGTGGGGAAACCTTGTAATCCAGAAACTATTAGTGGGGAAACCATGTAGTCTGGACACTGTTAGTGGGGAAACTTTGTAGTCTGGACACTGTTAGTTGGGAAACCTTGTAGTCCAGACACTGTTAGTGGGGAAACCTTGTAGTCCGGACACTGTTAGTGGGGAAACCTTGTTGTCTGGACACTGTAAGTGGGGATACCCCGTAGTCCGGACACTGTTAGTGGGGAAACCTTGTAGCCTGGACACTGTTAGTGGGGAAACCTCATTGTCTGGGCACTTTTAGTGGGGAAACCCTGTAGTCTGGACACTGTTAGTGGGGAAACCTCATTGTCTGGACACTGTTAGTGGGGAAACCTTGTAGTCTGGACAGTGTTAGTGGGGAAACCCCGTAGTCTGGACACTGTTGGTTGGGAAACCCTGTAGTCCGGAGACTGTTAGTGGGGAAACCTCATTGTCTGGACATTGTTAGTCGAGAAACCTTGTAGTCTGGACACTGTTAGTGGGGAAACCCCGTAGTCTGGACACTGTTAGTGGGGAAACCTTGTAGTCTGGACACTGTTAGTGGGGAAACCATGTAGTCTGGACACAGTTAGTGGGGAAAACCCGTAGTCCGGACACTGTTAGTTGGGAAACCTCATTGTCTGGACACTGTTAGTCGGGAAACCATGTAGTCTGGACACTGTTAGTGGGGAAACCTTGTAGTCTGGATACTGTTAGTGGGGAAACCTTGTAGTCCGGACACTGTTAGTGGGGAAACCCTGTAGTCTGGACACTGTTAGTCGGGGAAACCATGTAGTCTGGACACTGTTAGTGGGGAAACCCCGTAGTCCGGACACTGTTATTGGGGAAACCTTGTAGTCCAGACACTGTTAGTGGGGAAACCTTGTAGTCCAGACACTGTTAGTGGGGAAACCTTGTTGTCCGGACACTGTTAGTGGGGAAACCATGTAGTCTGGACACTGTTAGTCGGGAAACCATGTAGTCTGGACACTGTAAGTGGGGAAACCCTGTAGTCCAGACACTGTTACTGGGGAAACTGGGAGTCCGGACTATGTGGTTGATTATAGCAAAGGGTATGTGCCTCATATAAATTTCTTGGGTTTTCAAGGCTTTGTCCGCAGGAAAATATAACAGCTTCCGTATTGAAACTGAATATCACATTCAATGCTGTATGTTCTTGTGTAGAGAAGAATTGTATGATGGTGATGTTTTCTACAGGAGAAAATCATGATGGGGCTGGTTGATGAACTGTCTGCCATAGTGAAACAGACAACTCTGGACTCCGATGACCTTGAGGAGACAGGGGTCAATGGTCAGACAGCTCTCTACAGCCTGAAGGTGTTGTGTCGTCTGCTGGGCACTAAACACCCTGACAGGTTTATCAAGGTCAGTGGTGTTGAAGATAACATGAACTGTGTGACAGTTGCTTTGTTTCAGTATACTCTGCCATGACACTGTGGGGTTCTGGAGTAGAATAGGTTCCGTAGGATCATGTGGTTAGACAAAGCCACTAGTCCTGAGGCTGTTGGAAATGTGGAAGGACTTCTTCCTTTTTCTCAAAATCTAATGTTACATAAACCCTAGTTGAATTGAGCTCCGAAATAAGTCAAAATAGGGGACAACTGAGAAGTCTGACTCGTATTTCCCATGACTCAATTATATACAGGCAGCCATCATACAGCAAGAATAACGTTAAATTACATTCAGTCCCAGCAGTAATCTGTGATTCCGTGGTGACAGATGAATCTGCAGAAATGCAGACTTGGTGCAGAAATATATCCATCTTGCCAAAAAATCACATTTTGTGCAGAATTTTGCATTTTTCTGTCACAGAATGTCAAATACACCGCAGAATGTTAACTTGTGAGCCGAAAGCTGGATATAAAATTTTAAAAGTCGCATAGGTTTACTGAAATGAACATTATTTCAATTGTGCATTGTATATTTTATGTCATTCCAAATAATTATTTTAGTTGTTTGTGTTATATGGATTAAACATGTTAAAGAAAAAAAATATCTTTTAGACATTTTACGTTACGAGAAATGGTTAAATGAAATCAATATCCTGATTTCAAGTTGAAGTTGAATTTTGTATTATTGCTTTCCGGAAGTGCATGTCTGTATGTTTACACTGTAGATCACCAGATTCACTTCAATAAGCTATTCGAGAAACATGCCTGGTGCAAAGAAACTATGCTTAAAAGTTTGCAGAATTATGTGCAGAATTATCAAATTCGGTTGCAGAATTTACAAAACAAATACCACAAAATTTGTGTTTTTTGGGCCGTAGTATAAGGTTAGAACTGAATATTTATTCACTTCCATGATGTGTTGTTCGGTATCAGATGATTTTAAACACTGGTCGAAATATTCTTTAACCGGCTTTAATTCAAAGCCCTTGGGTCCATGTTGATATGACACATGCAGTACTGCAGCATGTTCCCCATTTCAGGTTCTGCAGCTCACTTGCAAGGTCCTGACCAAGAGGAAGGACAGCCCTAATGTGTTGGCGTGTGCACTGCTGTGTGTTGGGGAGATCTCGGCCGACCTCAAGGTCCATGTCATCCCCCACCTCCCCACGTTCATGCCCAAACTCCTCAAGATCCTGGGCCGCACTGAAGAGCTGGCTGGGTGAGCCCCATGGGATGTCGTCGTTTGGTTTTCAGAACATTGTGTAACTTCCGGTTCTGTTTTGCTAACCTGGTTAATATCAAGATTTGTGTATTGGCATTGGTTTCATGTTCTTGTCACCAGTTTAGGGCTGAAATGGGTATTTTCTTGTTTGCCGTTTTAGACAGTGGAATATCAATCACTGGTTTGTTGGTCTAGATTTCATTATTTGCAGACTGTTGTAATACCGACACCACTACACCACATGTTCACAGACCGACACTACCACACCACATGTTCACAGACCGACACTACCACACCACATGTTCACAGACCGACACCACCACACCACATGTTCACAGACCGACACCACATATTCACAGACCGACACAACCACAACAATAGACCGACACCACCACACACCAGTTCACAGACCGACACCACCACACCACATGTTCACAGACCGACACCACCACACTACATGTTCACAGACCGACACCACCACACCACATGTTCACTGACCTACACCACCACACCACATGTTCACTGACCTACACCACCACACTACATGTTCACAGACCTACACCACCACACCACATGTTCACTGATCGACACCACCACACCACATGTTCACAGACCGACACCACCACACCACATGTTCACAGACCGACACTACCACACCACATGTTCACTGACCTACACCACCACACCACATGTTCACAGACCGACACTACCACACTACATGTTCACAGACCGACACCACCACACCACATGTTCACTGACTGACACCACCACACCACATGTTCACAGACCGACACCACCACACCACATGTTCACTGACCTACACCACCACACCACATGTTCACTGACCTACACCACCACACTACATGTTCACAGACCTACACCACCACACCACATGTTCACTGATCGACACCACCACACCACATGTTCACAGACCGACACCACCACACCACATGTTCACAGACCGACACTACCACACCACATGTTCACTGACCTACACCACCACACCACATGTTCACAGACCGACACTACCACACTACATGTTCACAGACCGACACCACCACACCACATGTTCACTGACTGACACCACCACACCACATGTTCACAGACCGACACCACCACACCACATGTTCACTGACCTACACCACCACACCACATGTTCACTGACCTACACCACCACACCACATGTTCACAGACCTACACCACCACACCACATGTTCACTGATCGACACCACCACACCACATGTTCACTGACCTACACCACCACACCACATGTTCACAGACCGACACTACCACACTACATGTTCACAGACCGACACCACCACACCACATGTTCACTGACCAACACCACCACACCACATGTTCACAGACCTACACCACCACACCACATGTTCACTGACTGACACCACAACATCACATGTTCACTGACTGACACCACCATACCACATGTTCACTGACCGACACCACAACACCACATGATCACAGACCGACACCACCTCACCACATGTTCACAGACCGACACCACCACACCACATGTTCACAGACCGACACCACATATTCACAGACCGACACCACCACAACAATAGACAAACACCACCATACCACATGTTCACTGACTGACACCACAATACCACATGATCACAGACCGACACCACCTCACCACATGTTCACAGGCCGACACCACCACACCACATGTTCACAGACCGACACCACCTCACCACATGTTCACTGACCGACACCACCTCACCACATGTTCACTGATCGACACCACCTCACCACATGTTCACTGACCGACACCACCACACTACATGTTCACAGACCGACACCACATGTTCACTGATCGACACCACCTCACCACATGTTCACTGACCGACACCACCTCACCACATGTTCGCTGATCGACACCACCTCACCACATGTTCACTGATCGACACCACCTCACCACATGTTCACAGACCGACACCACATGTTCACTGATCGACACCACCTCACCACATGTTCACTGACCGACACCACCACACTACATGTTCACAGACCGACACCACCACACTACATGTTCACTGACTAACACCACCACACTACATGTTCACAGACCGACACCACCACATCACATGTTCACAGACCGACACCACCACACTACATGTTCACAGACCGACACCACCACATCACATGTTCACAGACCAACACCACCACACCACATGTTCACTGACTGACACCACCACACCACATGTTCACAGACCGACACCACCACACCACATGTTCACAGACCGACACTACCACACCACATGTTCACTGACCGACACTACCACACCACATGTTCACAGACCGACACCACCACACTACATGTTCACTGACCAACACCACCACACTACATGTTCACTGACCGACACTACCACACCACATGTTCACTGACCAACACCACCACACTACATGTTCACAGACCAACACCACATGTTCACTGACCGACACCACCACACCACATGTTCACAGACCGACACTACCACACCACATGTTCACTGACCGACACCACCACACCACATGTTCACAGACCGACACCACCACACCACATGTTCACTGACCTACACCACCACACCACATGTTCACTGACCTACACCACCACACCACATGTTCACTGACCTACACCACCACACCACATGTTCACAGACCTACACCACCACACCACATGTTCACTGACTGACACCACAACATCACATGTTCACTGACTGACACCACCATACCACATGTTCACTGACCGACACCACAACGCCACATGATCACAGACCGACACCACCTCACCACATGTTCACAGACCGACACCACCACACCACATGTTCACAGACCGACACCACATGTTCACTGACCGACACCACCACACCACATGTTCACTGACCGACACCACCACACCACATGTTCACTGACTGACACCACCACACCACATGTTCACTGACCGACACCACCACACTACATGTTCACAGACCGACACCACATGTTCACTGACCAACACCACATGTTCACTGACTGACACCACAACATCACATGTTCACTGACTGACACCACCACACCACATGTTCACTGACTGACACCACAACATCACATGTTCACTGACTGACACCACAACACCACATGTTCACTGACTGACACCACCACACCACATGTTCACTGACCGACACCACCACACTACATGTTCACAGACCGACACCACATGTTCACTGACCAACACCACATGTTCACTGACTGACACCACAACATCACATGTTCACTGACTGACACCACCACACCACATGTTCACTGACTGACACCACAACATCACATGTTCACTGACTGACACCACAACATCACATGTTCACTGACCGACACCACCACACTACATGTTCACAGACCGACACCACATGTTCACTGACTGACACCACAACATCACATGTTCACTGACTGACACCACCACACCACATGTTCACTGACCGACACCACCACAACACATGTTCACTGACCGACACCACCACACTACATGTTCACAGACCGACACCACATGTTCACTGACCAACACCACATGTTCACTGACATACACCACCACACCACATGTTCACTGACCGACACAACCTCACCACATGTTTACAGGCCAACACCACCACACCACATGTTCACTGACCGACACAACCACACCACATGTTCACTGACCGACACCACATGTTCACTGACCAACACCACATGTTCACAGACCGACTGTGTTGCAGGAATGAGCTGCTGCTGCAGAGTTGTGTGACGGTCGTCAACAAGGTGGTGGAGAATCTGCCGCACTTCCTCAGCCCCTACATCCTGGACATCACCAAACATGTCAGTATATACAGATACTATCTTCCTTGCAACAGTGTAGATTCATTAGGATTTATTCAAAGACTGTATAGGAGTAATATAAGGATCCTTCACTGACCCTTACAATGGAAGTGTAAAAAAGACAATTTAAAAAAATGTATGCACAAATCTTTTATTTCTTATTGGTGTGTTTGGAATACATTAAAATCCCATGAATGTGTTGCATTTCTGTAGATGATGAATTGAGACTCTTCTTCAGATAATAGTTTTCAGAAGAAACGGCTCGGTTATTACTGACCAGTTTGTCCTCTGTTGTATACAAGTGTTTGTTTCCAGTACTGTCTCCTGTCTGGAGGGGAATCTCCTCAGAAGCCACAAGTTCAGCAGCGTCTTCTAGCCATTCGGTAAGACTAGCTTTGTCTTCTATGGCGTTGTTTCAAGCGTTTTCAGAGTCTCTGACTGTAGTGATCATATGCTTGCTGGAATACGATCTAAAGCAATCAATGGCACTCTTATACTTCAAGGCTCAGTTGAAAACCTGTTCCTTATAAAATCGCTATCTAGTACATCTTCTGAGGCAAGGGTGTCAACTGACTATAAAAGTCAAGTTTCCACCCTTGCCAAATTTGGCTGGAATTTCTGTGCTCGATCGTAGCGCCATCAGTGGCTATTACGAGTTATGTCCCTTCAATATCCCTCCTATTGACCAATCAGATTCCACCTCTCCTATGACTTGCAATTGCTTCAAACAAAATATGAAAACGATCTGATCGATAATCAAGATCTATATTGAAATATAACGGGCCTTTCTTTGTGAAGTGCATCAAATCACTTGAGCACCTTGATTAAAAGCATGACAAGATTTGCAAAATATCTGTCGACGCCCAGTTGGTGGTACACATGCTTTGAAAGTCCTTCAGTCAACCGAAATTGCTTGTTGATTGGACTAACCATGGACTCATTAGTCCAGCCAAAATGTAACTCCATAATACCAGCCTAGTTGGGCAAAGGTGGAAACTGGACTTTTATAGTCAGCATGTTCCCAAGGCAAGAGAGTTCTCTGGTATAGCTCTCCTCCTACTAACACACCTGGTTGGAGGTGTCTTTGTCCACAAGACACATTCACAGTATTGTGATGTCAGACTGGGCCACTCCAGAAATGTAACCTTACGACATCTGAAGGGTTGTTAACTAAGTGAATGGACTTCTTGATGTGTTATCTATGAGGGATTGTGAACTGTGCAGAGATGAGACTGTACTGTTCTAGGCCAGCTGATTGTTACTCTGAATCCCAGATTCATCCTGATGAAGAATCTCAGCATCATACTCATGCTTGTGTGTTCACCCAAGACTACATCTTTCTTGTTTTGCAGTCACGCGATGGCCACAGTTCTACCAACACGTGTCATCCTTCCAACCGTTGTGTCATGCTACGAGTACCTGGTGGAAGAACATCAAGTATGTGTTGTCACTCTTAGTCTTTTCCAAGGGGCACAGTACCCGTGAAGATCCGGGATAGAATAGGTCTTCAGCACTCAATGCTTGACGTAAAAGGCGACTTTGCTTGTCGTAAAAGGCGACTAACGGTATCGGGTGGTCAGGCTCACTGACTTGGTTGATGCATGTCATCATATCCCAATTGCGTGGATCGATGCACATGACGTCAATCACTGGATTGTCTGGTCCAGACTCGATTATTTACAGACCGCCGTCATATAGCTGGAATATTTCTGAGTGCGGCGTTAAACAACAAACCAACCAAGGGGCACAGATGGTTTTGTGTCTACACCTTGCTGATGAGAAGGGTCGGCTTGTAGGATCAAATCCTCGACTCTTGGCTTGCCCCCACGTAGATTTGTGGACGGAACTCTGCTCCCAACTATCAGGGGAGAATTCAGCCTGATCACATTTCAAGTCATTGATGTTTCGATAGCATGAGTTACTATGTCTTATCCCAGATTATAAACCTATTCATTGGGATCTCTATTAAGTAAGAGAGTTCTTTCTATAGGCATTAAAACCTATTAAGAGGTTTTACTTTCAAAGTAGAACCTCAAATCCCAGGTTTAACCAAGTAACTGAAAAAATGACAACAAGTAGCCTTTCAAAATTTTAATTCAATTAAAATTGAATGTCATGTGTACAGTTCCGCGTGGACATTTAAAAGCGACATCACTTCAGAGTCTCTGGTGAAAGGACAGCGAGGTTTCAAAACACGTGCTTTTAAACAAGTGCTTATCAATGATGCACAATTTGCACGTGCAGTAACTGCTAGCTGTTACGTCGCAACTAACTCTATGTAACAGTTTGATTGTTTAAAGTCGAAAATCTTATAAAGCAAAAAACACCTTTAAAATTTGCGAATTTTCGTTTTGAAAAGTTTAAAAGACGTGGAATATTGCAACACAAACATTTAGAAACCGAAGATTTCACTTTCATTTTAAAGTAAGTATTTTAGTTGTGTTTTGTTGTTGACACATCCAAGTGCTCTTGGACGCCTGGCAAGTCAGCGAGTTTCACGTGCAAGTTGTGATATCACGTCTCCAAGGAAGCGCTATAATGAAACGCCTCATTTATAGATGCCCGTTATAACATTTAATCAATTTAAACGGTTCATAAGTATGGAAAAACACTGTCCCTCGGTTTTGGTAGACAGAGCATGCCCCGGGGGTCGGGAAAAACCAAGGGGGCTTCGCCCCCTTGGTTTTTCCCTCTCCCCAGGGCATGCTCTGTCTACCAAAACCTTGTAAGCGTGTTTTCTCCAATACATAATTTTAAATTACTTTAGGCTTGAAAAAATAAAAGAATGGGTTCTCAGGCAATGACTTTTGAAAATATATTGCGGGCGGTGATTTTTTCCTGCTTATTCAAACTAGTATGTAACCAAATAAACAGTTGTGTACCATCAACCTGGGAAAGGGCCACCCTACAAAAACAGGCATACAAACTCCTATTGCCGCCATGACCATAAGACGTCAATGCAGTAAAGCAGTGCGCATGTAACTGAGAAGTAAGTATGTTTTGAAAATTGAAATAAAAAACAAAACGTGCGGCGGACTTTATGACGATGTGGGTGGTGCCTGAGAACCAAGACTTATCTTTTTTAGGCCTTATATTCTTTTATCTTTCATGTTTAGGTTTTAAATTGTTTTGCCCCAAGTATAACTCCCACAAATGTCACTGTTAGATTGAGCTTTGAGATTATGGCAGCCATTTACCCACTATGTGCTGTATCAGGAATGTGTGGAGTGTCTCATGTCTCTGCTGGAGGCCCACATCAAGGAGATGAACCGAGAGGACCTTGCCAGCTTCCACAACGAGATCCTTGCCTTCTTCTTCATCTGTCTCGACTTCAGGTCAAACTATCCCAAGGTGAGACTTCAGGGACACAAATTCACTTTGTTTGTTCGAACACTGGACCATTGCCACTTCAGTTGGAAATAAGCCACCATTTACAGTATTTCGGAATGTATGTTAAACATTGAGAGAGTAAGCAGCGAGGTGATGTGGCAATGCAAGTAGTTTAGGGCCAAACACAGACTGTATCATCATCTCTTGCAGGCCATGTGACAAGGCTTGGACTTTTTTATCCTTTGCCATCTTTCAACTATGGGGGCGGTCGGGTAGCCTAGTGGTTAAAGCATTCGCTCGTCACGCTGAAGACCTGGCTTGATTCCCGACATGGGTACAATGTGTGAAGCCCATTTCTGGTGTCCCCCCGCCGTGATATTGCTGGAATATTGCTAAAAGCGGCATAAAACAATACTCACTCACTCACTCACTCTTTCAACTATGAATAAAGGCTTCTTTTCTTTTGGCAATAAATGTAAGTGTCTGTGTTATGTGACACTCACTGGGCACAAATTACGGGTATGTCAAGAATGGTAACAATGATGTGTATATTACTAGGAATCACTGAGCAGGATAAACCAGATTGAAGACTCGGTGATCAACACAGTCATCTGTATGGTGATGAAGATGTCGGAGGCAACTTTCAGACCCATGCTCTTCAAGGTCAGTATGGCTTCTCAGTTCCCCCGTAACAACCTGTATGATACAGGCATAATCATGAATCAAGATTATTCTAAGGGAATTTAGAAGGAGTTTTTCTATTTGAGAAAAAATCCATCATGCCATCGGTGGAATATTTAAATCATGCCAGGTAAATTGCATCCTACATTTATGCTGACTAGATAATAAGTTAATAAGTTTTAGCAAAACGCCACTGGTTGAAAATGTTTGGCTACAACTACCATAAGTGGTGCCATTGGAGGGTTAAAATCAGTCAGTGGTGAAATCTTTTGCCAATCACACATGTTGCATTGTTTGTATCAGGTGTTTGACTGGGCAACCCGACAAGATGACACGAAGATGCGGGTCCTGGTGTTCTACAGGCTGGCAGACAGGTGGGACAAGTTACAGTCTACTCAGAATGTGTGTGTGTGTGTGTGTGTGTGTGTGTGTGTGTGTGTGTGTGTGTGTGTGTGTCTGTGTGTCTGTGTGTGTGTGTGTGTGTGTGTGTCTGCGTCTGTATGTGTGTGTGTGTGTGTCTGTGTTTGTCTGTGTCTGTGTGTGCGTGTGTGTGTGTCTGTGTGTCTGTGTGTGTCTGTGTTTGTCTGTGTGTGCGTGTGTGTGTGTGTGTGTGTCTGTCTGTGTCTGTCTGTGTCTGTCTGTCTGTGTCCCATCTCTAGACAATAGGGGAGAATATAGGCAGTGAATAGCCTTGTGGTTAAAGCGTTAGTTTGTCACTCCAAAAGCCCGGGTTCTGATTGCCCACATGGGTACTAAGTGTGGAGCCCATTCCTGGAGTCCTGTGATGTCATATTGCTGGAATATAGATAAAATCTGCGTAAAACAATTACTGCTCATCATCTGCCACATTTAATCCTTGGAGAATCCAGGTTAGCATTTGTCCCCAGCATACTATGCTGGTTGTAAGAGGCAACAAATGGGCCAGGTGTCATAGTACCCTGGATCGTTGCTCGTAATCAATCACTGGATCGTGTTGTTCTGTCAACAACAAACAAAGCTTCATTCAAGCTCATTAAAATCAAATCTTAGTTCTTGCTTCCGCTAAACAAAGATCTGAGGACATCCCATTACAGGTCACGTCAGACCGACCTTGTGCGAACTTTGACAGGCCAATAGATTGTCCGATCAGAAGGGACCTTTCTCTTGCTTTACGGCACTAATTTCAAATTGGCGACTACACTTCGAAACATATTTTGACAAATTCTCGATTACAAATTTGAAACCTGAACAAAAGAACATTCTGGAATGGCTAATAGATGGTATAGACTGTATGGATTCTGTTGTTTAACCCGTAACTGTCGTTCAGAATACCCTGTGTTAAAGTTTTCGAGGTTGCATGATTAGAAATCACATTCCGACTGTCACTTTCATAATCTGGTAAGCAAGGCTCTGATTAGTCAGATAAAAGGTTGTTCTGACGTGACCCCCAATGGGATGTCTTCAGATCTTTGTTTAGCGGTAGCAAGAACTAAGGTCTGATTTTAATGAGATTGAGCTTCATTTGTACTGTGCTCCGTATAGATCTTCTAGAGGATGTCCACTGTGGTGCCCATGAATATGTCACAGGTTACCAGTTGTTCTGGAGATAATTTGCCAGGAACTGTAAAACCAGATGTATTGTTTGTCTCTCCAGACTGGCGGAGAAGTTGAAGAGTCTGTTCACGTTGTTTGCCGGGTACATTGTGAAGCATGCTGCAGAGGTCCTGGACCAGAACAACACCAGTAAAGGAGGTACGACAAGCTGTGGACCCAAGCAGATCACAGAGCATGCTCTGCATACATTCTGGGGCGTTTAAGGTTACAAAGTGTGACCTGGCTGAATGTGTGTCATCCACACATAATTATTATCCCCAGCCACGAAATGCGGCTTATAAGAATGGAGTCAATTCATCCACTTCTCATTTGGGGAATTTTTTTCGCAAAGACTGAGTTAAAGGAGAGAAGTTGTACTGGTAATCATCTCAAACTGACTTCAAAAGTTGGTAAAAAAATAATTTTAGATAAAGTTATTGCTCCATGCATACTTGGGACAAGTTTGTCAGAAACTACTGAAGTTACATGAATGACTCGGTTGAAATATTGATGATGTTTCTGTCAGATGGCAGGTACTTCGGGAAGGGCAAGCGGTCCAGGAAGATGTCTTCCCAGCTGTTGTCCTGTGTGCTGGACACTCTATACAAGTGCTTCCTTCATGACAGTGACGGCTTTGTGACAGTCGAGAGGTTCGACACACTCATGCAGCCAATCATTGACCAGGTGAGTTACAGTTAGTGCTTGGTGGAGAAGGATGGAACAGGGACGTGTGTGTCACTGGATGTGAGGGAGCAGGGATGTGGAGGGAGCAGGAGATGAGAGAGGGGGTGGGGACATGTGGGATGGGAGGGAGCAGGGGACGAGAGAGGGGGTGGGGACATGTGGGGTGTGAGGGAGCAGGGGACGAGATAGGAGGTGGGGACATGTGGGGTGGGAGGGAGCAGGGGACGAGAGAGAGGGGGTGGGGTCATGTGGGGTGGAAGGGAGCAGGGAACGAGAGAGAGAGGGGGTGGGGACATGTGGGCTGGGAGGGAGCAGGGGACGAGATAGAGGGGCTGGGGACGTGGGGTGGGAGGGAGCAGGGGACGAGAGAGAGGGGATGGGGTGTGAGGGAGCAGGGGACGAGAGAGAGGGGGTGGGGACATGTGGGGTGGGAGGGAGCAGGGGACGAGATAGGAGGTGGGGACATGTGGGGTGGGAGGGAGCAGGGGACGAGAGAGAAGGGGTGGGGTCATGTGGGGTGGAAGGGAGCAGGGAACGAGAGAGAGAGGGGGTGGGGACATGTGGGCTGGGAGGGAGCAGGGGACGAGAGAGAGGGGCTGGGGACATGTGGGGTGGGAGGGAGCAGGGGACGAGAGAGGGGATGGGGACATTTGGCTTGGGAGGGAGCAGGGACATGGAGGGAGCAAACAGGGATGTGAGGGCGGAAGAAGGGAGCAGGGACGTGCAGGACGGGAGGAATCAAGGACATGGAGGGAGCAGAGATGTGCTTGGTGGGGAGAGTTGAATCAGGCACATGGTGGGAGGGAGCAGGTGAGAGAGGGAATAGTGATGTGGAGGAAACAGGGACTTGGGAGGGAACAGTGACGGGCTGGGTGGGCTGGACAAACGAATGTATGTATGTATGTATGTATGTATGTATGTATGTATGTATGTATGTATGTATGTATGTATGTATGTATGTATGTATGTATGTATGTATGTATGTATGTATGTATGTATGTATGTATATTTATTTATTTATTTATTTATTTATTTCACATTTATATATGTTCAGATTGAGAACACCCAGGGAGATGAGGAGAAGTACAAGAGTCGAGTTTCTCAGAATCTGGTTCCATGTATCGGCCAGTTTGCTGTGGCAGCTCGAGATGACTCCCTCTGGAAATCCATGAACTACCAGATCCTTCTGAAGACAAGGAACCCCTCCCCCCAGGTGAGCTGTGGTAAAACAGATACTTTCATTAATTTCTGCGTGGAAGGTAGTTGCCATTATTCATGGAAGCTGAACCATGTTACAATCAGGGTGAGTCTGGTTGTCAGCACCATGCCAAAAATGGTAAATGTCCAAGACGTGCATCACTCTTCCCCACTTCAAAGGGGCTTTACTGCATTCTCACTCCTAACATACTTTCAAGATGCATAATGCTGACTCAGTTTGTAGTATTCAGGTGTTGTTGTGCAGGTCAAGTTTGCCTCCCTGGATGTAATAGAAGAGTTCCACAAGAAGCTTCTGGACGACTTCCTGCCACTGCTGCCCGAGACCATTCCTTTCCTCGCGGAACTCATGGAGGGTTAGTGTCTTAAATCTTGCTTGTTTTGTTTGTTTGTTGTTTGCTTTTGTTTGTTGTTTAACACCACTTTCAGCAATATTCCTGCTGTATGACGGCGTACTGTAAATAATTGAATCTGGACCAGACAGTCCAGTGTTTGACATCATGAGCATCGATCTATGCAATTGGAATAAGATGACATGCATCAACCCATTCAGCAAGCATGACCACCCGATCCTGTTAGTTGCCTGTTACGGCAAGCATGGGTTGCTGAAGAGCTATTCTACCCGGATCTTCACAGGTCTGATCTTGCAGTGGATCAGTAACCATAATGGTTGTTTGATTGCTCATGCTTTTAAAAATATGTTACCTTTGTTTTGGTTTTTCAGATGAAAACGAGGAAGTTGAAAAACGCTGCCAGACTGTCATAGCTGACATGGAGAGGACCCTGGGAGAGCCTCTACAGAAATACTTCTAAGTGGAGCATGGCTGCTCCTCCTGCAGCCAGTGTTAACATCATCAGCTTTGGTAATAAAAGATTTATAAAAAGACACTTGTCATAATATGTCCTGTAGATATTGTACTGACTGTTACAAGTCTTGGGGTTGTAGATGTCTTTTGTTCACTTGGGTTCAGGGTTAGAGTTGGTCCCCAGCAACTTATGCTTGTTGCATGTTCTAGAGCTGGGATCGGTAAATCGGATACCCGGGTCTGGTGGTACTGAGTAGGACCTGGGACTACCCGGACCCGTGATTAGTCACGTGATGATATTGTTGTCAAGAACTCTATGGTCAAACTACAAGTCAGTAATGTTCACATTTCATTCTGGCTATGCACTCATTCCTTCTGACTTTTAATATTGTTGAATAACTTATTAACTTAATTCAACTCCAGTGTATGCATGACCAGATCATTTAATACATGTATCTAAATACGTTTTGCAAGTGCTGTGGTAAAAAAATTCCCCATCGGACATTTTGTATTGACATTGAGTACTACAGTGGGTACCTGGGTGGGGTCAGGTAATAGGGGGTGGGTACCCGGGTAGTACATTTGGACTCGTCCCAGCCCTAGTATGTTTATCATGTCAAACAATGCTTCCATCAATCACTGGATTGTTTGGTCATCATGTAGCCAAGTGCAGCTGCAAACAAGTCTTGTCCTGTCATACTGAAATGGCTGTGTTAATAAGTGAACTTATTACAAGCTGCGCTTCCGTGTATGTGTTTGTTGAACTGGCCAATAAAACTAGTGATTGACAGCATGATCAAAACCCATGCCATTGACTTATGACACACAATGGGATAAAGTTCAGTGACTGCACAGCACAGGCGACCTGCGGATAAACTTTCATTCTTTGAGTGAAATTTGTCTCGAGCTGCAGGCAGCAGTATTCAAGGAAACTCGGACATGCAAACCAACAATGTCATTAAAATAAGATCTTAGTTCTTGCTACTACTAAACAAAGATCTGAAGACAGCCCATTACAGATCATGTCAGAACAACCTTTCATCTGTTTAAAGCAGAAGCGAGAACTAAGATCTGATTTTTATGAGATTGATAGGTTTGCACAGATGTCTCCCACTTAAACTTCCTCATGACGGGGATGATGTGCCTTCCTTTGCACTGGTAGAGGTGGGCAGCAGAGTTCCAGGAGGAAAGAGATAGCCTAGAAGATGATCCAAGATCAGGAAGGGCTTCTACTGACACCGCTAAGGAAAATGTTGTTAAAATGCGCCCTACATCCACTAGCCGATACAGTAGTGATCTCATGAGAGGTTGACAATTGTTTCAGTACTCAGTTTGAAGGCTTTGCATTTGGGCTCCTGATCAGAAACGCTTGTAAGTACAGGTAACCAAGCTCTACATTGAAACCTGGAGGTTTATCACCTAATTAACCTTTGGCATTTGACATTAATAGCTAAACAAATATGTACTCGTGGTTTGTTTTTTGTTTCGAACTATGTGCTTTCATATAAATATCTTTCCGTTTTAATGTCCCGTGTAATTATGGATCATTGACAAGATATACCAATCCATCTGTCGGGCCAACCCTAAACCCATGACATGTAATTAGAGATGAGATATAATGTGCACATAACAACAAAGAGCTCCTGATTCTACCAGTGGTGGATGAAAAGTTCTGAGCATAGTTACGAAGGATGTGGACAGATTTTATGTCTCCTCGGAAGGTGGCAAACTGTTCCACTAGCTGGCATGGTGATGGCTTTGGAATCCTATTGGTGGACTAGAAAGGGCTGATTTGATCAGTATTTCAGTTATAAAACAGCTTTTCATTCATTCCTCCTTCGCTGAGTGTGGCGTTAAACAACAAACAAACAAACATTACTGAAGGAGTAAGGTGGGGTCCAGTAGCTGCAATTCTATGTGCCAAGTCCTGTGGCCAGTGACGAAGATTATTCCAAATGTATCGAACTGGATTGGGTTTAGTTTGTAATGTGAGGTATGACATGCTGCAGGAAAATATTGTCAGAAAGCATGGTGTCATATGAAATTGATTTTATTTCAATGTATAATATCCTCTAACCCCAGTAAGTACAGCCTTGGTGGTTTGGCATACCAGTTACATGCAGTGAGGACCAGTTTGGCATACTGATAATATCCAATGAGGACCAGTTTGGCATACCGATAATATGTAATGAGGACCAGTTTGGCATACCGATAATATGTAATAAAGACCAATTTGGCATACCGATAATATGTAATGAGGAACCTGTTTGTAATATACAATGAGGAACTGGTTTGCATACGGATAATACGCAATGAGTTACTTGTTTCGGTCACCGTTAAATGGCTTCAGTGCCATGAAGTGGGCAGGTGGAAGGTACATGTCTGTTGTGCACCCAATACCACAACTAGTTGTTCAGCTTTAGGTTACGGACCCGCTATAGCCGGACAGTACCTTCCTGATAACTCAGCAGTGCCACCCTGCGCTTTCCTGGGAAGTGAGTGAGTGAGTTTGATTTAACGCTGCTTTTAACAGTATTACACTTATATCACGGCGTGTCAGCTTAATGTGGGAGGAAAGCCCGAAGTGATGCAGGTCTCAGACGTTTACCACTTTGGTGAAACCCACGAGCACGGGTATGGTGCTGACAAACCTAGAAACATAATCGGGGCGAACCGGGATTCGAACCCATAATCATAGGTGTCTGGCGTGCCCAAGGGACGCAACTCTGCACAGCGAATCACGGCGCCTTAGACGACTGGGCCACCCGTGCCCCCTCTTTCCTGGAAAGAGGGTTCATGCGACAACACACTGTACTATGAATTATCTTATATACTACTCAACAGAAGTGGCATGACAGATTAACTAAAGTAACATGAACGCTTTGAATAGTATTGATGGTATGAGGCGTCTTCTAACTCTCTTTCCACCATCAGTAATGTGTATTAGATGATCATAATTCATACAGAATTCAGTCTCAGGCCAAATTTAAATATCGCTATGTGACCTACTTAATTTGGCTGTTCGTTGTCTGAGTCAGCAATATTCCATCTATAGGACGGCGGTCGGTATAAATCATGTCTCGACGAGACAATCTAGTGATTGACATTATGAGCATCGCTCTACGGAACTTGGAAACGGTGACGTGCATCATCACAGTCAGTGAGCCTGACCACCCGATCCCGTAAGTCGCCTCTTACGATAAACATTGGTTGCTGACGATGAATTCTAACCGGGATCTTGACGGGAACCAAATCTTGGTTTATTATCATCACTGTGAAAAGTCAAATCGAGCTGGATTGCCAGTATACCAATACTAAGGAGATAAAAAACGGTCAAAGTTTTGATGAATTACAGGAAAATGTTGAATCAGATGTTTGGTAATGAATTAGTCCACTGTCAAAAGGGCGCCACCAAAGTAGGATTTGGGGTCTGTATTATTGGACAATGAATGAACTGTGACTGTAACTTTCTGGTACGCAAACCATACATTGATCTTGTCAAACGCCACCCATACTTCCTCACCCTTCTGCAGGTGACTAACACAGGACACGGAAACTTCGTCATAATCTGAAGTTGGCGTTGATACAACCCAGCCACTGCCGATGGTCCTTCCCGACTGTTTGATGGTGGTGACTGGAGTAACGGCCATGTGATGAATACCCATCTGTGTCCAGAACATGTAGGTTCCAGAGACTGGTGCTGTAAACTTCCCTGTTGTGTTGCTGTATCCAGATCTAATATTGTAGATGATGCTGTCATACACTACGGGGTGTAGTGACGTTACATTAACGTTCTGGTCACGTGATACATACGCCTGGAAGGCGACGGCTCTGGTTTCAGCTGCTGCAGTAAGTAAAGGAACACGTGGTTTAGTTAATGACAATGTTTCTTGTATTGTTTGTTTGTTTAACGCCGCACCTAGCAATATTCCAGCTATATGACGGCGGTTTGTAAATAATCGAGTCTGGACCAGACAATCCAGTGATTGACATCATGGACGTCGATATTGCGGAGTGCGGCAAACAAACAAACACAGGTGTAAAAAAGTTCACAAACCGTGGCTATGTATCAAGTTGATATAATAAAGACATCATGGTTGTTTAGTTGATACTTCAATATATGTCCAACATACTATGTAGTGGTACCGTTATTATTGAAATTACTTTTCTTAAGGTTTGTTTTTTAAGCATTTTAGGGAAATTAACATTTATATCTTCACCATAACAAACAAATTGAAGAGAGTCGGATCTTACCCAGAGTTTTGGCCAACTGTGCCAGGGCCTGTTGTGTGTCAGAGGATAGTTTCTTGGCATCAGACATGTTTTGTTTCAAGACATGCACTTCCGAGTTCGTCACTGTGATATCCTCCCGAGTCGTGTTGAGGTCGGTTTGTAGTGATAGGATGTTCTGCTGGACGTTGTGAATACAAACGGAAGTAGAATTCACTCTCTTTTCCAGTTGGTTCAGTTGAGTCGATAGACTCACGTCAGTTGAGTTCGCATCCTCTTCAAACTTCTTCAGTTCAGCTGATGTATCTTGTGCTAGAGTCTTTATTGACTGGGTCTCTAAATTCTCCACCAGCTGCTTGTGAGCAATTGGGTGAATCACAGAAGAAGTATTTTCTGTATATCGACGTACCTCGTGAACTGTTGTGTTTAAGACAGACAATTTCTTGTCCATAGCTGTTATATCTGACTTGAGAGAACTGAATAAATTTGAATCAGACTTGAGCGCAACGCACTCCTCAGTTACACATCCTAACACAAATGACACATTTTGCTTAAAGCTATTCACATCGGACTGGAACTCGGAAAGCTCGTATGCTGTGGTGTTGAGGTCATTGTGAAGTGACTGAACATCAAGACGGTTTGCCTTTATGTGTGCCTGGTTCGCTCTAACGCCGCCACTCAACGAAACGAGAAGGGAATCGTTCGTGGTTGAATTCATGGGTAGAACATCTAGATTGATATTTTCCACTTTTGCTTTCACGAGAACGAGTTCGGTTCTCAATGCGCTCGTGTCGTTTTTGAGAGCCATAATTTCGGCAGCTGCGGTTTGTTGAAGTCCCTTGTATGTCACGAGTTCTGTCTGTGCTATCTGCAGGTCTTTCTTTGTAATCTGAAACTCGGTCTGTGTATGTTGAAGTTCGTCCTTCGTTACCTGCAGATCTGTGCGTGTTACCTGCAGATCTGTGCGAGAAGTCTGTAGTTCATGTCTTGTCATATTCAGATCCGACTGTGTGAGTTGTAGCTGTTCGTTCGTTGCCCTCAGATCCGTCTGCAACTGATTTGTGTTTTTGTGAAGAATGTCTACAGTCTGCTGGAGGAGAGTGACGTGACTCAGGATAGTGGGAAGGTCAGCATTACCGTCTGGTGTCGTTAACGGCAGAATCAGTCCAGAGATATATGGTAGGAAAATACACAAACGTAAAACTGCTTCAAACAACATGGCGTACTCTCTGTAATACGTGTATTGCACACCAGGACATTCAAGCGCCGTGTCACCGGTCTTACATCTTATCAAATTGTCTGGCATCACGTGGTGGAGAAGTCCATGATATAAAACTCCAAACTTGAAAGAAAAAAAAGATTACTTAAATGAAAATGACCGTCATTGTATAGTCCATATCCACCTCTGGCATTTGACATTAACAGACACATAAATATATTCTCTATACACCCTTGTCTGTTCTAGTTTTGACACTATGTGCCTTTGATATATCCATCCCTTTCTGTCCCCTTGTATAATAATGGATCATATCTCGGATTTGCACACGACAATCCTTAACAATCTGTCAGGCTAATCCTGTACCTATGACGAAGTTACAGATAAGATTAAGAAAGTTCAAAAATGTGTATGTGGTGCACTAGTGCTTGTCACGATACGATCCTCTGATAAAGTTATAATATACTCTTCAAAACAAGAAACGCAAAGCCAGATTTGTGTGATGTAGGGACATACATTTATACGAGGAACCGTACAAGGTTTTGAGCCAAAATGTTGTGTTGTGCAGTCCAAGGTGAAGGTCAGCTACCATCAATAACGGTATGTCCCCCGTTGGAATCGATAGCGGCCTGACATCTCCTGCCCATGGAGGGACGAGTATGCGAATCACATCGTAGCCTGCAACTCAAAAAGTCAACTGCTGCAACGTCTGGGGTTAGCCGTCTATCCAACTCATCCCACAGGTGCTCTATCGGGTTCAATTCCGGGGATCTGGAGCGCCAGGGGAGAACATCAACGTTGTTGTTGTGCAGACAGGCTCTTGTGGTCTGTGCTGTATGCAGTCGAGTGGTGGAATACACCGTTGCCGTTGGCTGCAATTGGGAGGACGCGTGGTAAGAGAATTTCGTTGATGTATCGTTGAGATGTAATATTGCCCTGGACATGGACCAAAACCGTCCTGCCATGATGAGAGATAGCCGCCGACATCATAACGCTACCCCCACCAAACTGATCCACTTCCTGTACGCAGTTTCCGGTGTAACGTCCTCCCCGACGTCTGTAGACCCGTGCTCTTCCATCCCTTCGACGGAGGAGAAATCTTGATTCGTCGCTGAACCAGACATCTCTCCATCGTAGTTGAGGCCATACCCTGTTGACGACAGGTCTGGTCGGAGATTCTGCGCAGTCCGGGTATTTGGGATGCGGTTGAGGTGGCTGTGGTCGTCCTTTCATGTAGGTGGCGCAGTCGGATGTAAGCGAGCTTGGGCGGGGTCGTCCCGATCTTGGCCGATCACGTGTTGACCAATGCTGTTGAAACCGATCCCAGAGCCGTGTCATGGTGCTGGGCGCTACATTGAAAACCCTGGCCCCTGGACGAAATGAGAGCTCGGAACATATGTGGGGAAATGTCAGTACACTCGGCCTGTTGTGCATGTGAAAGTAGCTCTTGGAGTTTCTCTCCCCACGGAGAAACAACCAAAAGAGTGTCTGGCAGCACAGAAGAGAAGTCTCAACTGGAAAAAGTTCACTTCATATAGACAGATTTTTTTTATAGATATACTCTGATTTGGAGAAGTAAAACTGACATATTTTTTCATATCAATGAGTATCATGATCATTTTTTTATCTTTTGCCTACTTCTCACATTACGTTTTTACTCGTCAGTCTACATTTTGCTACGGGAGTATAAAGATACCTGCTTTATGTTGTTTGACGCATTAATTGTCAAGAGCGTGGATCTCACTCACTCTAACAGCAGTTGTAAGGGCCAAGAGAAAACCATCTTTAGGGTGATAAACTCAGAGTCCTTCCCAGCAAGTGGTTCATACTCCGCACAGGTCAGATGGCGGATGATGATGTTAAGATCCCAAGTGGACAGTCGGAATCGAGACGACTGTTCAGCAAACTTGTGGGACCGAATGAGGGACTTTAGCTCAGTAACCGTGGAGAGCATAAATTCGGTTGTAGTTGGAATGACTGATTCGATTGCAGCTATATACATAGCCTTAAACTTCCTAACTGATCTCGGATTTTACAGATACATGGTGACTGAGAAGAAGCAGCAGTAGGCTTGGCGATGTCACAATCCCCCCATAATCTTTGAATGCCTTCCATTTATGGCCATATAAGGCCTTTGTTGTGGTGCGGTGAGCCTCAGTGATGGTCTTGGCTGCTTTCCTCAAATACCCTTTGACGAGAAGTGACTTCTGGAGATTAGCCATGCGCAATGATGTAGGATTTTGGGTGCCGGATGTAGCAGGTGGGAGTAAGGATGGAGGAGAACATCGTCCCTCAGCGGAAGAAGGTGGAACTTTCTTTCTGCAGGCTTTACCAGCACTGTGAACCAACTACGAGCTGGCCAGTAGGACGTGACCAAAAGCAGTCTACGTTGGTTGGTGGACGCCACCTTTTAAAGAACCATAGGGGGAAGGTGTTAGCGTTGAGATACTCGCGCGTGATGGCCAGAGCATCGTGGCCTCATGCCTGAGGATCTGGGATGGGAGAGTAGAACCTTGGGAGCTGAGTGCTGAACCTGATCGTGAAGAGGTCGACGTCTGGACTAAGGTAGAGGTGGCAAATGCACCAAAAAATCGTCGGGTGGAGACGTCATTCCTTCAATGACTAATGGTCTGGCCAGGATAGGGTGTTTGCTATGACAGCGTGGATCCGGCGAACGTGTATCGGAAGTCGATCTACCGGAAGAAGTCAGTGACAAGAAGCACATCGACTTGGTGGAGCCCATTTTGTTGATATTCCAGACGACTGATATATTGTCTGACGCACGAAGTATCTCTGCTCAGTGTGATACAGCCATAATGACCGCCTTGAATTCAACGTTATTGATGTGGAGTCTCTTTTCGTAAGGTGAGGGCGATGCCAATATATGGACGTCTCCAGACCGACATTGTTAATCCGATCCAGGTGATGGTAGGTGCATGAATGAGTGAGTGGTAGGTGCATGAATGAATGCTTGTGGCAATCTCCAACAAAATCACACTAAATCTTACATACATGAATATCCAGTCTACATTATACAGTAATGTGAGTAGTCTGCTGAATGCGGGACGACTTTAGGAGGCAATCGTGTATCCTCATGCACACAGGTCGAGGTCGTCTAAAGGCTTGAAGAGGTGCTTTATCCTATACATAACCGGGCGGACATCCAAGGCTGCAGGTTGCTCCAGCGTAGGCGTGGTAACGGGCGCACTGGGGACAGACGACAGGTTCGTTTTGGCGGGAACGTCGTCAGTGAGGAAACTGTCCGAGAGGCCATCGTTTTCAACCGACAGGGATGGTATGGTAGATGCAGGGGGTGGTTTCACTACTGTTACGGTGGATTTAGACCAGCGGTCACCATAACGCCTGTGGCATTTGCGGAAATATAAACGGTAAAGACGTTATAACTAATGAGGAGGTAGCTCACGCAAAACAAAACAAAAACACCCAAAAAATATTGAATGGAAATTTCTCCTGAACTCAGTACACGACTCCGCAGGGTTAGCGATGAGAAATAGAATAATGTGGCAGAGGTAGTCTGATGATCAAGTCGTGAAACTTCACACGTTTGTACGTGACCCATTTGTTTGGGTGGTAACCCTTGTGATGCTGGGATGTGTTCGGGTGTAATGGTTTTAGAAACTGGAAACTTTGTTCTAGCATGTTTCGACATAAGGTTCGAAAGAAGAAAGAAATGTATTGTGTGAGATAGGATAAGTTTAAAAATTAATAGTTGTTTTTTTACAATTCTAATCGTATATAGATGACGGGAGATTATTACTGTCTTCCGGATTTTGGTGTTTCTCGAACGGACGATTTTTTGGGCCGGTCGATCATTAGAATCGAGAAACCTTTTGTAGGACCTTATTTGGACCAATTCTAGCCGAGAATCCCAACGGGCCAGTGACATACATACAGGTGCATTTACATAACGGGATCGGGTGGTCAGGATCGATGCTCATGTCAATCATTGCATTGTCTGATCCAGATTCGATTATTTACAGAACGCCTCCATATAGCTGCAATATTGGTGAGTGTGGCGTTAAACAACAGACATCCCATGTCACCACAAACCAGACATGAATTAATTAGGAAATTATCAAATTTATTTGCTTAAGCTGATACAGTAGTATGGAACTTTGCGGCATCTTAGTACATCCTTCTATCGATCCTTAGTCCTGTAATGATCAAAGAAAGTATATGTATAATTTGAACATATAGTGTGACACAATATTTGTATATGTGTGAGCGATATAGCTAGTTATTTAAAGCGTTAACTAAGAAAACAGTGCATACGCAAGATGAATGTGTTTCACAATAACTATGCACACACAAGACTTAAAAAATAGCTCAGCCAAACGAAATCAATGTGCCATGAAAGATTTACCATAGCCATTTGAAATAATCGGTTGGTCCTTAACTTCTTTTGAGTAGTATATATGCACCATGTGGTGTTCTCTTACGTACTACTCAACATAAGTTCGGGACCGCCGATTCTTTCATATTACTATCTGTTATGGCAAGACATGTGGTACTTAACTTCTTTTGAGTAATATATATGAGCACCTTATAGGGTAAATGTACTAGGTACACCAGCAAATACGTACCTCAATACGAGACCTCACTGACCTTGCTGGCGCGATGAGTAGTTTAAGGATCATCAGAAGACCGGCCATATCGGCGGCCACGTCTACATGGCTGAAGGAAAATAATAAAACGCTATTCAGGGGAGTAATTACTACACGGGATAAAAGGCAACTGTCTACACACAATGTTTCAAGGTAGTTTTAGAGCACAAAAATGTCAACGATTTCCTTTCGCGGCAATCCATCGGTCTACCCGCAAGAGTAATTGCCCTTTAACAAAGGGAAACTACTCTAGTCTATGAGATGTCACGTTTGTTTAGAGTCTGGTAGAGGACGATTCGCAAAGGCTTCGTAATGTTACGACTACGAGAGTTCACAACATGAATAATCTTTTTGAAAACACTACACTGCGCGTTTGAAACAAGGGTCTATCATAATCTGTATAATGGATCAGTTTCATATTTATAATACACTCACTGAAATGCAGTTTTGGAGAATTGGATTATAGCAAGGTTTGAGGTCACAGCTGAAGATCAAGGATGAATATCCAGAAAAAGCGAAAGCGCTGAACGCATTCGAACGCATACGTCTTTCCTCGCCTTCTTGGCCTTTCAGGGTGAACTCGCCCGACTTTGACCCGAAAACATCGCATCTGAAAATAAAAACGTTTCTGAAAGAGTGACGGCATTGGGGCATACACTGAAGTCTTTTTCTGTTGTTACGTAACGCCACACTCTTCAATATTTAAGCTATATGACGACGGCCTGTAAATAATCGAATCTGGACTAGAGAAATCATTAGATATAACGAGCAACTATTTACTCTTTAAATGGCAATAAAAGTCCAGTTTCCACCCTTGCCCACCTAGGCTGGAACTTCCAGGCTCGATCTTAGCGCCGCCAGTCGCTATTACAAGTTATGTCCCTTCTATGTCCTTCCTACTGACCAATCAGATTACATCTCTCAGATCACTTGCATTTACTTCATACAAAATGGCGGCGCCCAGTCACGACGAATTGATCGATAATCAAGATGTATATAAGTGCATCTTGATTAAAACATAAAAAGAATTGGAAAATATCTGTGCGCGCCCAATTGGCGGTACACATGCTTTGCAAATCCTGCAATCGACCGAAATCTGCACGTTGAGATCCATGTTTTTTTACGAACCGGATGTTTAGTTCGTAACGCGACTTTTGATTGGCCAAAATGTAAATCCGGAATTTCAGCCTAGTTGGGCAAGGGTGGAAACGGGACTTTTATGATCAGTTAACTCCCTTGCCTCGGGAAGATCTACTCATTCGTGCAATGAACCATGTGACCGACCCTGACCACCGCCCATGAAGCATCCTCTTTACCATAGATAAGTAGGGACCACATCTAGCCTGGAACCTCCACATATGTGATATCATGTGATTAGTTACCCTTCTGAATCCGTGATCTTTTTCACAAATTGACCGTCAGGACTTTTTGCTTCACAGTTCCGGGGTGAGAGAAGGCCGATCACAGACCTGTCATCTGAAACAGTGATAACCCTGCATTTAATTTATCCTCGATATATAATATTGTATATCGGACATCATGCGAAACACATGGGTTCGATTCCCAATATGGTTGTCTGTTGTGAAACAAATTCATGTACATGATATTGCCTCCTGTTTCGTGTATGTTTTTTGTGTACTTGCTGTTTAATGCTACAATAATTAAGCTATTTAACGACCAGACAATCCAGTGAACGATATTATGAGCAACCATCCATAATCGGGATACAGCGACATGCAATCAACACAGTCACGAAGCCTGACCACCTGATCCACTTGGTCGCCAGTTACGACCAGCAGGGGGTACTGGAGACCCATTCTGACCGGATTCCCCAAGGGTCTCTTTGGCTCTCTTTGTAACCACCCGGCACTGATTTTGGTCGTATGGGACGTCATAGGTTGCTGGGGATCAATTCTGACCCGGAATCCCAACAGGCGCAAGAACTTAAAACGCTTTTCTGTGTTGTTTAACGCCACAATCAGCAATATGATGACGGTCTATGAACAAGCAATTCTGGACCTGACAAACCAGTGATGTCATAATCTTGGGCAAACGTGGCAGCTATTCTAACATGGGAATCTCAAAAAGGTAATCTGAACTGACTAAAAATAACGCTGCAAGAGCTGTAGTCAATCATACAGACCCTGAAACCAATATTTTTAATACAGCCCGCGCGAGTCTATAATAGTTCGCAAGTCTAGATTACTACAGTTTGAAAATGACGAGAACCTCTGGATTCAAATTAAACAACGTTTTTTTCTGTAAAATGTCTCATTTCAGAGACTAGACGTTCGTCTACTAATGCTGACCTGTCGAGTTCTGTTGGGGGACAGGAACCTCCATCTGGATCTCCTGACCAAGGGCCACATGGCTGACCTCCTCCCCACTCTTAGCATCCACGATCACCACATTGGTAGAGACGTGATTTGGGGCGATTTCTTCTCGGGGTTGTGTTTTCCTGAAACGTTGTCACTTGTTTATTGCCAGGGACAATAAGGTACCACTGCCCCTCGCCCGTGTCAAGTAATAGTTGCAGTCCGGGCAAGATATTTCATCATTGGTACTTTCCTGTTTTTCAGTGATGTGCGTAAATAGTAAATTCACGCTGATGTTATTTCAAAGACTTTTAGTGGAGATTAATAGAATATGTTCTACTAACATAAGCAATGTTGGTAGCGGAGGGAATGGGCAACCCTGTTCTGCAGCTTGGCTCTGAATTTCTAGGGCTTCGGCCCTGTCCCACGCTGAAGCACATGTTTGTTTGTTTGTTTGTTTATTTGTTGTTTAACGCCGCACTCAGCAATATTCCAGATATAGTCTGGATCAGACAACCCATTCATTAACATCATTAGCATCGACCTACACAATATCGATACGATGACATGTATCAACCAAGTCAGCGAGCCTAACCACCCGATCGCGTTAATCGCCTCTTACCACAAGCATAGTCGCCTGTTACGGCAAACATGGGTTGCTATCTATTGACCGGGGTAATAATAGTGCAGAGTAATTCTTCTCAGCGAGTTATTAGACAAGCGAGATCCTATAACATATGGAGCCCATATTATGAAACTCGGAAATTAAACGGAATATAGTCATGTCACGCAGAACGCTGTAGTATTATGTTATGTTGGAATATTAGTAGTGACAGATTGTTGCAAATTTCGGATGTACGGAAACTCAAATGATGATTATGCATCGCCATGGTTCTGGTTGGTATACCTTTTTACGTGCACAGGTGGTGTAGAGATAATCATCTTATCAGCATCAGTGAAGTTGCATCTAACTTTGACATCCGTGTCATAGGGAGACAGCACGCCGTCAACTTGTTGCAAACGAAACGTCCATTCATAGACGGGATCAGTGTCATCAACCTGTATGTGGAAATACAATTCCAGTAAACTACGGTTATAACGAACACGCTTATAACGAACTTTCGGATATAACGAACTTACGCTTTTGGTCCCGACTATTTGCTGTAGTTATGCTGTATATATGCTTATAACGAACTACGGTTATAAAGAACTAAAATTGAGTTCGTTATAACCGTACATTACTGTATATATTCCAGTGAGTGAGTGAGTATGGTTTTACGCCGCTTTTAGCAATATTCCAGCAATATCACGGCGGGGGACACCAGAAATGAGCTTCACACATTGCACCCATGTCGGGAATCGAACTCGGGTCTTCGGCGTGACGAGTGAACGCTTTAACCACTAGGCTAACCGCCCGCCCCATATATTCCAGCATCAACAAATAGTCCAGTGAAAATAGCAAGACACCTACCACAAACTGCAACAGAAATTATTTCAACTGATTTACACACAGAATTTACCCCTTTATAACATATAAAAAGTCTACCAAAATCTGAGTGGTAGAACACAGTCATATTTGACCCCAAAGGTCAGGGGGCTTCAAAGCCAATCTGAAGCACTCATGTGAGATTATCATTGTTAAAAACTTTGTTTTTGTTTAAATTGTGCCATGATGCATATCAAATGAAAGCTATCTTCATTAACTTCTACAGAAATATATACTTAGTCAATGAGAGATATATCCTTTTGAGAAAAAACAAAAACAACACAAAGGTTTTGAAGAGGACCGGCTATACAGAAAAAGTGAATGCTATGATTACGAGCGCGAACGAGTAAATCAACATACGCAAAGAACACATTTACATTCAGTGTTGTTTAACACCGCACTCAGCAATATTCCATGTGAACGTGATCTGTTGGATAACTAAATCTGGGCCAGACAATAATGAATAATATTTAGAGCACTGTCGGAATACGATTACACATGGAGCCTGACCACCCACCCTTCATCTTCCCGAGGCAAGGGCGATAACTGACTATAATAGTCCTGTGGAAACTGGCCCACCCACTTAGTCCCACAGGTTCTTTGTTTGTTTCTTTGTTTCTTTGTTTATTTGTTTAACGCAGCGCTTGTTTTAGCTTTATGACGGCGGTCTGTAAACAAACGAGTCTGAACCAGACAATCCAGTGATTGACATCATGAACATCGATCCTCGCAATTGGGATACGATGACATGCATCAACCAAGTCAGTGATCCTGACCACCCGATCCCGTTAGTCGCCTCTTACGACATTCATGGGTTACTGAAGACCAGATCTTCACGGGTCCTAAGGATTGGATCACATTCGCGTTTGCCATTGTTGCTGGTGACACGTAAGCTGCATTTCCAGTGTTTCCTTAACCACCCAGTGTCAAAGCTGTTTATAAAAATATATTTAAAGTGTAGTTTATATATTTTCTACATGATTTGAAAGCAATAACTCATTTCGTTTCAGAAAATGCTGGGGAAAAACATTGAAATATGCATCAGACCTTTTGTGCAGAACAATCGGGGGAGAATTGCGTGTCGTTTCCATGGATGTATGTCAACATCGGACCATCTTCGTTGATGGTGAAATTGGCCTTTGAACATGTTTGGCTGATCGAGCCATCGGGGGTAAGGGCGTTAACGCTGCGAAAGTTGATGCCATGATTATCAACTTTCAGAATCATATGATACTGGTCTTCACCATCCCGCATACAGTGATACCTGGCTGAAATGGAAATAAAGTGTGGATTAAACAGTACTCCTGCAATGTCGAAATTGACTACGTAGATGCTGAATGCTGCTTGACATCATAATTGGTACATCTTCCCGAGGCAAGGGCGTTAACTGACCATAAAAGTCCAGTTTCCACCCTTGCCGTACTGGGCTGGAATTCCTGGCTGTTACGAGTTATGTCTGCGCTTGGATCCATGTTCTTTATGATTTGGTTTGGTTTGTTGTGTAACGCCGCACTCAGCAATATTCCAGCTATATGACGGCGGTCTGTAAATAATCGAGTCTGGACCAGACAATCCAGTGATTGATATCATGAGCATCGATCCACACAATTTGGATAGATGACATGCCTCAACCAAGTCAGCGAGCCTGACCACCCGATCCCGTTAGTCGCCTTTTACGACAAGCATTGCCGCCTTTTACGGCAAGCATGGGTTGCTGAAGACCTATTCTACCCCATATCTTCACGGGTCAGGCACATGTACCACATGTAATGTCACCTGAGGCAAGGGAGTTTGCTCGTAATATGCCTCTGTTCACCAGCACTAAATGGGTACCCGGTAGGGAAACGTGGGTTGCTGAAGACCTATTCTACCCCGGATCTTTACGGGTCTTGTTTATGAACAGGATGTCTAGTTCGTTACTCGTTAGTCCAGCCAAAATGTAACTCCGGAATCCCAGCCTAGTTCGGCAAGGGTGGAAACTGAACTTTTATAGCCAGTTAACGCCCTTGCCTCGGGAAGATGTACTTAGTAATATATTAACTGTGTCGCTGGCTGAAAATAGTTGAGACAGGGCATAATGAAACGCAAGCAGCAATGTCACGAAACTCTGATCAGCCGATCTCCATTTCAGGCGCATGATGCACTGGATACTGAGGAGGTCCAAGATTAGCATCGCTGCGGCAGCTGGATACTACATCTGTGTATATGACCCCAGAATCTCCATAGGGATTTTAGTGAACATGCTATAACTATTCGCTTTCACCTTTGAACTACAGTAAACTACGTTTATAACGAACACGCTTATAACGAACTGACGGATATAACGAAATGTATTTTGATCCCGTCCATTTGCTGTATATTTGCAGCACATATGCTTATAACGAACTACGGTTATAACGAACTATAATTAGTAGTCCATTTGAGTTCGTTATAACCCTTGTTTACTGTACATTCAATTTAGTTTCATTTATGTGTTGGTGGGTCCGGTTGTATTGATACTGGATAACCCGCAAATCAGGAGAAACATTTGCCTACCTTCAGTCTTCTTTTGACCTGGAAATGTAAATGTGAAAATATTCAACAACATGGTCTTACCAAACACAAAATGCTACATCCTGTACGCAAGCAAAACTGAGAAAGACACAAATATGTTACATGGCGAGTCTTGGGGGACGTAAAATAATATGGGTGTTTGAAGCATTAAAATGTATCAAATAGTAGCTGTATGTTACATATGATTGACATCTGTATTCTGGTCAGAAAAAAACACTCGAGTTCTAATGTCAATGGTTTTTTAATCATGTGTCATCCAAATTATTCATGTTTGTCTTAGCAACCTCCAGCAACGTCACCCTATTGATTGTACGGTGCCTTAAGATCTTTCAGTAACGTCATCCCATTGATTCTATTTGCCTTAGAAACCTCCAGTCACGCCATCCTATTGGTTCTACAGGGTATTGGGAATATTCAGTAACGTCACCCTATTGATTCTACTGTGCCTTAGGAACCTCCTGCAACGTCATCCTATTGATTCTACTTCTTTCAAAGTGCTTTAGGTACAGTCATGTGCCCTGCAGCTATACCAACTTGTCTTGAAACTATACTCACGTGCATGTATTGCAACTGAACTCACATGTGTTGAAGATATAACTACGTGTTTTGAAGCTATACATATGTACATTGCAGCTTTAACCATGTATTTCGAAGCTATACCCCTGTGTATTGAAGCTATACTCACGTGTATTGAAGCTATACTCACGTGTACTGAAGCTATACTCTCGTGCACTGAAGCTATACCCCTGTGTACTGAAGCTATACTCACGTGTACTGAAGCTATACTCCCGTGCACTGAAGCAATCCCCGGATGTGTTGAAACTATAACCACGTGTTTTGAAGCTGAACTAATATGTTTTGAAGCCACAACCACTTATTAAGAAGCAATATTCATGCGTATTGAAGCTATACTCACGTGTACTGAAGCTATACTCCCGTGCGCTGAAGCAATCCCCAGATGTGTTGAAACTATAACCACGCGTTTTGAAGCTGAACTAATATGTTTTGAAGGTACAACCACGTATTTTGAAGCAATGTTCATGTGTATTGAAGCTATACTCACGTATATTGCAGCTTGGCCCTGTCCAGCCCACCTTGCAGCCGTGGGAACACTCCCCAGAGCTGCTGTTACAGCCAGGGGTGAAACAGTGGCATCTGTCCATGCATTTGTCTCCAAACCAGCCGTCCTCACATTCTTGATGATAATAATAATAATAATAATAATGATGATGATGATAATGATAATAATGATAATGATAATAATCAGAAGTCAGTACAGTAAAACCTCGTTAATACACACACCTCGTCTATATGCACGTTCTTCTACAAATGAGGGGGTGAGTATGGTTTAACGCCGCTTTTAGCAATATTCCAGCAATATCACGGTGGGGGAATCGAACCCGGGTTCGAGCGAACGCTTTAACCACTAGGCTAGCCGACTGCCCTTTCTTCAACAAATGACATCACATTCCATTCTTTGTGGACGGCGGTCTGTAAATAACCGAGTCTGGAATAGACAATCCAGTGATTGATATCATGAACATCGATCCATGCAAATGGGATGCGATGACATGCATCAACCAAGTCAGCGAGCCTGCCCACCCGATCCCGTCAGTCACTTCCAACGACAAGCATAGTCGTCTCCTACGGCAAGCATGGGGTGCCTGCCTCCTAGTTATACCTATTCTAACCCGGGGCTTCACTTCTTGTTTGATGGTAAATGCCACATTCAGCAATATTTCAGCTATGTGACGACGGCCTGTATATAACCGGACCAGACAATCCAGTGATTGATATCAACGATCCACACCGTCGGTTACAATAACAGGCCATCAACCAGGTGGTCAAGCCTGACCACCCCATCCATCGAGTCACTTGTTGGTGGTCACCAGGTGGTCAAGCCTGACCACCCCATCCATTGAGTCACTTGTTGGTGGTCACCAGGTGGTCAAGCCTGACCGTCCCATCCATTGAGTCACTTGCTTGTGGTCACCAGGTGGTCAAGCCTGACCACCCCATCCATTGAGTCACTTGTTGGTGGTCACCAGGTGGTCAAGCCTGCCCACCCCATCCATTGAGTCACTTGCTGGTGGTCACCAGGTGGTCAAGCCTGACCACCCCATCCATTGAGTCACTTGCTGGTGGTCACCAGGTGGTCAAGCCTGACCACCCCATCCATTGAGTCACTTGCTGGTGGTCACCAGGTGGTCAAGCCTGACCACCCCATCCATTACGTCACTTGCTGGTGGTCACCAGGTGGTCAAGCCTGACCACCCCATCCATTACGTCACTTGCTTGTGGTCACCAGGTGGTCAAGCCTGACCGTCCCATCCATTGAGTCACTTGCTGGTGGTCACCAGGTGGTCAAGCCTGACCGTCCCATCCATTGAGTCACTTGCTGGTGGTCACCAGGTGGTCAAGCCTGACCGTCCCATCCATTGAGTCACTTGCTGGTGGTCACCAGGTGGTCAAGCCTGACCACCCCATCCATTGAGTCACTTGCTGGTGGTCACCAGGTGGTCAAGCCTGACCACCCCATCCATTGAGTCACTTGCTGGTGGTCACCAGGTGGTCAAGCCTGACCACCCCATCCATTGAGTCACTTGCTGGTGGTCACCAGGTGGTCAAGCCTGACCACCCCATCCATTGAGTCACTTGCTTGTGGTCACCAGGTGGTCAAGCCTGACCACCCCATCCATTGAGTCACTTGCTGGTGGTCACCAGGTGGTCAAGCCTGACCACCCCATCCATTGAGTCACTTGCTTGTGGTCACCAGGTGGTCAAGCCTGACCACCCCATCCATTGAGTCACTTGCTGGTGGTCACCAGGTGGTCAAGCCTGACCACCCCATCCATTGAGTCACTTGCTTGTGGTCACCAGGTGGTCAAGCCTGACCGTCCCATCCATTGAGTCACTTGCTTGTGGTCACCAGGTGGTCAAGCCTGACCGTCCCATCCATTGAGTCACTTGCTTGTGGTCACCAGGTGGTCAAGCCTGACCACCCCATCCATTGAGTCACTTGCTGGTGGTCACCAGGTGGTCAAGCCTGACCACCCCATCCATTACGTCACTTGCTTGTGGTCACCAGGTGGTCAAGCCTGACCACCCCATCCATTGAGTCACTTGCTGGTGGTCACCAGGTGGTCAAGCCTGACCACCCCATCCATTGAGTCACTTGCTTGTGGTCACCAGGTGGTCAAGCCTGACCACCCCATCCATTGAGTCACTTGCTGGTGGTCACCAGGTGGTCAAGCCTGACCACCCCATCCATTGAGTCACTTGCTTGTGGTCACCAGGTGGTCAAGCCTGACCGTCCCATCCATTGAGTCACTTGCTTGTGGTCACCAGGTGGTCAAGCCTGACCGTCCCATCCATTGAGTCACTTGCTTGTGGTCACCAGGTGGTCAAGCCTGACCACCCCATCCATTGAGTCACTTGCTGGTGGTCACCAGGTGGTCAAGCCTGACCGTCCCATCCATTGAGTCACTTGCTGGTGGTCACCAGGTGGTCAAGCCTGCCCACCCCATCCATTGAGTCACTTGCTTGTGGTCACCAGGTGGTCAAGCCTGACCACCCCATCAATTGAGTCACTTGCTGGTGGTCACCAGGTGGTCAAGCCTGCCCACCCCATCCATTGAGTCACTTGCTTGTGGTCACCAGGTGGTCAAGCCTGACCACCCCATCCATTGAGTCACTTGCTTGTGGTCACCAGGTGGTCAAGCCTGACCACCCCATCCATTGAGTCACTTGCTGGTGGTCACCAGGTGGTCAAGCCTGACCACCCCATCCATTACGTCACTTGCTGGTGATCTATCAGCCTCGTTCCCAAGGTAGCGCAAGCGCAGCCTACCAAGAGAACCAGGCTGGAGACCGATTCTAACCCGGAATCCGAAATGCAACAGGTATTTGATTATGATATGGTCTTCGGGTCTTTCCACTCTAACCCGTAATCCCCACGGGCAACTTACCCAGAGACCTTTGACAAAGACTTGGGTGCTCCGATCCTCTGCAGTCGTCAAGTTCCCAGGTGCCCTCGGGGGTCAGCAGACCGCATTTGTAAAGGCCGGACCGGTTGATGGTTTCTTTTGGGTTTGAGAAGTTGAGAAGCTAATGAAAAGACAATAAAAGTGAGAGAATGATTTTTGTTGAGGCGCACTAAGCAATATGCCAGCCATAAAAAAAATACAGGTCGAAATTAGGCAAACCAGTGATTGATATCATGAGCAGCGATCAACGCCATCAGGGTACGATGACGCACAAACAACAGAAATCAGAGCCCCATGTTGTCAACTCTAACGACAAACTTGATGTCCTGGATAAGAAAACGGAAAGACTAGGTGTAACATGACAATCAACAGAACACGTTGGGGTCATTTTGTGATTTTTTGTTATTGTTTCACGCCACATTCAACGCCGTATTTACGTTATATGACGTCGGTCGTTTCATGTGAGAATTACCTTGACGTTTGACACAACCAGCTGCAGGTGCTGTGTTATTTATTTAGAGTTCGTTTCAATTGATTGTTAGATGATAATATTTTTCATAAATTAAACAGAAGAAATATCTCGAAACATGAGCCATGTTTCAGAATATGACCTTTACCTTATATGGAGGTCACTTGAGATCGAGACATTCACCCAAGGGATCATCTATATTGCGTTTCGTCAAATTCTCATAATAAATACTTACGTTATCAAGTACACAAGGTCTTTGACGCCTAATTTAATGCCAGTCAGTCTTATTTCAGAAAAAAGGGGGCGGTGGGGTAGCCTAGTGGTTAAAGCGTTCGCTCGTCCCGCTGAAGGCCCCGGGTTTGATTCCCCACATGGGTACAATGTGTGAAGCCCATTTCTGGTCTCCCCCCCCCCCCCCCCCCCCCGTCTGAGACCTGCATCACTTCGGACTTTCCTCCCACATTAAGCTGACACGCCGTGATATAACTAGAATACTGTTAAATGCGGCGTTAAACCCAACTCACTCACTCACTCACACTTACCGATGCGTGCTCTCCAGGTTCAACCCAGCCGTAATCACTTATATACTGTACATGTATCCATGTGGGTTCCTTTATAATTCCTGCAAAAAACAGAACTGTGAAAGTACTGGTGAAGGATACAGAACCGGATGGTCTATAATAACAAGGCAAGGCAATATGCCGTACAATGCAGCGAGGCCTCGCTCGGGGGAGACCGCCATATTGAATGTACATTTGTACCGAACTCACGTTCATAAGAGGCATTTTGATTGGTTGGTGATTTTAAGGTCATGAGCGAGAGAAATTCTGTGCTAAGTCTTTGATAAGAGCGATGAAGGTGTGACGTCACATCCGAAACGGCGAATAGGTGAGGGGTAAATACGTTTTGTTTTTGTTTGTTGTTTAATGCCGCACTCAGCATTATTCCAGCTCTATGACGGCGGTCTGTAAATAATCAAGTCTGGACCAGACAATCCAGTGATTGACATCATGAACATCGATCCAAGCAATTGGGATACGATGATATGCATCAACCAGGTCAGCGAGCCTGACCACCCGATCCCGTTAGTCGCCTCGTACGACAAGCATAGTCGCCTTTTACGGCAAGCATGGGTCGCTGAAGACCTTTTCTACGATGGATTTTCACGGGTATATACGTAATAGAATGGAGATATGGTCATGAGGGAAATATCAGGATGCAGTACAGTGATTATACTGATAAATACGACTGGACAGTCATGTGATTGAGTATGAACTAAGAACAGAGAACTGATGACGTCAAGAACGTAATGCTAACAACCATCATTCCACGAATGTATGCATCCTCGATGATGCAGGGTATTTTATGTCCATTCGATTATCATAAATAGCCTGAAGCAACAGCATCGTTTTCAGGCCGGTTTGAATGACACGACGCTGAAATTAGACGTCAAATCAAAATACACACTTCCACGATTAAGACAAACAGCAGTGTCGATTGTAGTCGTCTCGACGTTTGAGCCCCATCAACCAGAATGTCTTGTAGCATATGGACTTCCTTCCCTGTCTTAGTACTCAGGGAAACATATTTTCCAACCGAAAAATATATATGAGACTCTTTTTTGTTTTGTTTAAATACATCGAGACCGAGATTTTGAATACAGATCTTTGCCAAACTTTGTCAATTTTGATTAGTTTTTTATTTCAAGGTCATGAGGGGGAGAGTGAGTGAGTGAGTGAGTGAGTGAGTGAGTGAGGAGTGAGTTGGGTTTAACGCCACTTTTAACAGTTTTCCAGTTATATCGCGGCGTATCAGCTTAATGTGAGAGGAAAGCCCGAAGTGATGCATATCTCAGACGTTTACCACTTCGGTGAAACCCACGAGCACGGGTATGGTGCTGACAAACCCAGACCCATAATCGGTGCGAAGCGGGATTCGAACCCACGAACATAGGTTTCTGGCGTGTCCTAGGGACGCAACGTTGCAGAGCGAATCGCGGCGGTTTAGACGAGTGGGCCACTCCCAATGAGGGAGAGACATTCCGTGCCAAACTGGTGATAAGAGATTTGGCGGTGATGACGTCACTTCCGGCGCGTAGCTGTGGCGATGAAAGGGTCCAGGTTATGCTAGTATATCATTAGCAGAATGGAGTTATGAAGGAAGAAATGTATGAAGAGAAGTGATTTTACTTTACCCTTAAGGATGATGTTCTGCTCCATGTTGCGAATGCTTCCAACGCTTCCGTTACAGGCAACGGCCGCGCCCCTAAAATCGACCGTTTCTTCATTGACAGTGAAGCAGTTTCGTCCGTCCTGTGTCCACCCCTTTGGACAGGTCGATTTGAGTTGCGGAGCATCTGGAACTAGATTAAACTTAAAATTTATTATAGTTGTTGTTGTCGATATGCGAGGTAAGTTGTTTTTTATGTCAAATATGAAAAGTTATTGCCTTGGAGTTTTACATGACACAAAGGAGCATCTAAAAACTCAGCCGTTGTGATATAAACAAGTATTGAAAGCTGTGATTGATTTGTTTGTTTGTTGTTTATAAACATCACGTTTTTGTTTAAAGTCATCGTGCACGGACAGCATGGTACTTGTTTTCAGACCCGATGGACCCGTTTTTGACATTGTTGTTTAAAGACTGCGTGTCACCGTGCAGGGACAGCGTGGTACGTTGTTTTCAGACCCGATGGACCCGTTATTGACATTGTTGTTTAAAGACTGCGTGTCACCGTGCAGGGACAGCATGGTACGTTGTTTTCAGACCCGATGACCCAGTTATTGACATTGTTGTTTAAAGACTGCGTGTCACCGTGCAGGGACAGCATGGTACATGTACGTTGTTTTCAGACCCGATGACCCAGTTATTGACATTGTTGTTTAAAGACTGCGTGTCACCGTGCACGGACAGCATGGTACATGTACGTCGTTTTCAGACCCGATGAACCAGTTATTGACATTGTTGTTTAAAGACTGCGTGTCACCGTGCAGGGACAGCATGGTACATGTACGTTGTTTTCAGACCCGATGACCCAGTTATTGACATTGTTGTTTAAAGACTGCGTGTCACCGTGCAGGGACAGCATGGTACATGTACGTTGTTTTCAGACCCGATGGACCCGTTATTGACATTGTTGTTTAAAGACTGCGTGTCACCGAGCAGGGACAGCATGGTACATGTACGTTGTTTTCAGACCCGATGACCCAGTTATTGACATTGTTGTTTAAAGACTGCGTGTCACCGTGCAGGGACAGCATGGTACGTTGTTTTCAGACCCGATGGACCCGTTATTGACATTGTTGTTTAAAGACTGCGTGTCACCGTGCAGGGACAGCATGGTACATGTACGTTGTTTTCAGACCCGATGGACCCGTTATTGACATTGTTGTTTAAAGACTGCGTGTCACCGTGCACGGACAGCATGGTACGTTGTTTTCAGACCCGATGGACCCGTTATTGACATTGTTGTTTAAAGACTGCGTGTCACCGTGCAGGGACAGCATGGTACGTTGTTTTCAGACCCGATGGACCAGTTATTGACATTGTTGTTTAAAGACTGCGTGTCACCGTGCAGGGACAGCGTGGTACGTTGTTTTCAGACCCGATGGACCCGTTATTGACATTGTTGTTTAAAGACTGCGTGTCACCGTGCAGGGACAGCATGGTACATGTACGTTGTTTTCAGACCCGATGACCCAGTTATTGACATTGTTGTTTAAAGACTGCGTGTCACCGTGCAGGGACAGCGTGGTACGTTGTTTTCAGACCCGATGGACCAGTTATTGACATTGTTGTTTAAAGACTGCGTGTCACCGTGCAGGGACAGCGTGGTACGTTGTTTTCAGACCCGATGGACCAGTTATTGACATTGTTGTTTAAAGACTGCGTGTCACCGAGCAGGGACAGCATGGTACGTTGTTTTCAGACCCGATGGACCCGTTATTGACATTGTTGTTTAAAGACTGCGTGTCACCGTGCAGGGACAGCGTGGTACGTTGTTTTCAGACCCGATGGACCCGTTATTGACATTGTTGTTTAAAGACTGCGTGTCACTGTGCAGGGACAGCGTGGTACGTTGTTTTCAGACCCGATGAACCAGTTATTGAGATTGTTGTTTAAAGACTGCGTGTCACCGTGCACGGACAGCATGGTACATGTACGTTGTTTTCAGACCCGATGGACCAGTTATTGAGATTGTTGTTTAAAGACTGCGTGTCACCGTGCACGGACAGCATGGTACGTTGTTTTCAGACCCGATGGACCCGTTATTGACATTGTTGTTTAAAGACTGCGTGTCACCGTGCACGGACAGCATGGTACGTTGTTTTCAGACCCGATGAACCAGTTATTGAGATTGTTGTTTAAAGACTGCGTGTCACCGTGCACGGACAGCATGGTACGTTGTTTTCAGACCCGATGGACCAGTTATTGAGATTGTTGTTTAAAGACTGCGTGTCACCGTGCACGGACAGCATGGTACGTTGTTTTCAGACCCGATGGACCAGTTATTGAGATTGTTGTTTAAAGACTGCGTGTCACCGTGCACGGACAGCATGGTACATGTACGTTGTTTTCAGACCCGATGACCCAGTTATTGACATTGCTGTTTAAAGACTGCGTGTCACCGTGCACGGACAGCATGGTACATGTACGTTGTTTTCAGACCCGATGGACCAGTTATTGACATTGTTGTTTAAAGACTGCGTGTCACCGTGCACGGACAGCATGGTACGTTGTTTTCAGACCCGATGGACCCGTTATTGACATTGTTGTTTAAAGACTGCGTGTCACCGTGCAGGGACAGCATGGTACGTTGTTTTCAGACCCGATGAACCCAGTTATTGACATTGTTGTTTAAAGACTGCGTGTCACCGTGCAGGGACAGCAAGGTACATGTACGTTGTTTTCAGACCCGATGGACCCGTTATTGACATTGTTGTTTAAAGACTGCGTGTCACCGTGCAGGGACAGCATGGTACATGTACGTCGTTTTCAGACCCGATGAACCAGTTATTGACATTGTTGTTTAAAGACTGCGTACCATCGTGCACGGACAGCTTGGTACGTTGTACATAATCTCAATAACTAGTTCATCGGGTCTGAAAACTTTATCATTTAAATCTTTTCATTGTAAACAGTGAAGTGAAATGAGAGACGTTCATACACGTCCGTATAGCTGCTTGTCCTTATCCGGGCATTCACTAGCCTAATGCGATATCATACCGCAGTTACCATGGAGACACCACTCATACACCTTATACTGACTCCGAGTCGACCAGTCCTTGTTTTATCCCCGTAATGCTGAGCGACAGGCAAGGTAACGTCTTTTTACGTCTTTTGGTATGACGCGGCCGGGGATCGAACCAAAGAGGCTCCCCGGCCTGATGGTCTTTCTACCAAACCACAGATGCGGATTGATGAAAACAAAGCATAAAAGCATGTTGCTCTAAAGGAGTTTAAACATACACACTCTCCTTGCTTGTTCCTTTTGTCAAAGAACAATCAGCATGGGTAGCTAGTTGCAATATGGCTGCATCACATGAACCGAATATTTTTTTGGCACAAATACTGCAGTAACTAAATACCATGCAAGCTTCGATATTCATACAGTTTTGTCCCAGTCTTAGGTTAGAACTAACACAAAGTGAAAAGCAATTCTTGTTTAGCTTGATTGATTGACGGTGTATCAACTATTTTTGAGCTATGCGCTGCGGTTCGTTGCTGAAAACATTTGTCCGATGTATTTTCTATCCAAGTACAAATCATCGACAGTTTCGATAAACCTTCTAAAGAACAAAATGCACGTACCTTCATCTGGTGCCGAAGATCCCAGAGATAGATGAACCAGCAGCCCAAGAAGCCATAGTTTGTCACCTACCATCTCTCAAACTTTGTGTTTCGCTGTCAATGTCGTCTCTGGATGGTGAACTTTTGTATTCTCGACTGAACTTGTCCACGGGAAGTAATCACAACTTAACTGGTTAATGACTAGCGATTAAATGGTCTTTAGTCCGGATACAACTTAAATTCTTAAATGTCACGTTCTAATTCTATGGCATTATTGAATAAGTGAAAGGTCACACAGTCTCATACACACATGTTCTGTTGAACTGTGACAAAACGTTGCCTGTACACATGTTTTTACATTCTACCGTGCAGAATATGGGTAATATCCGGTGTCCTACATTAACATCTAGTTTCTGAAATGAACGTTACATATTTTACAGCAAACAAAAAAAACAAAAAAAACAGTTGTTAAATTATAGTTATAAAATATAATAAAAAGGAGCCAAGAGACTTTATTCATTTTCAGGCCTGATACTGCAGTAATCTAGACTTGCCAAATATTATACCAAATATAATTACCACATATAGACTTGCATTGGCTGTATTTGATATATTTGTTTCAGGGTATGTATGGCAGACTACTGCTGTCCAGCCTATGCGTGTCGTCCGAGGCGACGCAATGGATCAAATGGTCAAGTTCGGTGATGGCATGTCAGCGTACCTTGATGGCGTTAACTGTTGATATCAATCACTGGTTTGTCTGGTCCAGATGATTATTTACAGGTCGCGGTCATGTTACAGCTGGAGTATTGCTGAAGCGGCGTAAAACAACACAATAATATATTTAATCGTAATCAAAATGCATTAACGGCGAATCCGATCATTACAAAGCGAATAATCTAAGAGCTTGTTTGTTGTTTACGTCTCACCCAGCAATATTCCGGCAACATGACGGCGGTGTGTAAATAAACGAGCCTGGGCCAGACATTCCAGTGATTGACATCATGAGCACCCATCCATACATTTAGGAAACGATGACATGCATCAACCAAGTCACTGAGCCTGACCATCCGATACTTCCGGGTTTACATAATTAAAAAGTGTTAGGGCGGGTCAAACATAACTTTAGTTGTCTAGCTATTAAGACAACGATTAAGCGAACAACTAATAGGATCTGTTATCAATATAATATACGATTGGGTTAAGTGACTATAATACAGTTATCAGTACTATTGTCGCAGTACGGGCAAGCATGTTTGATTGTACACATATGTATAATATAAATTGTATACCTTTAAAAATTAACTGTCATGGCAATTTGTACATCTGTTTAGCCCTGTGGGGATCATTCGGGTTTGAGTGAGTGAGAGAGTATGGTTTTACGCCGCTTTTAGCAATATTCCAGCAATATCACGGCGTAGGACACCAGAAATAGGCTTCACACATGTCGGGACTCGAACCCGGGTCTTCGGCGTGACGAGCGAACGCTTTAACCACTAGGCTACCCGACCGCCCCATTCGGGTTTGAACGTGTCCACAACTAATGGTTACATGCCACAAAATGGATCGGGTAGTCATCATACTCCGACGACGTCGGTCGTTGCTCATTATATCAGTCACTGGTTTGCCTGACCCGATTATATAGATACCGCCGTCATATTCTAAATAGAAGAGTCTTATGTTGGCTATAGTCACCATTATACCTCCTCAATTTTAAATTTTATTTTTTTCTAGAACTGACCCGTGGAGGATTCCGAAGTGGAACTGGTCCCTATAGCAACGACTTTTTGTCGTAAGAGGCGATTTAATGGATCGGGTGGTCATACCTTGGTTGACGGTGTGTATACAACAGTGTGATTCGTTACTCATAATATCAATCACATGAGAGTTAATACCGGCGTTCTAATACTGGCCCGGTTTTGGTTAACCGCCATTTTAGATTGTGAGCCGGTGATGGTCCAAAGCCGGCCATCAGCAAGTGGGCATTATTAGTTTGTTGATAGATGTTCTGTAGTAGGTCTATCATCACACGAGTGAGTGAGTGAGTGAGTATAGTTTTACGCCGCTTTTAGCAATATTCCAGCAATATCACGGCGGGGGACACCCATGTCGGGAATCGAACCCGGGTCTTTGGCGTGACGAGCGAACGCTTTAACCACTAGGCTACCCGACCGCCCCTATCATCACACAAGTATTATGTATGGTGTCTGTGTGTGCGTGCGTGCGTGTGTGTGCGCGTACGTGCATATGTGTGTGCGTGCTTGTGTGTGTGTGTGTGTGCGTGCGTGCGTGCGTGCGTGCGTGCGTGCATGTCTGTGTGTGCGTGCGTGCGTGTGTGTGTGTGTGTGTGTATGTGTGTGTGTGTAAAGCCTATTTATGCTGTCTCCCGCCGTGATAATACAGGAATATTGCTAAAAGCGGCATAAAGTTCAACACACTCACTAATCTGCACGTGTTATGAGTCAATTAGTGATAACTCCAGGTGTTCATCTGAGCCTGTAAATAATCATGTCGGGACCAGACAAACCACTGATTGATATCATGAGCAACGCAGTCAGGTCATAAATACTTGTAGTTGACCAAGTAATCAAACCTGGTAACAATATATTGACATGGAGAGTTTCGATAGGCAGCTATTGTAAATTTTCTGCATATTACTAGATACATGACACACACACACGTGCATGCACGAAACTATATAAGTGCAATAATCGCGACGTTAAAGCCCATTTCACCATTCGTCACCACTCGCCCCTTTCCGTAACCAGCAAGAAGACTATTCGGCTTATCCCGGAATAACACGAGTTGGTCACGAATGCCCATTTCACCTCACCTCGCTATACCAATAGAACCGTTGGGAACCCTGGTAGATTATAGGTCCCTAGAAACCTGTGCTTTCTGGTTTAGAGGCGTCTAAATAAATCGGGTGGGCGTGGCTCGATGCTCGTGATGTCAATCACTGGGTGGCCTGGTTCAAAATCGAGTATTTACAGATCGATGTCATGTACCTGGAATATTGCTGTGTGTGACACTAACCAACATATTAACATCTAAACGTCACAGAAAAAACGAATTATGGTTTTACGAGCGAAGGGAAAACGCTCAACTTTAAAGTTAACACATTCTGGTTTATTAAACCAAACGTTGTTATCCATGCAGTAAAGTTGTTCGTTTTCTTATCGACTCGCGAACTTCCAGAATGCCAGTCAAACAGTTATTTTACGAGCGGTTCATACATTATCACGTCATCAAAAGTGACCCTCAAATGATTCGGCCGATGACTCTGAAGAGTGAGAGAGTTGGGTTTAACACCGCTTGAATAGTATTCCAGTAATATCACGGCGTGTCAGGTTAATGTGGGAGGTAAGTCCGAAGTGATGCAGGTCTAAGACGTTTACCACTTTGGTGAAACCCACGAAAACAGGTATGGTACTGACGAACCAACACTGAGAAAAAGGTCTAGTGAATTCTACTAACACTGTAAAAATGTGCAAGCGATGTTAGGATGTACATATTTCAATCCTAAACGGTGAGCACATTTGGTGTGCTCTATGTAAACACGTTTAGGGTCTAAACACATGAAGTGAGCTATCGTCTCACAGCCTAGACACCACCGAAACGCAACATCCCCATAATCCAAACATGTTTAGGATTAAAACACCTTTAAACATGTTTAAAATTAAAACACCTTAAACATGTATAGAAGTTAAACACCTTAAACTCGTATAGAAGTTAAACACGTTTAATAAAATGCATTTTACCAGACTATAAGTCAAATGAGAAGTATATCAATATTTATTGAAATTAGATGTGCAAATCAGATTCCAGGTACTTGCAAAACACATGTACCACCAGGACCCCCAACCAACGTGGTACAATATCGACATATAAATGTACAAATAAACCAAGCTTATGGGGACTAGGAAATATTGACCCCTGTGACGACAACAATCTCCGTAGCACAGGTGGTACCGCGACGGACTACGAAAGTAGAGGTTATTGTTCGTTTGTTGTTTAACGTCACATTCAGCAATACCCCAGCTATGTGACGGCGGTCTGTAAATAATCGAGTCTGGACAATCCGGTGATTGACATGAAGAGCATCGATCCACGCAATTGGGATCGATGACATGCATCAACCAAGTCAGCAAGCCTGACAACCAGATCCCGTTAGTCGCCTGTCACGACAAGAGTGGACAGTGAAATTCACTAAGTTAGTAAACTTTTTAAACTATGTCTGTCAGTGTAGAATCAGAACCGAGAAGAACCGAGATTCGAACCCACGAGACCGCCTCCGTGGTCTTGTGGTAGAGCGTCCGCCCGGAGAGCGGAAGGTCCAGGGTTCGATCCCGGGCCGCGTCATACAAAAAGACGTTAAAAGATTGTACTTGTTGTTACCCTGTCTGGCGCTCGGCATTAAGGGGCTAAAACAAGGACTGGTCGGCTCGGAGTCAGTATACTGTGTCTGAGTGGGGTATTCATGTTACACTGCGGCATGGTATCTCAGTGGGCTAGCACTATAAATCGGCATCAGTCCGGACTAGTACAAGCAGCCACACACACACATACACGTGCATGCACGTCGCTATATAAGTGCAATAATATTGGACGCGACGTTAAACCCAATTTCACCTCACCTCACCTCACCTCACCTCGAACCCACGATGATAGGTTTCTGGGGCTCTGAAAATACACACACAGAAAGACACGTGACCCGCCGAGTTAAAGATTTACAAACGACGAGGCGGTCGAGTTGGGCCTGATAGGTGTACAGAAACTATGTGTCTATAAAGGTAAGTTTACCTGAGACAATACCCAGATTTTAAGTTGGTTATGTTTGTCAATGTCCAACTATCCAAACCAGCTGTGCTTAATTATATAGCCAATCGCGATATATATTAGTGTAAAAGAAAAAATATTTGTGTTCCAAAATGCAGTATCTGCCTTTAAGAATCTTCTTTTTAACTTATTGTTTTATAAAAAAAAACAACCCTAATTTTCAAATGATTTCATGGCATTTCATTGGTTAACCGAGCAATGTAGGCGGCGCTTGTTGTCATGAACCTTACAAAAGCCACGCCCACAAGCGGCTAGGGTAAACCAGGAAGGTTGTGCGGGGCTTGTCTTGCATTATGGCGCTAAACGAGGTCACTGATTTCGTATCGTTGTCTACAGTA